AAGTGGTTCCTGCAGGGCCCCAGCTGCGAGAAGCCGGCGCACCCCACCCAACCAGCTGAACCAGCGAAGCCAGCAGTGTAAGCCTGGTCAACTCCGCCAGCCAAGTGAGCTTAACTGGCCCAACCAGTCAAATAAACTCAGCCAGTATAGCCAGACAAGCAGTCTCAGCTGACCCAGCGGGCGAAGCAAGCACAGCCGACTCAGCTGGCCAAGTCAGCTCAGCTAGCCAAGTCAGCTCGGCTGGCCAAGTCCGCTCGGAATGACAAGTCAACTCGGCTGGCCGAGTCAGCTCAGCTGGCCAAGTCAGCTCGGCTGGCCAATTCAGCCAAATAACCGCAGCTAGCCCAGCCAGCCAAGCGAGCCAGTGGCTCCGTCTGATCCAGCGGCTTAGAGGCTGTGTACCGCATCTTTCATTGGCTGTGCGTGCCAGTTTTCGGAATAGTCTTGGCTCAAAGGCCTTCGACGAGACCCTTGCATGCGCTGTGGCGTGGTGAAACGGATGATGTGAATCTGGCACATCTCCTGGAGAGTTATCGCTATCATGCATTGTTTTTTTTTTGCGCCCTATTGCAGGCGTAATTTGGACGTTTCCGCCTGGTGTCTCCAGAGGTCACGACAGGTATGTCAGCCATTTGCGCCAGGATTGAGCTTCAATCTGCTATCTGTACTACAGCTCAACACCGCTATTCGCCTTGAACTTTTTGTTTACGTTCGAGAACAACTAACTTTTTGTTCAAGTTTAAAATCGACGACATTGTGCGCAAGCCGTAGCTAGAACACGCAGTAATAGATGGACGAATCGAATCGAATAAATGTGCGACGCGAGCATTGAGGTCTGAGTCGACACAGCAACATCCGTGTGCGCCTTTCGGAATAAACATAGCGTGACGCGTTCGGTTGTGCAGGAAAGGTGCGATGACATGGCGCGCTCACTTTCGGAATGCAGTTGCGCAGCTTCGCGGCGTGTGATGCTCGATAGACATTCATGTTGACTGGGTTACCCTCCATTCCCCCCCCCCCCCCCACACACCCAAACGCACATCGCGTGCGGCTCCCGCTCGTACAGCGAATTGGTTGCCATTTGAGAATAAGACATTGACCGTATGTTCCTTGTTGTTTTTCAAATTTTACACGAAAACAGGCGCCATTTGAAGGGAAATAGGCACTATGCATCATTGAACCGGGCGATTTTCTGTGGATGAGTGACGTAGCCACGGGTAGATATTTTTTTAGAGTTGGGCCACTGCCTCCTTGTCCAATTCCCCCCCCCCCCCCTCCCCCAACGGTGAGTTTGGTTCCCAACCTGCTGGCGCCAAAAGACAAGGCACTTAAGGCTGAAGACGTTGAAAATCGAAGCTCAGTATTGTACCAGATTTGAACAAGGTTTCTACAAGGCTGCTTTACAGTAAAAAGGAACAAGGAAAATGGAAGCTGTGATATGCTCAGCTAAGTGCAGCTGGCTAAGCAGCGACTGTAACACAAAAGTAGAGATTCTACTTTTACTTGTCGAGCTTCACTACCAAATTCCAGCACCGATTCCCGATACGTAAATTATAATTCGTTCATGCCGTAAATCAGGAGCTTGCTCACACGAAACATACTTCCGGGCCACCTCCTAAACGGGTCAATTTGATTCTAAATCGTTCAATAGAAATTTGGTATTAAATAGCCGGAGCTGCGGGTGCAAAAGTGCAGGTGGTATCGGATATGCCTATGATACGGTCAATAAATCGCTTCCATCCACTCCAAGTCAAAAAGTTGTCGACCGATGTGTTCGATGGTGCAATAGCCGGTTGGGGAACCCATCAGGATCTCACGCAATGGGCCCGGGCTCGAATCTCGGTGGCGTCGGGCCCTTCGAAGGGAGTGTTCTACCTGCGGGACATATTTCAGAAACATACTGTGAAACCTCAGGACTACTTACGTCTGCTGATAACACTGGGAAGTGTCACTGCAGCGGCGTGAAAACATAATAAGGCCTTAGTTATTTTCGTGTCCAAAATACGCTGTCAACGCTTTGCAACGGCACAGCGCTTCCTCCCTGCACTCGCGACCACCGTAGTCCTGACAACAGGCATGTGCACCCGATGCAAATAAAAAGAGGCCGGAGTGCGCCTCGAAAAGAGCCATTGTGCTAGACACCAGGGGGAAATCAAAGTTGAGAAATCCTCCCAAAATCCTCCTTTGTTTTCCCCCCTGATAGGGGAAAAATCAAAGCCTTACTATACAGTTTTGTTTCAAGGTTTCATAGCCTTCATTACACAAATATCTCGACGCACTAGTGCATTGCAAGTATTATTGAACACGTACGCTGGTTAGGTGAATTACTTAAACTTACATAGGGCAAGTTAGGTGAATTACTTTCATAGTGGTGAGCAGGGAGTAAAAATGAGACCTCTCCCGCGGGGTCGGCTGTTCCAAACCGAACTTCTGAGCTTTCCAGAGGGACTTTGAGGAAGCTGGCATTGTCGATCAGATCGTACACGTCTGATGTAACAATAAGTGAAAAGTACAAAAAGGGTATGAAACTCCCTTTAACAATATTATGGTTAATACGTGGCCCCCAGAATGGCAGCCGGAGTGCAAGATTTCACGGCATTAGTGCTGCAAGAAAAACTCCTGCTCAGAAGTTATGCATTGCTTTACTGCCAACAGTGCTACACGGCAAAAAGTAGCCACACAAACTTGTCCTCGTCATCACTCCTGCTGCAAACACTCATACAGCCATTACTTATACACGGCATTACTTATGCTGCAAAAACTTAACGCGACATTAGTGCTACACGACAAAGTATGGCGCGCTCCCAGCTGTGCATACGGCACCAAGGCCCAGGAAGGCCCAGCTGGTCCGGACCTCTTCGTCAGGCAGCGGGGCTGGCTGTCAGCGCTCCGGTACGGGAAGCCGACACCGGCCGGCGAGCGATGAGGAAACTCCGAATCAGGTGTTCCAGGTGCTATAGCGGGGTGGTGCGCATGCGCAGTGGAAAAGCTCGTGCCATTTCAGCGCAAATCCAGTGTAAACCGTGGAGCTCGGCTTTTCCGGGCAGTCCGCACCGCGACCTCTCTGGGGAAGGTTCTTGGGACGGGCCAGAGAGCGGGATCTGCGGCCTTTACAGGAGAGGGGGATTCCCTTATGCGTTTCTAATTGTCTGCACCCTGCGTTTTGATCTGTATGAAATGTGCTTTCGGCATTGCCTGATCGGTCTAGCGCACTCCAAGGCGGGTGTCAGTGTTTAGAGTAGAAAGTAACCGGTTCAGTTCGATTAACGTTTCTTCGAGTAAAATGCATGGTTAACAGGTGCATTGACCTTATCGTTCCGTTCCTGGTGCACCGTGCCGGAGTTGTTCTGCGGTGAACACTAAACGAACTCTTCCGGATCCGCACATCCATGCCGTGCGGCAGGCGGAGCAAGTGTGCGTAACATTGAACCGCAATGCACTGACAGGTGCATCGCGATGCAGGACAGGTTGGTGTATCTTGGTGTCTCCTGGTATCGGCCGACGCGGGGCGCTGGTCATCGACGAGATAACGTTATGTTTGCGCCGACTGGGATCCCCTGAGCCGATGACGGTCTCTATGCCGGTCAAGCATCGGCAGAACCGAATAGTTGTCTCCGTGTCGGTCAGGGCCTGAGGGCCCACTTCCCAAGCATGGACAAGGCCGTGCTTGTCGTGGTTGGACGCCCGTGATTTACATTGGTCGAGGCCCCTGAGCCGATAAGGGCTTCCTGAGACGGCCAGGGCCTACAGTGCCTAGGAGTCCTGACCAGGAGTCCTGTGTTAGAAAGGGGACCAATGACCCAACAGCAATGTCCGAGGGAGCCCAAACAGGGTCCCGATGGACTTTTTGGGACCTAGGATCAAGGACCCGATTAGAAGGTTGAAGGGCTCGAGGGGATCTTGGGCCTCAAGTGGGTCACATTAAAGAGCCGGTCCGTAGAACCGTGACCTCGGATGTCGTTCAGAGGGCAACTTGCGCCGATCGAGAACCCCTGGCACAATGCGGACTTCTATTGCCACCAAAGACTGCCACACCGAACGTCTGGTTGAGCCCAAGGGCTGATCCTTGCAGCCCTGGAGCCCCGATTGGACTTCATTTCTCGGGCAAGAATGAGCCCGGCGTCCGTGATCTGCATTGATCGGGGTTTCTGGAATAACGTGGGGCCGCTTGTCGGTCGGGGGCCGACAGTAACCAACAAGGGGCCCTGTGTCGGCAAGTACCCCTGAGTCGGCTTGGTGGCCGTGTTCGAGTGGTACGAACTGAGGCAAAGAGGGGTCTGAAGGGCCTTCGGGACTTTAGATCAAGGGCCGATTGGAATCCCGAAAGGCTAGCTGTGGTTCACGTTAAGGACCCAACGATCATAGGGTCGTTGAGATAGCGTCAATGCCTCAAATGTTAGTCAGAGCGTCTCTTCCACCGAAAGGAGACCCCTTGGGCAATGCACTGCCCCACTTTGGCCAGAAAAACACTCGGCACAGTCGGCTCCGCATTCATCTGAGTTCTGGGGCACATTCCCTAAGAAGGTACGACGCCGGGATTCGAGATTTGCATCGGTCGGGGCCCCCGCAATCATGGGGACCCCGTATCAGTCAGCAACCGACCAACCTTGCCGCGTCCTAGGAGTAAATCGCCATCAAATGGGAGTTGGGATCCCAAAATGGAGAAGGTTTTCTACTTCCATCGAACAAGTAAAAATTCAAGAGGTTCACCAATCCGCAACCGTGTTTGCACTGTTTAGGCCTTGGGTTGCCCGCCTGCGCTGCTAAATATCCACGCGTGCTAAGCGCCGCGGCCTTAAGTGCGAATCGGTACTATACACCGCTCCCCTGTTGTAAGAATTCGTACTGAATATTCACAAGAACGCATTGAGAAACCCAGTTTGCTTGGCAATTACGTCATCATCAGCTGGCACGTGTATGCACGAGCCACGTGCGGCGCTCCGCATTTGTCAACAGCCTCGGCGGTAATTGGCGAACCGCAGGTAACAGGCTCTAGGCAGTGCATGAGCGGACTGATGGGGCGAGTGGCGTAGTCTTCTGAAGCAGCATACTTGGAATAAGCTATCGTCCAGTTTTCAAGAAAATCGTTTGATTTGAACCCGTTTTTTGGAAACCTGAAATGTGAGAGATGTGCACCTGGAGAGTAATTTTACCTCCTCAGGCCATTATTGGCAGCTCCGCACCTAGGCAATGTTCAGTGCTGGTAGATGTGAGGTGACATCTTGTGAGGCTCGCTAAGCGAAAATCTATAAATTAGACTGTATGCTCCCATAAATTTAAATAAAGTGTTGCAAATGCAATGCTGTCCCTGGGCATTCTATCGGTTAAGCTGGCATAGGTGTGGGTTGTTTTAGTTGTGTTGTGGTGCTATGGATAAGACAATAAATGTATATTTAATCCAGTTGAAGACAAATGACACATCAATGAGACTTTTGGACAGGGTATATTGTGTAAAGGTTTTAGTACAGTTGAAGTCAATTTTGGCATTCAGTCACACATTAAGTTTGAAATTAGGTTGACATAAAAAACACTCACTGAAATTGTTGCTTCAACCTTTCCTCTGATGGTGAGTTGGGGGCAATGTAAAAGAGCTAGAGATTAGGTACAGTCCAGTTGAGGACAGAACTACTTAAAAATTGATGCAGAACAAAACTGAAGCAAGGTGTTTGCAACTAAATTAATACAACACATGAACTTCTCATGATGGAGCATTTGAACTCCACCTGTAATCTGGCAGTCAAATGATGCCTGGTAAGATATATACCTGAGCATTGGTTACCTGTTTAATGCTGAAACATACACCTGGACATCAGTCAAGAAGGCAAGCTCACCAGCTGGGATAGCTCATTACCTCCTTATAGATGATCTCAAAAACTAGTTTATCAACTAGCTTTTTTAGCTGGTAAATGACAACTTTGCAAGCATGTGGATGACTAATTTTGAGCCAGTGGTTTTAGTCATACCACCTGCTAGAGTGGTGTATATGTCTTGTACTATGTAGAAGTAGTATATGGTGCATGACATAAGTCATGACATATACTACAACTGCTTTCTGATGATTTTGGGACTTATGTGCAAGCATGCTGGTAGCTGAAAATACAAAATGTAGGCAGAGCCCCATAAATTTCATTAAGGTTTGCAGTTTAGTTTTTTGTATAAAGAATGCATTGTTTTTGGTTGCTTTTGGTCAGGTTTGTTTATTTTGGGATAAATAATGAGTAGGCAGATACAAACAGGGAGCAGAATGTATAGGACACCAGCCTCTTGTTCATTGGTAGAAGCAGGCTTCATCAGTATGAAGGTGCAGTTGATGAAAGTTTTGCTCTGTTTCTTAAATCTATGTACAACTCAGCAATTGCTCTTAACAAAGCTGTACTCTTCTGTCAGATCAACTGCCTGAGCACAGGGCATTCAACAATGGCGTCGGACATGCGCGCGATCCAGCCGGAGTCCTTGTACAAGCTGTACCTGGAGTGTCAGGAACGGCCAGACGGGCGGCGCCTGGATGAGGCGCGGCCAACGGTGCTGAACCGCGGCGGCGTCGGCACAGCCGACGGCTCGGCGTACTGCCGGGCCGGTCACACGGCCGTGCTGTGTGGTATCAAGGCCGAGGTGTGCGTGCCGGCCGTGGACGCGCCGCAGGACGCCGGCTGGGTGGTGCCCACCCTGGAGCTGCCGGCGCTCTGCCACCACCGGTTCCGACCGGGGCCGCCGGCCGAGGCGGCGCAGACGGCCAGCAGCCAGCTGCTGCAGCTGCTCGACAACTCGGTCGCGCTCGACCGGCGGCGGCTGTGCATCGAGCCCGGTCGCGCCGTCTGGGTGCTCTACTGTGACCTGGTGTGCCTCAGTCACGACGGAAACGTGCTGGACGTGGCGCTGATGGCGCTGTCCGCGGCGCTGGCCGACCTGCGGCTGCCGCGCGCCTGGTGGGACGCGCCGGCCGAGCGGCTGCGCGTGGCACCCGCCGAGCGGGCGCCGCTGCCGCTCGGCCCGCTGCCGCTGGCCGCCACGCTGGCTCTGTTCGATGGTGACACGCTGGTGCTGGACCCGGCCGGCGAGGAGGAGGCCCTCTGCGCCGCCGCCGTCACCGTCGCCTGGGCCGGCGACAACCTGCTGCTGCTGCACAAGGCGGGCGGACACGCGCTCTCCGAGCAGGCCATGGACCAGTGCATCGCGCTCAGCAAGCGACGCACCCTCGAGCTGAAGAAACTGCTGGACGTGTCGGCTGATGCGGCCGCGGAGGGCGGGGTCGTCGACTAACATGCGGACCTGGCGTGTATATGATGCGGGTGAGATTGTTGAACGGGCTGTGGATTCGTCCGCTAGATGGCCAACCACCTGTTGCTGCGCCGGGTGGTCGCCGGCCGACGTGAGCAACACAAGTCATCATCATCAGTATGTTTTGCAAAGTACAGGTTACTATTTTGTTATTCAACGTGTGTGCTCCGTTGTTTTGATCGCTAAACAAGGGCTAAACAAATACACGAACATCCTGTTTGCTGTCTGGTGCACTGCATGACTTCTTGGGGAAGCGTGCGCTCTCGCTACAAGTCTGATTGCCCGTAAAGCTTTGTACGACCCAGCAGTTGTTTCGAAACTGATGGCCTCTTTTCATGCCATTTGCCTGTCTTTCTGATACTCAGGAAGTCTACGTGGAGAACAGTAGTGTTGTTCACGCTTTTGTAAGAGCGCGTCGCACGTCGTCGCGGACCCTTTTATGGAGCGCGGTGACTGTAGAGGCCATATTATATTAGCGTCGGGGGCCATGGCGCAACCGGAGTTCGGACCCGGATCTCACACTCGACGGCATCCACTTCACTAGTACACATCCGTTTTTCTTATGGTTGAAAGCTGTAGCGTACGCAGGAAGTCAGAAGGGGAGGCAATGTGATAGCAAATCACTGAAAACGAAGAAACCGCATGAAAAAATCGCATAAAACTGCGCGTGCTGCAGGCACGCGTAGTTTCATGCCACCCCCCCCCCCCTCGCAAAACTGCAGTAACAAGCGCTGAGGGTGAATACTGCGAGAACGACATCGTCCACATCCCAGATCCACAAAATCTAACGTAGGCATTAAGATGCTGCATTAAGACGGTGCAGGTAAGACGTCTATCCTATTATCCAGGATAATAGGATAGTTCTCACATGTCACTGAACGCCACTTACGTGATGCCATGCTCGTCCTGCCCGGAGCCGTACATTTTGCGCAACCAGCCAACCGGATTCCCCGCCATTTTTACGTGGTTGTCATAGCTTGCCTGCGGTCGCAGATGTTCATGGAACCAAGCCAATCAGAATGGTAGCAACGGAACTGCCACAACATAAACGACACCTGCTGGCCACTTCCCTGCCCAAATTTCGGCAATCATTTACGTAAAGTAGCTTCTAGATGACAGACGTGGACAGGCACAAATAAGCTCGACAGCATGCAATATTGTTTTACGGCAAGTACGACATTTTGCAGACTTATCTGTCTGCTACCTGTCCTGTCCGACACAGATCTGCTTGACGCTCAAAAACAACTTCTCACTCATTTCTGACTTTCTTCTTTTCTTAATATTTTGTTAGGAACGGTCTCCAGCGCGCAATAGATGGCATCTGACACGGAAACATAGACAAGATATAAACGTCACAGACAATCGACTCGACAAAAGCATTGTTATTTTATCGACCTGGTAGACATGACACTGGAGAACAAACGCCGATAATGGCGTCGTCCGAAACACATTTCTATCCGTGCGATGTCGCGGGAGCAAATACTATGGCTGCACCATGCGCACGTATGCCGCAATGCATCAGCAACGAAGAACAACGGTAACATGATGCATCATGTTAAGCTGTGGGTCTGCCGTGAAAGACCGATCACTGATCACTCAGTGCCTGCCGACTGATGGAAAAATCGGCAGTCCGACGGACGCCGCCGTGGCGCTGTCCATACAGCAAATCAAACGCTCACGGCGCTGCGGCCACTGCCCAGAACGAATCAGACCCGCCATAGTAACACGGCGCAGCGCCGGCCGCTGGTCGCAGATGCGCAGCCTCCGTCCCGCAGGCACCGGCGCGGCCGGCGCGGCACCGCCCCGCACCCCGCCCACCTACTTATCGTCCAGCTCGAGGCTCATGTCGCCGCTCGAGTCCATCATCCGTAGGCTGACGTCACTGGCGGCGGCCAGCGCGGCCGCCGAGGCGGCGCAAGGCGTGACGGACGGGGCGGGCGTGGCCCCGTCCGCCGCCAGCAGCGCGATGGACGGCTCGTCCAGCCGCGCCTGGCTGCTCAGCAGCTGCTCCAGCACGCTGCCCAGCATCTGCGTGCTGAAGGCGTCGTCCCGCTTCAGGCTCAGCGCCTTGTGGAACGCGTCCACCGCCTTGGCCGGCTGGTCCATGAGCGCGTGCGTGAAGCCGATGGCGGCGTAGGTGGATGCGCTGTGCGGCTCGAGCACCAGCGCCTGCTCGTGCGCCTCCAGCGCGTCCGAGTAGCGGCCGAGCTTGCGGTACGTGTGACCGAGGTTGTTGAATAGCGGCTCCCAGCGGTCGGCAGCCACCGTGTGCCACTCCTGCTGCACCAGCTGCAGCGCCGCCGCCAGGTGCCGCTCCGCCTCGGCGTACTCACGCCCGGCGAACAGCAGGGTGCCCAGCTCGTGCAGCACGAACGGGTCGCGCGGCGCGATGGCCAGCGCCTGGCCCAGGAACTGGCGTGCTAGCCGGGCGTTGTTGGTCAGGCCGTACTCCAGCCCGACGTACAGCAGCGGCAGGTGACAGCCGCGCATCAGCTGCGAGCCGCGGAAGTACGCCGAGATCGCCTGGTCGTGCTCGTTCTCCAGCGCGAAGCTGTGCCCGTACGCCAGCCACGCCGGCCCGAACACGGGGTCCAGCGTGGTGGCCTTGCTGAGGTAGCGGCGCGCAGGCTCCATCTTGCCGATGGCGTAGTAGTAGGTGCCGACGGCGAACCAGGCGAGTGCGCTCTCCGGGTAGGCGTCCACCAGCCGGTGCGCCAGCTGGAAGAGCGCGTTGGTCTTGCGCCGCTCGAGCAGGCAGGCGATGTGGACGGGTAGGCAGCGCGCGTGGTCCGGGTCCCGCTCCAGCACCTCGGATGTCAGCCGGAAGCAGCGCGCGTAGTCGCAGTTGTAGTAGTGCTGCTCAGCCTGGCACGCCATCACGTCCGCGTTGGCGGCCAGCGGCGGCGGGACGGCCGCGTCGGCCGCCTCCTCCGGCGCCGTGTACTTCTTGAGCTGCAGCTGGTAGAGCCGGCGCACAGCGTCGGCGTCGGCGGCCGGCAGCTGACGCTCCAGCGGCAGGGCGTCCATCAGCTGGCGCTCCTCGTCTAGCGTCAGCATCTGGTGGCCGAGCAGCGCGTCGAACGCCTCGTGGCAGAGCACGTCGGCCATGAGCGCGGCACGGTAGCACTGCGCCGCCACCGGCCGGTTCTCCAGCGCCTCGTGCACGCGGCCCTTGAGCAGCAGCAGGTGCGCCGGCTCGTCGCGTCCGCCGCCGACCTCGGCGATGTCGAGCAGCGGCACGCGGCCGGCCGGCGACTCCTCCAGCTCCGGCTGCAGCACGGCCAGCGCCTCCTGGAAGGCGCGCGTCTCGTACAGGCCGCGCGCCGCCAGGTAACGGCACTCGTCGTGCGTGCGGTGCAGACCGGAGCTGCGCACCAACTGCACGGCCCGCTGTGGCTGCTTGATCAGCAGGTAGCAGTGCGCCAGCGTCACCAGGTCCTCGGTCGCCTCCCCCGAGAGTGAGAACACCTTGTCTGCCCAGTAACAGGCTGCCTGGTACATGTGGTTGTGGATGTATCGCTGCACCACCGCCCGCAGCGCCTCCAGGTCCATGGTGAAGGTGTCAGTGGCAGCACGTCCAAACTGTAGAAGACAATGTGTAATGTGACCCACTGGTGGGAACTGCACAATCATAATGTTAATCAGGGTTCTTGGGTCATCATGTCATAAGCAGTCATCAGGACTGACATCTGCATTTGATGCCACTTAGAGCATCCTATTATCTTACACATAGCTGGTGCTGGCAACAAGAACACAATGTAAGCTGATACATGAAACCAGGTACAACCAGGTACATGCAAATCCCATATTAAATTGCAAGACAGATCATGCCAAATGCCCATCATGTTTGTTCCCTGCATCAGTGCTGCTGTAACCAGTTTGTGTATTGAGGTCAACTCATCTACTTGGCATTAGGCATGATACTCAGATCCTATACTCAGCTGCACCCCATCCCATTCAACAAAGTGCAAGCAATTTTTAACATTGGTGAGTGCTAGATGTGCAAAGTTTTAATACTTAAATGCTTTTAATGATCCTATACCACTGTAAAACTTTACCAAATGTTCACCATATGCACTGTGATGCACTGGAGCTTCAGTAGTTGATGCATCAGCATACACACAATGTACATTTTTACTAAACACTAAACACAGCATGATCTTTCATTTCCAGATACATTAGTGAAATGCATGGGTATGTTCCCTGTTTGACAGGAGACGATTCTCCCAAACCTTCCAGAAATGTGATCCTGTTCCTTTTAATTTTATCAATCATACCCATAGTTCCCCATTTCCCCATTCAATACACCATTTTCTGGCCATGTTGTCTCCCTCAGATTCCTGTTCAACCCACCAAATCCTGTTGTACATCCCAGTCTTAGATGTGTGGTTACTGGCATGGAAGGATGCATGTTTAATGCTGATGCTTAAACTAATCCTTAATACAATTTGAGAACACAAGATGTGCTGCACATGTAACTTGAAATTTCAGAATATTTCTGTTCTATAGACAGATATAATACATTCATCCCTATGACAACTTTTCAGCAACCATTTGACTCACTACAACAAAGATTCTGCAAGCTTTTACAAGATCCAAAAAACACAAATACTATACACACTTGCATAAGCCCATTCCTAAGTTCATGTGAAATTCAACAAGGCTGACTCAACTTCATATCTTTACATCACTCAACTAATGTGAAAAATTTATTTGGGGGAAGCCCCTGCCGCAATCCTCCAAAAATAGCTAATGGCATTACAACCTGATTGGAAAATCAATAGTTGTGGTTATGTTTCCAGTATGGTTAACTGCATACTGGCCTTATACTTTGCAGGCACATCGTCAGAAAACAAACTAGACATTACATTCTGTTAACAAATTATGCGAGTATTGACCATGACACGATTTTAGATCTACCTGTATGACAGTCTCACCAAACACCATGGCAACCTTTAAATTCAAATTTCACTGTGGAGCAGCAGACAAATCCGTGGCTCACGCACAACACCAAACAATTTCAAGTTCATCTCTCAGGATCTCCCCTTTCAGAAAACCCTCAGCCATCCATGATATTGATATTTTATCTAAATCGCAAGCCAGACGCTGAGTAAATGCAGGAATACGGAGTTTTCGCACACAACGGCCCCACCACCCTCCGTTGTTCTAATGTACCGCCTCTGAATGTACCTTCCCGCCGTTACAGTGCGGGGAGCGTGGGAAGTAGCTGCATCTGGGACGAGAGCGTAGTAAAGAAAAGCTTGTGAAATGGAAGCATATGGTAGCGCTAACAAATATCAACAAAAAATTCTGCGTTATTAGTCAAAGTGTGTGGGAAACCGCCCAAGCCCGGGGTCTGTTTCGGCAACTTCGCATAAGGTGAGCGATGCTGATCGAACTACATGATACCGCTTTGTTCATTTGATTTTTTTACTCGTTTTGCGATGGCGAATTACCAGTACTCTCCCGACCCGATGCTCTTCAGTCTTTATAGAGTGCGCCACATTGTGCAACTTATACCGGACCACGCATTTGAGGCTTATCAAAGTAGATGTAGCTTAGATAGGAAGTCAATATAGTGCCAATTTCTTAAAGCATATGGGATTTATGTACCAGTATAACCGCTCAGTGTTTTTACCTTCATTTTGACCTGCTGATAACATTGTAAAATGAAGTAATTGGCACTGCACTTTTCACGTTTAGGTGTTGCAGCCTTCTGGCCATGCCATCATGACCATGGTTTCTAAAAATATTGCTTCTTCATAGCAGCAGGATTATTTCTTCGATATGCATTGGACCAACACCATGCACTGCCACCATTGTCATGCTGCAAACTGATCAATATGGGCCAACCTGCAGGCCGTCAACCTGCAGTTTGTCAGAGTTTCCAAAAAAAGAGTGGAAGTGGTATACATGATACAAGTATTCATGAACATGCAGAATTCCTATGATGCAAGTTATAAGACCATAACAATGAAATATGTCCTTTACTATGGTGGAAATGACCTGGCATTGTCCTAACTGAGCAAAGGTAAAAGCATAATAGAGGTTGTGGCTCTTATGTATTACATGGCTGTTTCTAGGTGTAGGTGTACTTTCCTACCTAACATTATACAAAATCATTGCACACCATTTGTTGTGTTTAAGGCGGCACATATCATAAATAATCTCAAAACAGGTAGAATCCAACCTGACCTAACCTAACCTAACCTAACCTAACCTAACCTAACCTAACCTAACCTAACCTAACCTAACCTAGCCCAACCCACTGAACCAAACCAAACCAAACCAAACCAAACTGAACCTAACCTTACCTAACCTAATCTAACCTAACCTAGCCTAACCTAACCTCCCCACCCCATATCCCCTGCAACCCAGTGGCCCATTGGCGTCCATGGTCCATGCCATGTATAGGTGCCATATAGTGAGCTTTTATTTGGCCGCCATGTTCTCATTTTGCTTTACATTCCCCACCCAATCTCCCTGCAACCCATCGTCCAGTTGTCATTGAGGATCAAATTTCATGGATTCTTGTTACCTTGGCGGGTACATTTTTATGGTTCTTGATGCTGCTTGATGCGCAGTAATGTTGTGACCATGCGCAGTAATCGCTGGTGTTGCGGCTGCTGTGTGTGTGTGCAGTGCTCGGGAGCTTGCCATCATAATTATTTTTAAAAATCGAAGGTAAGACCATGAATCTACCTGTTTTGTGATTATTTATGATATGTCCTGCCTTAAGCAAAACAAATGGTGTACAATGATTTTTTCTAATGTTAGGTAGGAAGGTACACCCTGACCCATTTCTGCACAGTATGCACAGTCTTGTCAAGTTTTACACTTTGATGCTCCTAATCAAAATTACTGCGATCATTGAGATTGTTTGTAGAGAGATTATGAAATATTTTCTGAGGCAAGTTGACATGATATCTTTGTTTTGTAAATATCATTAATGCATATTATGCAGTGACTGTTCTAGGAATGTATGAAATGAAGAACTAAACCTTCATACAACAGTTGTGTGTAAAATGACATTTGAAAAAGATAATTATTCACACATGATAGCTCTGCCATGCATTGTATACTCTGACTATCAGTGCACAAATTAATAGATGTTGTTGGTATCATGTCATGGCTATATAGCTGGTTATAAGTCAGTAGTTTATTTTCTTGTCATGCTTTATTGCTGTTTATCCATATAATGCAGCTTGTCACCCTAAGGTGGCCTTCAATAGCCTTTATTAGATCATTTACCTAGTTCAGAAAAGTAGGTGAGGTAAAAGCTTTGAAGACAGCAGATTGGTATGAAATTACAGCCAGCATTTTCTTTCCTAAGCAAGTTGAATTTTCTGAGATGTGTTTCATTCACATTATTCTGTCAGTGCACCCAAGTATCCAATTAACATGATATTAGACATGATTAGTTCCCAGACAGACATTGTGTTAATTTTGTGTACTTGATGCTGGATCAGATAATGCTGCTACAGAATCTGTTCCGAATAAAGCACTGCCTCTTTACATGTATACTGACTAGTCATGATTTCACACCAATCTTCAAAACTTTTTTAAGTAGGTTGACATCTGTGCCAGTGGACATGGCAGCATGTGGTTGGTGAGCAGCAGATGCATGCTATTGCTGACAGTTTGTATGTGCTGCCTGCCAGCAGCAGCCACCATGGCCTCAGACAAGGTGACACTGGAGGACGCACTCTCCAACGTGGAGGTCCTGGAGGAGCTGTCACTGCCTGACCAGCAGCCCTGTATCGAGGCACAGGCGTGCTCGGTCGCCTACCACGCCAACTTCGACACAAACTTCGAGGATCGCACTGCCTTCGTGTCGGGCGTGGCCAAGTACATCGAGGAGGCCACTGTACACGCCAATCTGGTGAGGCGCGCTGCGCGGCCGGCCCGGCGGCCCGCCGACTGTCCGCCGGCTGCTGCGTCACTGTCCAGCTGGCGTGTCACGGTCACGCGGTCGCCAGCCAGCGGGCCAGTGGCTGGACTGCCAGGTCACTTCTGTCGGGCGGGCCGAGCCGCGTGCGGAGTCCCCCCCCCTCCCCTCCCCCCCCTCCTGCCTTCCAGCTGTGGTGTGTTGGGACGGTCGCCGTGCTGTATGTGATGTGTGGCCGTCTGGAGTGGCCGTGATGGGGCTGAGTTACGGATGCTGCGGTCGCGGCGTGGTCGATTGGTGTCACGCTGTGGTCGGAGATTCGTCAGCACCCGGATCAACATGGTGCAAACCCGGATGGGCAGTGAGGCTTTGAACTGCGCCCGGCCCCCAGCTGAACGCAGCTGGCCCCCAGCTTCGTCACCCGGCTATACTGATACTGGCACTCAACACTCGCAACACAGCGCACACCACTATCATGTCAACACTCAATCCTCGTTCTGACGCCTGCGAATGCCGATCTTGCAGAACGTTTGTGGATGACGGCGGACCTGATGATAGTTGCAGCGACACGAATGGCGATGTTTGTGCTATCGCCGTGCGAGACTGCTGCCACTGGCCTTGCACGGGACCGTTTGTGTACATGTCGCCTCGCACCGGCAGAATGAGTTGCTGGAGGAGGGTCATCAGCATGCAGTGATGCTGTACACCTGGCGGTGCTGCTCGCGTGCCATACCGCAGCCCAAGTCCAACGAGCAGCCGAACCGTGTCAAGATCTACCAGAAGACGGTGGACGTGCTGGGGCCAGAGGTGGACAAGCTGCTCAACTTCATGTACTTCCAGGTGAGCGGTGGGCACGCCTTCTCTCTTAGAGTGCAGGGGTCATTGCGACGCATAATACGCCTTGCGGAAGGGTCCGAATTTTTTTTATTTTGCGTTAAACCGACGCTGTCCGATGTTCACGGCGCCGATATCGCATGGTGTACGTTGCTGGCACACGCTTCGTGCCATTGAGGTGTCGCGAGAAACGTTGCTGGTCTGTCAGGAGTGTCAGTGTTGCCATCACCGCGCAGCCCGCGTGTTGTCGGCGGCGTGAGTCGCCTTGTGAGTGAGCGGCGCGCGGTCGCCGCCGCCGGGCTGCCAGACGGCCGCCCCGCCCCTGACGGCGGACCGCCCGACCCGACAGCGCAAGGCCATCGAGCGCTTCTCGGCCGAGGTCAAGCGGCTCTGTCACCAGGAGAAGCGCAAGGACTTCGTGTCGGAGGCCTACCTGCTCACGCTCGGCAAGTTCATCAACATGTTCGCCGTGCTGGACGAGCTGAAGAATATGAAGTCCAGCGTGAAGAACGACTACTCCACGTACAGAAGGTGCGGCGAAGGGCCGCCCGTCACTGACCGTGGCGCCGCCAGAGCTGTGCTCTAGCGTCTCAGCAAGATGGGGAGTCTGCCCAGTAATGACTCCACATTGTTGAGCGTCTGCTCGTCGGGAAATTGATCCAGTATGAGAAGTGTTCCAAAATGGGAACCATAAGTGTGTGTTTGTGTGGAAAAGATCATGAATGTAAACATCTGGTTTATAGGGATGGTTATTCACAGAAATGGGGATCATTTCACAGCATTATGAAAGGAACAATAACCTTCAGTCTGATGGTTGTTATTTAGATAGGGCCAAAAACCGAACATGCCATACAGTACCGAGCCAACCTTTGACGGTGTTATTGCGGCTGACCTGTTCTATGCCCTGTTGTTATACACCATGAGACTTATGGTCATTATTCGTTTTATAGTCATGACCTCATGTCTCAGATTTGTGCTTAATCAAATTGTTTCATATGTGACATTTCTGACTTGTGTTTGTCAGATCTCAACTAAAATGTAAATGGTATAAATTCTGCATGCCTGCTTTCAGGTGTGTCATACTTCCAAAATGGGTTTAAATGCATATTATTTGTTTGCTCATCACCCAGTTTTGTCATGTGTAGCCATGCTGCAGCGTGTCTCACTGTACTGTGAGGTGTGGCATATGACCCGCGGTCGTATCCGCAGGGCGGCGCAGTTCCTCAAGGTGATGGCTGACTCGCAGACACTGCAGGAGTCGCAGAACCTCTCCATGTTCCTGGCCACCCAGAACAAGATCCGCGACACTGTCAAGGAGAACCTCGAGAAGATCATCAACTACGAGGAACTGCTGGCCGACGTGGTCAATATCTGCGTGCATATGTACGAAACAAAGGTGAGAGCACAGACTTGAGGCTTCGGCGAGACTGATTTGGGACAGAGCCCCGAATTTTGTGTAAAGATAAGCTGTTTTCCTTGCACCGTTTAGCTCTGAGATTCATGACCACCCTAGGAGTTATGTCACTATATCTAGACACTCAAGCGTGCATGCATGAGTCATCAGGCAGTGTTGTTTAAAGGGAGATGGACGGGGGGGGGGGGGGGGGGCGCCGCGTGTTCTGAGATTTGACGACCACCTGGTCTGGCAGATGTACCTGACACCACAGGAAAAGCACATGCTGGTGAAGGTGATGGGCTTCGGCCTGTTCCTGATGGACAGTGAACAGTGCAACATCAACAAGCTGGACCAGAAGAAGCGCATCTGCATCAGCAAGATCGACAAGATCTTCAAGGTACCTGCACGCTTAGCCACGTGACTGTTGTGTGTTTCGTTCAGAGATGGGAGCGCTGCCTGGATGGTAGCTCCTGGCCGTGGTATATCCTTCACTCGATGCCGGCCTGCCGCCCACGCCGCCGCCGCGCTCCGGCCGGTGGCCGCCCGGCCGCTCCTCACGTCATGTCATCTGGCGGATAGCGGGTGTGTGTGAGGCTGGCCGGCCCAGCCGCTGCGGCTGTCTGCGAGCCCTCCCTTCTTGGTCTCGATCCGCCACCTGCTGCCTCCGCCGTCACGTGCCGGTGAGCGGGCCGGTCAAGCCCTCCCCTCTTTGCCTCGATCCGCCACCTGCTGCCTCCGCCGTCACGTGGTGGTGAGCGGGCCGGTCGAGCCCTCCCCTCTTGGCCTCGGTCCTCCACCTCCTCTCTCCGCCGTCACGTGGTGGTGAGCGGGCCGGTCGAGCCCTCCCCTCTTGGCCTCGGTCCTCCACCTCCTCTCTCCGCCGTCACGTGGTGGTGAGCGGGCCGGTCGAGCCCTCCCCTCTTGGCCTCGATCCTTCGCCTCCTCTCTCCGCCGTCACGTGGTGGTGAGCGGGCCGGTCGAGCCCTCCCCTCTTGGCCTCGATCCTTCGCCTCCTCTCTCCGCCGTCACGTGGTGGTGAGCGGGCCGGTCGAGCCCTCCCCTCTTGGCCTCGATCCTTCGCCTCCTCTCTCCGCCGTCACGTGGTGGTGAGCGGGCCGGTCGAGCCCTCCCCTCTTGGCCCCGATCCTTCGCCTCCTCTCTCCGCCGTCACGTGCCGGTGAGTGGGCCGGTCGAGCCCTCCCCTCTTGGCCTCGATCCTCCACCTCCTCTCTCCGCCGTCACGTGGTGGTGAGCGGGCCGGTCGAGCCCTCCCCTCTTGGCCTCGATCCTCCACCTCCTCTCTCCGTCGTCACGTGCCGGTGAGCGGGCCGGTCGAGCCCTCCCCTCTTGGCCTCGATCCTTCACCTCCTCCCTCCGCCGTCACGTGCCGGTGAGCGGGCCGGTCGAGCCCTCCCCTCTTGGCCTCGATCCTTCACCTCCTCCCTCCGCCGTCACGTGCCGGTGAGCGGGCCGGTCGAGCCCTCCCCTCTTGGCCTCGATCCTTCACCTCCTCCCTCCGCCGTCACGTGCCAGTGAGCGGGTCGGTCGAGCTCTCCCCTCTTGGCCTCGATCCTTCACCTCCTCCCTCCGCCGTCACGTGCCGGTGAGCGGGTCGGTCGAGCCTTCCCCGGGGCGGGTGACGGGTGCGGGGTGGCCGGGCACCGCCGGTGCTGGAAGGGACGCCGGGCGTCCACCATACGTGGTGCCCCCCGCTGAGACGGCCGCCTCGTCCCGCAGGGTCTGGAGGTGGTGCCGCTCTTCGGCGACATGCAGATCGCGCCCTTCAACTACGTGCGGCGCAGCAAGAACTTCGACCCGTCCAAGTGGCCGCTGGCCAACACGAACCAGACGCACCCGCAGTCGGACCTGCTTAGCTCCCTGCCGCAGATCCGCGACGACCACCTCAAGTACATCTCCGAGCTGGCCAGATACAGCAACGAGGTGCGGCCCCAGGCGTGCCCGGTGGGGGAGCGGCCACGGGCACGGGACGGTTAGCGCGTGGGTGCGGATGGGGGCTGCTGTAAGTGGGATATTTCCCTGTTGACGTTATTGGCCGTATCCAGGCCACGCTGATGTTGCTGATCCATATCTTGAGGGGGAGGGGGGGGGGGGGGGGCGTTTTGAGTTTGTGAACTAGTAGCAGAAAATCTGCAGTTCCCAGCGTATGTTCAGCCCAGCCACTGAAATGGAAAAACATTTCATGTTAGTGCAGCATGATGCACTAGCAACCTGGACTCCTCCTGAGATCCCTTGCGCGTTGAAAGCGGGCGAGTATGCAGGAGTAAGCGGCCTAGCATACTTCTTATGAGGCAGCGGCGTCTGCTGGGCTGCGGCCGGTGGAAAGTGGCTGAGCTTTGCAGCTGGGGTTGTGTCCGACCGGCGGCTGCCTGACCTCGGCGCGCGCCGCCGCCGCCGCCGCCAGGTGACCACCACGTACAAGGACTCGCCGCGCACGGACGCCGAGAACCGGGCCATCTGCGAGCTGGCGCTGCGCGGCCTCCAGCTGCTCTCCGAGTGGACGTCGGTGGTGACGGAGCTCTACTCGTGGAAGCTGCTGCACCCGACCGACCACCACCAGAACAAGGAGTGTCCCACCGAGGCCGAGGAGTACGAGCGGGTCAGTGGCGGCTCACAGCGTCAGAGGCCACGGGTCGGGGCGGAGACGAGTGGCAGGGGATAGCATGACCCGGGATGTCACAGCCCGACTGCTATGGAGCTTATCACGCTCCGCTCCTCCATACCAGGCTCTGTGTGTTTGTTACACGGCGTGCTGCACGCCTTTTCTGAAGTTGGTCCGGCCGCCGCATCACCGGCCTGTCGCTGCTCACCGCTGACCAGTGCCCTGCCCCCACCCCCTCCGCGCCACCAGCGTGCCACTGCTCACCGCTGACTGCCCCCCCCCCCCGCAGGCCACGCGCTACAACTACACCGACGACGAGAAGTTCGCGCTGATCGAGGTCATCGCCATGATCAAGGGCCTCCAGGTGCTGATGGCCAAGATGGAGACGGCCTTCAGCGACGGTATCCGGCGTAACATCTACGCCGAGCTGCAGGACTTCATCCAGCTGACGCTGCGCGAGCCGCTGCGCAAGGTCATCAAGAACAAGAAGGACCTGGTCCGGAGGTGAGCCCGGGCGCTGAATGGTGGCGGCGGCGGCGGCGGCGCGTCCCGGGCTCGGTGCTGGTGTGTCTGTCTGGGAGGAGGGCGACTGTCAGTGCCACGGCAGGATCGGGGACGCACTATTGACCCGGTATATATATATATATATATATATATATATATATATATATATATAGATATAGATATAGATATAGATATAGATATAGATATAGATATAGATATATAGATATAGATATAGATAGATAGATAGATAGATAGATAGATATATATATATATATATATATCCTTATATATACATATATATACATATATATATATATAGTATATATTTTGCCATTGTATATATTTGTGTATATATATATACACGTATATATGTATATATCTGTATATATTTTTTGTATGCACATATATATCCGGTCAGGGAGCTCTGGTTCGCAGGCGCGTTTGCGACTGGTCGAGGTATGCGGTGAGTGCGCCGCCGTTCGATGTGCGCGCGTCAGAGCGCGCGCGCAGGCGTGACCGGCGTCTGCCCCGCCGCCAGCATCATCACGTCCATCCGGGAGACGTGTGCCGACTGGCAGCACGGCGTCCAGCCGCAGGACGACCCCATGCTGCGCGGGAAGAAGGACCCCGACAGCGGCTTCAGCATCAAGGTGCCGCGCCGGCGCGTCGGTGAGTGCCGCTGCTGCCGGCCCCGGCCGCTCCGGTCAGCGGGTCAGCCGCTCGGCGGCCGGCGGGGTGACCATCGGGGGAAGCCGCGCTCGGTCAGGGCGTGAGGTCAGAGCGTGAGGTCAGGTCAGGGCGTGAGGTCAGTCAGAAGCCGCGCTCGGTCAGGGCGTGAGGTCAGAGCGTGAGGTCAGGTCAGGGCGTGAGGTCAGTCAGAAGCCGCGCTCAGTCAGAAGCCGCGCTCGGTCAGGGCGTGAGGGACGGTCGGTTGGCCGATGTGTGCTCGGGTGACACTGGGACGGAAGCGACCCAGATACCTCAGAGCTGGCTCGGTGACGACAGCTGTCGATGTGTGTGGTGTTTGTGGCGTCAGACACCGCTGTTGTGCCGACGGTCCGACCGAGCGTTCCATCCCGCTTCTGCTGAGGCGGCGGGCTGATGGTCGTCCGCCTGTCTGTCTATGCGGTGTGCCCTGCTGAGGCGGCGGGCTGATGGTCGTCCGCCTGTCTGTCTATGCGGTGTGCCCTGCTGAGGCGGCGGGCTGATGGTCGTCCGCCTGTCTGTCTGCGGTGTGCCGGCTGACGCGTCCCTCCCCTCCCCCCCCCCCCCCCAGGCCCGTCCTCGACGCAGCTGTACATGGTGCGCACCATGCTGGAGTCGCTGATCGCCGACAAGTCTGGCGGCAAGCGCACGCTGCGCAAGGACATCGACGGCCCGTACCTGCTGCAGATCGACCAGTTCCACAAGACGTCCTTCTTCTGGCCGTACCTGCTGAACATCAGCGAGTTCCTGCAGCAGTGCTGCGACCTCTCGCAGCTGTGGTACCGCGAGTTCTACCTCGAGATGACCATGGGCAAGCGCATCCAGGTGAGAGGGCGCCACCGCAGCCGCTCCCGCCCTGTGTGCCCGCGCCTCCGGCGGCGGTGTGCTTCCTCCGGCCGCTCTTGTCTGTTTGGTGGGCCTCCGTGTGGGGACGCCAGGCGGGCGGGGAGCACTTCCAGGTCTCTCAGACGTTGGCCGTTCCTCATTGCCCCTGGTCTTCGTCTCCATGTGTCCATGTGTGTTTGTCTGGTCAGATGAGTGCCAGTGACAGCTGGGTTTGGGTCTTGTGTCTCGTGGTCTGTCTGTCACGATCGGACGCGGGATGGTCCCCGTGGCTTGGTTTGGTGGGCCGCCGAGCGCCGCTGTCCCTGTGTCCAGTCCATCGCAGGCTGATCCCGTTTACAACCGTCTCGTCGGATCTGTGCACGTGTACGCCGGTGCTGTGTGCCAATCCTTAAGTTGTGCTTCTCTCTTGGCGCTCCCGCAGTGCTTTGTGGTCGCCTGTTGCCGAACAATTGGTCTGGTCAGATGCAGTGACCCTGTATCTGCCCTTGGGCTTCTGTCGTTGCTCCCTGCGCGTCGCCACATTTCCGTGTCTGTGTCCCGTGTCTCTGTCACTCCGTTTTTGTTCATGGCTTTGGGTCTCGAGATACGATCCCTGTTTCCTGTCGAGTGGTGGCCTTGCTTGGGGTGGAGGGCGCGGCGACGTCATTGGTATCTTCCTACCGTAATTTTATGTGGGTGTTCCTGGCTCGAACTATCTTAATTGTAGTGCGCTTCAGTGCAGCCGTGCGCCTTGATGTGTATCTGTCCCGTTGCTCTGATTCGGCGCCTCCTCTGGGGCCGTTGCTTGTCCGTGTCTGAGCACCGGCTCGTGTTCTGCCGTCCTTGTTGTCTGTCCGTGTCTGAGTGCCGGCTCGCGTTCTGCCGTCTCTGTCGTTTGTCTGTGTCTGAGCACCGGCTCGTGTTCTGCCTTCGCTGTCGTCTGTACGTGTCTGAGCACCGTCTTGTGTTATGCCGTCCCTGTTGTCTGTCCGTGTCTGAGCACCGGCCTGTGTTCTGCCGCCCCTGTCGTTTGTCCGTGTCTGAGCACCGGCTCGTGTTCTGCCACCCCTGTTGTCTGTCCGTGTCTGAGCACCGGCTTGTGTTCTGCCGTCCCTGTTGTCTGTTCGTATCTGGGCACCGGCTCGTGTTCTGCCGTCCCTGTTGTCTGTCCGTGTCTGAGCTCCAGCTTGTGTTCTGCCGCCCCTGTCATCTGTGCGTGTCTGAGCACCGGCTTGTGTTCCGCCGTCCCTGTTGTCTGTCCGTGTCCGAGCACCGGCTCGTGTTCTGTCGTCCCTATTGTCTGTCCGTGTCTGAGTACCGGCTCGTGTTCTGCCGTCCCTGTTCGTCCGTGTCTGAGCACCCGCTCGTGTTCTGCCGTCCCTGTTCGTTCGTGTCTGAGCACCCGCTCGCGTTCTGCCGTCCCTGTTGTTTGTCCGTGTCTGAGTACCGGCTCGCGTTCTGCCGTCCCTGTTGTCTGTGCGTGTCGGGAGTCCGTCCGAGTGTGGCCCGTCTGCACCCGTCCGAGGCGGGTCCATGCTCTCGCTGCACCATAGGCCGCTGCCTGGCTGCCGTGTGTCAGTAGCGGACGTCTGGATGCTCCGAAATAGTGGTCGGTCCTGGGCGGCCAGCCGAGGCCAGACTGCAACCGGCACTCGACGCTTTGCCGTCGGTGCCGCACAAGCGTAGTAGCGCGCTGATGTTGGTGTTCCGTGCTGGATGCCCGACCGCGCCGTGCCGGGGCCCGTCCGGACTGGAGGCACACCCGGGTCCACCCCTCCCGTCCCAGTGTAAAGCTGCCTCGCCGCCGCACGATGTCTATAAGGCAGAGGGTGAATGCTTTCGTTGCTAAAGTTAACGAACGTTTCCGTTAGCGGATTGAAAGCGTGTTGGTCGGCAACACTCAAGTTGAATGCCTAAACATGCCGGGAGTCACGTCCCCTTTCACCCCGAATTTGTGCTCCAGAGGTGCGATGTTAACGCTGCTGTCACTGTAGTCTGGAGCTGCTCCGGGCCACTCTGTTGAACCCGGTGTGCCCTCTCGACTCTGTTCCTGATTATGAGTGAGTCGGCATCACCGGCGAGCGCTCCGCGCCATCCTCTGACCGGGCGCGGGCAGCCGTCGCGGCCCGCGCCCGGCGCCGGGCTGTGACGTCCGCGCCCCGTCGCCTCTCAGCGTGCCCATTCTAAGCCGCGTGTCTCCCCTCCTCGCTCGCGCGCGGCCCGTGCAGCATTGCACGGCGCCGCACGAGCACAACGATGAGTGTACCAACCTGGTGGTGATGGAGAAGCGCATTCAGGTCAGGCGGCTCGGTCCGGCCGGCGCGGCTAGCTAGTGACGCATGCGCAGCAGCGGCGGCGGCGGCGGCGGCGGCCGGGCGCGCCTGGTGGACCGGGCCGGGCACAGCGGCGGCCGCGGCCCGCGCTCGCCGCCGCATGAGCTCGCGTGTTGTGTGCAGTGGGTAGCGGTGGCGGGCCTGCGGGATTCGCTTGCGCCTCGGCTGGTGTGTTCCCTCTGGCCGGCGTCTGGCTTGATCTCACCCGGCTAACGGGGTGCCTGCGCGTGTTGGTGTCGTGGTTGGTGTGGTAGCCGGCAGTTGCGGCGCTGCATGCCGTCGGTGTGTGTGACCCCGCCGAGCCCGGTGTAGGATCCCGCCACTGTCCGTGGTACATCCCTAACCCTGCACCCAGCCGCCGGCGCTGCGTGCGGTCGTCCGGACGTGGGCGAGGGAGGGGAGGGGAACACGCCACCGGCACTAGCCGTGCAGGACGCGAGGCGCTTCTCGGTTCTCCAGGCACCAACACCCTTCTCAGGAAACAGAAGGCATGTGTCGCTCAGTGGGAGTGATGGTGACCCTAGTCTGGCTGGCTAGAGGCTTCTCGTTAACGCGTTTGAGCGTCTCGTTTGGTGCTGATCTTTATCTGTGTTCTCTGTGGCGCGGTGAAAAGGCACCGAAACGCCTTTCATGCGAGATGATTTTATTGGCAAATTCCTTCGCGGTGAAACCTCTGGAGACAAGGCCTGTATTTCGACGAGAAAGGTGATTAGATTGCCGCAACCAAGCCAGTGTTGCTCGCGGTACTAACCCGGGTCATTTTCGTTGGAGCTGGCCAGCACCTGGCTGTGCTCTGAGCTCCGGATCTGCACGTACCGTTGTCTGCTTTGTACTAAAACTGCCCTTGTTGCTCACACTGTCACTGCTTCATACTAATATGCACCTGATCATCCGGAACCAGAGGCAGTCCGTGTGCACTTGTCACTGTCATATTTCGAAAATATTGTCTTAATTGTCTCCCCTGCACTTCAACTACACGTACTCACTCCCCGCATTTTAATGACACGTGCTTACTCCCCCGCACTTATATTACACGTACTCACTAAATGTCCCGTGTTGGCATCGAATTAAACCTGTTTGTGTGTGCGTGCGTGTCGCCTTGTGTTACCGTTCCGTCGCCGACCCAACGTCTGGGGCCGGGCATGCCTTGCGGCCGGCCTCTGGCTGACTGGCTCCCGCTGTGTCGGCAGTTCCCCATCGAGATGTCGATGCCGTGGATCCTGACCGACCACATCCTGCGCAACAAGGAGCCCTCCATGATGGAGTGAGTAGGCGGCCCCGGTGGTGGCCGACGCCGGCCGGTCTCGATGCTGGATGCTTGGTGACCGCTGGGGCGTAGAACCAAGGCCTCGGTCCGAGCGAGAACCAAAGCCGGCCAGTGTGAGCTGAGCTGCAGCCGAGCTTCTGAGGACAGCCGAACGTCACTCTTTCGCAAGCGGAGGATGTCGTGTGTCAGGGTTAACTTCTGTAGGCGTGCGACTGTTGCCACGTTCGCTCGGGGGCGCGGCGCTCCTGCTGCGCTCACAGGTCAGATCTGTGCAGTTTCGATAGGTATTGTTGGCTATGTCTGTGACGTAAGACGGCACATAGCGATGCCAGAGCGCCACCAGCTGCTGATCTGGTGCGGGCCTCGCTCGCTCTCAGTCTGCCGCCGTCGTCTGCCCTGCCGGCGTCTTGTCTCTCTTCCCCTCCCCCTCTCTCTTTCTCTGGTGCCGCCGCCGCTCAGGTGGGCGCTGTCTCGACGGCCGCCAGCTGCTTCGTCCGCCCTCCCCGTCTGGCTGTGGTCGCTGTGTGGTGCCGGGGTCTGCGCGGTGCGTGACGGATGGGGGCGCGTGCTGCGGCAGGTGCGTGCTCTACCCGCTGGACTTGTACAACGACGCTGGCTACTACGCGCTCACCAAGTTCCGCAAGCAGTTCCTCTACGACGAGGTCGAAGCCGAGGTCAACCTCTGCTTCGACCAGTTCGTCTACAAGCTGAGCGAGCAGATCTTCGCGTACTACAAGAACCTGGCTGGCAGGTAGGAGCGTCCGTGTTTGGCGGCTCGACAGTCTTAGTTGATCGCCGGTCACGCTGCTGGCGGCGCTCACGGCTGGCGCCTCCCGATGCGCATGAATGTGCAGCAATGCTCTAGTAATGAGAGGTGCGCCACTGCGAGTGTGAGAGCCTTCTGGTTCAGTTGACTGATGGGCGTTGACCAGCAGCCGAGCCTGATCCGCGGCCGTGTAGTCCAGTTGGCTGATGGGCGTTGACCAGCAGCCGGGCCTGATCCGCCGCCGTGTAGTTCCGTTGGCTGATGGGCGTTGCCCAGCAGCTGGGCCTGATCCGCCGCCGCCTGTGTTCCGCCAGCATCATGCTGGACAAGCGCTTCCGGATCGACTGCGCCATGCTGGGCACGCGGCTGCCGTACCCGCCGGCCAACCGGTACGAGACGCTGATGAAGCAGCGGCACGTGCTGCTGCTGGGCCGCTCGATCGACCTCAACAAGCTCATCTCGCAGCGCATCAACGCCAACATGCAGAAGTCGCTCGACCTGGCGCTGACGCGCTTCGAGGCGAGCGACCTGACCGGCATCGTGGTGAGTGGGAGGGGAGGGAGCGGGAGACGCTCCGCCCGGCTGGCCGAAGCGGGTCTTGCGTTGGGATGTTTCCGACGATGGATGTGAAAACAGACCTCGCGCCCCGGCCGGCCGGCCGCCGGCCATTAGCCCGAGCTGTCCTCTGACGCGCCCGTGCTGGCGGCGCCTGCAGGAGCTGGACGGCCTGCTGCGGGTCAATCACCTGGCGCACAAGCTGCTGAGCGCCAGCCTGGCCCTCGACGACTACGACGCCATGCTGCGCGAGGCCAACCACAACGTGCTGGCGCCCTACGGCCGCATCACACTGCACGTGTTCTGGGAGCTCAACTACGACTTCCTGCCCAACTACTGCTACAACGCCGCCACCAACCGGTGGGTAATGCCCCGAGCGGGTCGGCCTCCGGCGGCGCAAGGGGGGGGGGGGGGGGGGGCAGGGAGATGGTCCGGAAGGTGGCAGCAAACTATTGCCCTCGCCGGAATAGCGGATGGGAATGATCAGGGGGCATTAGTGTGACAGCACCAGTTTGTTGCGCGCGAAGCTATGTGGGTGTGCCTGTAATAGTGCCCGCTGTCTGAAAACCTCTGTCGTAGTTCGTCTTTGGATATCGAGTTTACGTGCGACTCACCACGGTCGCGTGATCGGCGCAGCCACGCCTCCAGTCGAGTGTGACCCTGACCATTCCCGGGGTCGTGTCAGGTTTGTGCGCGCCACGGGCCTGGTGTTCTCGGCCGGGGTGAACCGAGAGAAGCCGCCGCAGGCGCCACACTTCATGCTCTGGGGCAGCCGGGCGCTCAACACCTCCTACAGCAGCATCTACGGCCAGTACTCGGGCTTCGTGGGCGCACCGCACTTCAGGGCGGTCTGCCGGCTGCTCGGCTACCAGGTGAGGCGGCGGCCCGCGGGGCGTCACCGGCGCACGCGGCCGCGCAGCGTCGGCCGGAGCCCTCCGGCCCCGGCCGCGGCCTGCGCCGGCGAGCTGGCCATGCCTGCCGCACGGCCGGGACCGACTGTGCTGCGGTATGGCGGTCAGCAGCGTGGCGCCACGGCTTGTCGGGTGCCGTGTGGCGGCATGGCCTCAGCAAAAGGTCCAGTGGAGATCGAATTGTCTTCGTCAAAGCCTCGAATGAGACCGACTTCAGCAAAGATCAATCTGTTCATGATTGGAAGACTCAAATCGTCTATAACGGGTGCCATTTGCCACTCAAAGCTGTTTGCCACACAAGGCCGGCGCGTGCATTGTATCTGTGTTGTGTTATGTTGCGTGATGGCGTGGCTGAGCAAGCACGCGTGAGGGCGGGTGGGCCGGTGTCTGACCGCCGCCGCCGCCGCCGCCGCCGCCGCCAGGGCATCGCCGTGGTGATGGAGGAGCTGCTCAAGATCATCAAGTCGCTCATCCAGGGCAACATCCTGCAGTTCACGCGCACGCTGATGCACGTGATGCCGCAGCGCTGTCACCTGCCCATGCACGACTACGGCTCGGCCGGTGGGTGTCTGGCCGGCGCCGCTTGGGCGCGCCGGGCCGGGGCGTCTGGCGCGTGGGGCGCTGGCACGGCGTCGACTGGGCGCTTGCTTGTCGGACCGACACCGAGTGCTCGGTGTTGGAGGGAAGGTTCGCGTACTGACGAGATGAATGCTCGAGAAACATGTGCGTTATCCTTGCAAATGTGGAGGTGACAATGCGACGCGTTGGAAATGTTTGTTTTCAAAATAGGTTTAAAGTGCAACATTGAGTGTGCTTGCACGGGAAGTTGGTCTGCCGGTGGGAGCCATGGCGTGTGCGGCGGACTGACGGCGCGTCCGGCCTTGGCCAGGCGTGCTGGAGTACTACAATGCCACGCTGAACGACATCATCCAGTACCCGGACGCCCGCACCGAGCTCTTCCACAACTTCCGCGAGTTCGGCAACGCGCTGCTCTTCTGCCTGCTGATGGAGCAGGCGCTCAGCCAGGAGGAGGTCAGCGACCGGGCCGGGGCAGGGGGTTAGGCGCGCGGCTGAGCGCTACGTCAAAATGCCCCTCGGAACAGTGTTTTCATGTGCTGGAAGTAGGGCCCATGTAAGTAAGCTGCTTTAGGCCGTCAGACCGGCTGTTCTGCGAGGGGGTCGGTTCAGCTGTCGGGGGGGGGGGGGGGGCTTGAAGGGATGAGTTGGCCGTTGGCCGGGTGACGTGCTTCAGTGAAGGAGCCGGCCGTCCAGAGGTCCAGGACGCCGACTGGCGTGAGGTTGACACTGGTCTGTGAGCCCGGGATGCGGGCCGGGCGCAGGGTGGGGTCGTCAGACCAGCGACTAGAGCCGTGCCGGGGCCACGCCGTCAGCTCCAGGATCTGCTGCGCTCGTGTCGGGGCCCGGTGGCCGCGGTCCGATCGGGACTGATCCGGACGGGCCGGCGGCAGCCTCTGCCGGGTCCGGGCCGTGGCACACGCGCCGCCCTGGAGCCGCCGCTGACGGACGCCGCCGCCGCCGGCAGGTGTGCGATCTGCTGCACGCGGCGCCGTTCCAGTTCATCCTGCCGCGCGTCTTCTGCCGTGAGAACGAGAAGCAAGAGCTGAAGCAGAAGCGGCTGCAGGAGAAGTACGCCGCCCTGCAGGTGGTGCACAACATCGGCCAGATGGGCACGCCCAGCGTAAGTACCGCTGGCCGGCCGTCGCTCGCGCCGAGGGCTCCGGCCCGTCGGCGGCTGGTCCAGCGACGTTCCCAGGGCTGACTGTTCGGCTGCGCTTCACGCTGTGCGGCTCTGCTTCAGCCGTGCGGCTGCTCTGGCAGCCGGTACGGGCTGTCGCCGCCGCTGCTGTCGGGCCATGACGCCCGGTCAGTGTTCGCCAGGCTGTCGGCCTCGGCTGACCTGCTGCCCTGGGCCGACAGCAAGCCAATATCGCCGAGGAGGGCGACCTGCTGACGCGCGAGCGGCTCTGCTGCGGCCTCTCCGTGTTCGAAGTGATCCTGAGCCGGGTGCGCGGCTTCCTGGACGACCCCATCTGGGTGGGCCCGCCGCCCAAGAACGGCGTCATGAACATCGAGGAGTGCACCGAGTTCCACCGGTTGTGGTCGGCGCTGCAGTTCGTCTACAGCATCCCGGTCGGAGAGAACGAGTTCACCGTCGAGTGAGTACTCGCCGGCCGTGTCTGGGCCGGGCCGGACGCGGGACGGATCGGATCGGATCGGATCGGATCGGATCGGATCGGATCGGATCGGATCAGGTCAGGTCAGATCATATCAGGTCAGATCGGTTTGGGCTGGATTTGATAGAATTGGATTGAATCGGATCGGATCGGATCGGATCGGATCGGACCGGATCGGGTCGGGTCGGATCGGATCAGGTCAGATCAGATCATATCAGATCAGATCGGCTTGGGCTGGATTGGATAGGATTGAATCGGACTGAATCGGTTCGGGGTGGGTATGTGTGCATGAAGCGTTGGAAACCGTATTCAGCTGTTCAGGTCACAGATGTCACTACAGTCAAATTGCTATCCACCTTTGGGTGCGCGTTGCGGGTAGTGTAGTGGTTAACGCGTCTGCGTTAACCATTGCGCGTCTGGGAAACCAGAGGAACGGGGTTCGATTCCCCGCGGCGCCCGCCATTCCTGCCAGGGCGAGAGGCAGGCGGCGCCATGGAGCCTCAGCAGCTGAGTGCGTCGTGAAGCCCCATTGACACGACACCTTTGGGCGCTGTCAAGCTAGTAGATGAAGCTGTCATTAAGATTCATTTTCGCCTGAGTAACCTCCTCGGCAGGGCCAAACCCAGCCCATAGGGAGCCTTGAAGACCATTCAGTGCAGCTTACAGCCCCGCCCTTCTTAATATTTAAAATCCTCACCCACTCGTGGCTGACGCACGCGTCCTGCCCCGGACAAGCGGGGTGCCGCGAGGATTCAGGATGAAGCGAGAAAGAGGATAAGCTCATCTGATGTGCACGATTTTACGTTGCTTGGATTAGAGCCCTTTCGATCACAAATGATCCTTTCAGGGCTGTGGGATGAAGAAGAATGCTAACGGTGGGCAGGACTACATACGCCTGGGGGGCGAACCGTCGGGCTTTAGCCCCCGCAGAGACTCCTCGGGGAGCGCGCTGGGTGTCCGGTCGGGGTCCCCTTCCCAGGAGGCCTCTCGGCCCACTCGTGTCTGACGCATGCAGCCTGCCTCGGATGAGTGGGGCGTCGCGAGGATTCATGATATAACTAGAAAATAGGATAAGAGGATCGGATGGTGAGCAGAATTTTAATTACATTTTGTGCAACATGATCAAGTTGTGTATTGCATTTTTACGAAATAAGACCTAGTTATTACGAGATAAGACATGCAATCGAACAACTAGTAAATAGCGCTAAAACCGAGCATGTGAAGTGCAAGTACGCACCTGAAATTGACGGATAAATTGGGTAGAACACAAAGAGAAGGGGCCAAAACACGGCCACCTAACGCTGTTTGGTTCAGCACACACCCAGTACCGCCGCGGCCACCTCCCGCTGGATTGAAGAGATACAAGTGAGTGCTGCGACACAAACGTTCCATGACGCAATCCAACTGTGACGCATTAAGGTGCATATTTACTAGATATAGATGTTTTGTCGTCCAGAACATAGCCTTTGCATTTATGAGAATGCCAGCTGTTGTGATTAAGCGTATTTCATCATATGTGTTGCTTGCCTTAATATTTTCAAAGTTGGAACATTTCCTTTGACCGAATTTAACATCGAATTTGGCACAACGCCTTTAAACAACATTTGGAAAGAAATGCCTAAAAAAAACTACTTCCCACTGCCCACTGCCACAATCATGACCCCGGCCGCGGCCTAAGTTTAAGGGCTGGACATGTCGGATGTGTGTGCAGACTAAGGGCTGGACATGTAGGATACCTGTGTGCAGACTTAGGGCTGGACATGTCGGATGTGTGTGCAAACCAAGGGTTGGACATGCAGGATATGTTTGTGCAGACTAAGGGCTGGACATGTAGGATGTTTGTGTGTGTGCAGACTTAGGGCTGGACGTGTAGGATGTGTGTGTGCAGACTAAGGGCTGGACATGTAGGATATGTGCGTGCGGTGCCCGCCGACCGGTGTGTGGGTGTCAGCCGGTGGCTGGGACGCGTGCGACGGATCTGACGGGGCGCCGCTGGCCTGTCCCCCCTGCAGGCAGATGTTCGGCGAGGGCATGCACTGGGCCGGCTGCACCATGATCGTGCTGCTCGGCCAGCAGCGGCGCTTCGAGGCGCTCGACTTCTGCTACCACCTGCTGCGCGTGCAGCGCGTCGACGGCAAGGACGGCGTCATCACTGGCATCCCGCTCAAGAAGATGGTGGACCGCATCCGGCGCTTCCAGGTGCTCAACTCGCAGATCTTCGCCGTGCTCAACAAGTACCTGAAAAGCTCGTACAGCGACCAGGACAACCTGCCGGTGGAGCACGTCAAGTGCTTCCAGCCACCGATCCACCTGGCCAACCAGGGCCACTACCAGCGGCCCGACCAGCTGCGGCCAGTACGCAAGTCGTGAGCGGGCGGCACCGGCCGGCGCGCGGCGAGCGGGCGCACCCGTGGCAGAGTCGGGGGTGGAGAGGCCGCCCCCCAGCCCCCCCCCCCCGCGCCCGGGAGACGGCAGAGGCGGGTGTTGGAGAGACTGCCCCCGAGTCCCCCCCGCGCCCGGGAGACGGCAGAAACGGCAGCCGGGCGGCGGTGGCGCTCCACACCGGCCGGCCATGGCGTGACTGGCGCCGGCGGCCGTGGTCCTGGCGTGATCGCAGAGGCCCGGAGGAGGCTGCCGGCTGTGTTGGTAGTGACCGGACCTGGCCACCGGGCCACTCGGTGCTTGTTGTCAGATGGTTTGTCTGTTGGTGCGAACTGGCGCCCGTACTGGCGCGAGTGCAGATCGCTCGGTAGTTCGTGTGGCGGGCGAGTGAGAGCCGAGCGCCGCCCTCGCTCAGGGTGTTCCGTGTGCGAGTCTGCATCACCCGGTCGTGTGACGAGTCTGTCGGTTGGAGTGTCACATGATTGTGTGTGGGCTGGAGCGTAACATTTGTCTGTGCCGGCTGGAGCCGTCCTGGAACCGCAGGCCGGGCTTCACACCCATGAGACGAGTGTCGGCGGTCCTTGACTCCGGCCCGCCTGCTGGGCAGAGCCTCCCCGCTCCGCCCCGCCCCGCCGCCTGCGCCATTAGCCGACGCCAGATAGAGCCGCGCCTCTTCCCGGAAGTGGTCTGTACGCCGCGCCAGCAGGCGCAGGACGACTGGCGGCGGCCGTCCCGAGCCGCAGTGATATGTGCTTCCTGCGAGATTCGCGCTGGGAAACCCTCGTTGCTATTTGCGTCATCCCGCTGCATTTTCGCAGATTTTTGTTTCCCGCATGTCATCTGCCGTTATGTATCATGGACACTTCTCGTGTTATTCGTCTTGCTTGATTACGGAACATTATTTTATACTATGAAATGGAAGACTGGTTAAGTGTAAATATAAGCGTCCGTCATATCTCCCACATCCGTTAAACGGCATGATATGGCGCCTATCGCATTTGAATGGATGCAGCCTCGCGCCTGATGGTTTGCACTAAAATGGCCGAGTCGTTAGGCTTGCCAGTCATCTTTTCCTTGCTTCTTAAATCGACGGTCGATGACTGGCTCGGCTGCAGCTTGCTTCTCGGCAGAGCGGGCCGCATGGCCAAATCCAAATCAAAGCGTGCTGCGGCGAGGATTTGACGGCTGCTGTGATTTAAGTTCGCGTTAGGCTTAGCTGCAGTTCCAGCTACGGGCCGTTGGTCTTGTCGGGCGCCGTGTTTGGCCACGCAGCGAGCGTTTGGGCTGCCATGCCGGCCAGACGCCGACAGGTCCACCAGTGCAGGCAAAGGCCAACGGCCCGAGCTGGTCCAGCTGACATAAGGCGGCGCCGCCTTACTGGCGAAAATCCCTCGCCCCTATCTGGGCAAACGAAACAGCAACTCCCCGTTGAAAAGGAGGTACTCAGCTGGGGTGGCGGGGTAACGGCAGCAGGCTGTGTTCAGTAGTGACTGACCCCTCCCCCTCATCCGTGTTCACCGCCTGGCTGCACATCGCCAATCCTAAAGCTCTGAAGATGTCAATGGCAGCTGAAAGAGCTATTCCCCAACCATCTCTCTCGCGGACTTCGCGGACCGAGCTAAACTAGAAGCAGCAGTGATGACGCAGTGTATCGTCCTCCGCGATAACTTGAGGTTTTCAAACCGGGCACTGTAGTCTCACGGTGCACCACATTTCTATACGACTGCGAACAAATGTGACATGTCAACAATGGTAATGGAAAACAGGCACGAAATGTTAGCGTGGGGCGTTGCGGCCCCATTTACAAACAGACGTGATATGAAAACATGGCAGCTGCATACGGATGGAAGACGTCTCACAGCATGTAGGAATGCCGATATCCCTGGTTTAGTCCCGCCGCTCATGGCCTTCGTCGAAGGGTTTAAAAAACCCCTATCGAGTATCGAGCAGAGCTGCACATCAAACCGTGTCATCCGCACGAGGACAAACATGCCCTTACTGTGCCCGTCGCCATGTTAACTGTGCCCGTCGCTACTCGAATCGTGGCCTAGTGCAGGCACCGTCCGAACGCTCCCGAGTCGACAGACGATCAAACTTCCGCGAGAGATAGACCATTCGCACGAACTTTCGGTCGTGTTCCTCTTCCGGGACAGCCGCGTATCAGCAGCGGCGCGTTCAGCGGCGGTGGCGCAGTTCGAGACGTTGCGCGGCGGCAGGATGCGGCGCAGTGGCGTCGTTCCGGCCGACACCGACGCGGTTGGCCCGTCTCGTGACGCCCAGGCTTCCGCCCCGGCCCGGGGCGCCGGTCGGGTGCCGACATCCGCGGAGCTGCTGCCGGAAGGAAGCGCCGCCACAGTGGCGCCGCGCCGTCGGCCGCCTCAGAAGCGGACCTGTTTGATGGACGTCAGCAGCCGCAGCGTGCTCTGAGTCAGGCCCCTGGGGGTCACACAGAGGACGCTCGGTCACACTCTGGAGGGCAGGCTGAGCCACGGCGCAAACCGGCCGCGACATCACGCCGGGATCGCGTCCGTGTGAGAGCGGCCAGCGCTGGCTGCTGTCCTGACCTGTCCCCCCAGACGTCCCGGCGCACACCGCGGCGAGTATCGATCCGCCTATGGACACCCTGCCCCCGTTCCTGCACGGTCCCAACCGCTGTGCTGGCTGCCTGCCCGACCTGTCCCCCCAGACGTCCCGGCGCACACCGCGGCGAGTATCGATCCGCCTATGGAACCCTGCCCCCGTTCCTGCACGGTCCCACCGCTGTGCTGGCTGCTGCCCTGACCTGTCCCCCCAGACGTCCCGGCGCACACCGCGGCGAGTATCGATCCGCCTATGGACACCCTGCCCCCGTTCCTGCACGGTCCCACCGCTGTGCTGGCTGCTGTCCTGACCTGTCCCCCCAGACGTGCCCGGCGCTCACCGCGGCGAGTATCGATCCGCCTATGGACACCCTGCCCCCGTTTCTGCACGGTCCCACCGCTGTGCTGCAAGCGCGGCACGCTGGCCATTCCGACAGCATGAGCCATTATGGTTCACTTGTCTGCCGCATTGCAAAGCCGTAGTCGCAAAAAGAGAGAACGCGAAAGCGGGAGAGAGAGGGAGAGAAAGAGACAGGAGAGAAAGGGAGAGGGGGAGAGTCAATATCCACATACAATTTGACTTGTATGGATGTAACATGTATGCATATTATACAATACGCATGCCAAGTGTGAGAAACCTGAAAAAAAACAATGCACGACTTTGCGCACAATGGCGAAGTGTGACCAGGTCTCGGGAAGACAAACTGCGCAGCAGACCAGACGGAATGTCCGGCCCACGGAGCCGGCGAACGTACGGACCAGCGATGCCAGATAGGCGTGCGACAGCACTAGCCATCGGCGCTGAGTCAGTCCGGGCGGGACAGGACACGGGCTGGCGATGTCGGAGCCCCGCTGGCGCCACTGGATATTTGTCTGCTTTGAATGCGCTGAACGCCGTTATCCTGGCGGTCAGCCGAGCCCTGCCAAGCCCCTCCCCCTCCCCCGCCGGCCGAACGAGTCCCTATGCATGTGGGGTGGTGCTGGTACTGGTGCCGGTTTCGCTGTCGCAATATGTTGCCTCCCCGGTGCGTATGTCCGCAGTTACGACACGGCCGGACATCTGTACACGCGTGGGTTTGAGGCAGGCGTCAGCGGACGGGCAGACGTACCGCATGACGTGCGGAGGCGTGCCGCGCTGGAACAGCACGTGGATGGCGTACGGCCCGGAGCGGAGCGCGTAGCAGTGGTGCTCGCCAGTGATGAGGTACGCCTCGCGAGTCTCCAGCGCCGGCTCGCCGCCGCCGCCGCCACCGCCGCCGCCGCCGCTGTCTGTCCGCACGTCGGACTCACTCAGGACCGGACGGGGGGCGGGAGGGGGGGGGGGGGAGGGCAGCTGAGCGGACAACGAACGCGGCATCACGGACCTGGGGAGCGGTGCACAGCCGTCACGTTACCAACGACCGCAGTAGAAATCGTGAGGCATGGCCGAGACGCACACACTTCCGTCACGCGCCTCAGACATTGGCGGCAGCAAGACTTCCGTGAATATCCACAAGGAGTATCTAGTGAGCAGCACCGCTCGGAAATGGTGCGCCATAATCATGAATTATCGCCCCGTTTGACATGGCGAGCAGGTCAACATGTTAGCGTGAAGTAGTGCGCTATTTCCGTGACGTTTCTGACCCCGCTGGCCCCCGGTGTTGACGTCACCATGACCCCCGGCCGACACGGATCAGTTCTGAGAACTGCACTCGCCGGGCGCACACGGGCCATCGGTCTTTCCTGCCCGCCGGAACGCTCTGGATATTCACTGGCACATCTGCGCCAGCCAGCCAGGACCCCGCGGCCGTAAACAGGCCGGGCTCTACGCCCCGGCTCTCCTTGGACCCGTGCCCAGCCGGCCCGGACGAGGGCGGGTGGGCCTTTCCAGGCCGCAGGGCGGCTGGGCCCGGTGCCGACGCACCAGCGGGTATTCCCGGCGACCACAGGTCTCCGGACGTCTGCCGGTAGAAGGCACGCAGCTGGCGCAGCCGGGCGTCGGCCGGCGCCGCCGCCGTCACGTGCCGCTCCGAGGTGCCCCAGTGCGGGCTGGACGAGGGGCAACACCGCTGCGAGCCGGTGCTCTCCAACAGGAAACTGGCGGACAGGGCGCGCTCGGGGTGAAAATTGATTCTCAGAAGCGTTCACATTTGTACGAATTAGTGGCTTTTCATGTCCCACACCAGCACGACAAAACAAGCACGGACGGACAGACACAACGGACATAGCAGTAAGCACACGAACAGAAAAATACACGTACGTCACACCACACGCGGGTTGACAGCCCTTAAGCACGCTCCTGAAGATGCGGCATCAAGCGTCACAAACCGAAAAACGGCAATGCGCCGAGCAGTAACGTTGTTGAGCATGAAAACATGCGGTTGTCGGCTTGTATTCTGACGCAGGTAGTCTGTACTGGTTTGCTGTCTTATGTTGTGCGGATGAACATATGCCTCGGTAGCGCTACCGGATAACAGTGACAATGGCTGCCCAGTGACAATGCGGCCAATCCGGTAGCAGCCTGTGATCCCGAGGTCACGGGACTAGTGGCCTTGAAGCGGGCGATGGTGCCCTAGTCTGGTCTAAAGTCTAGTGTAATAACAGTACGGAACCAAGCTCAACTGAAAACGGATTTCCTGGGAAGGAGCTTCTCGACAGAGTATCGCAAACAGCTTTCTTTTCAGCCTTGTATGCAGTTGACATCATGTTGTGATGATACAGTTTAATGCCAGTTTTCACTACTTCTCCATCAGTTTGTTCATGGTGAGTGGAAGTGTTTGTGAAGATGCCGACGAGTCTAATCGCCTACATCGGCGAAAATGTAGTTGTTGACGTAAATGCGTCAAATTCAGTAAGTCACAACATCAAGCTCACAATGCACTACAAAATTCCCAGAACATCGAACCCAATTATCAAGAACAGCTGGTCCACACATAATTCACCACTCAAAATGACCAACGTTGCCTGAGTTCAAATACCCCATCGGCAGCTGCACATGTCTGTCAAACTAGTGCATCGGCTAACAGACAGACGGACAGAGACAGACGGACAGAGACAGACGGACAGAGACAGACAGACAGACAGACAGACATATATGTATATATATATATATATATATATATATATATATATATATATATATATACACATATATATATATATACATATATACATATATATATATATCTATCTATCTATATCTATATATCGATATATCTATATCTATATATATATATTCCAGCAATCCTGCTAACATCTTTGTAATGCAAGTGTTGAAAATATGCGGATTTAGATGATTCGCTTGCAGTCAAATTTTTCTTCGCAAAGCCGAATATTACAACCCCATTTTCTTGTCAGTCTCTCATCGATTGCGTAAAATCTTTCGCAATGATATAACAAAAGGCATACTTTGCATTTCCTTGCAAAATGTGGCTGATGCAAAAATAGCTACAACTTACACAGAATATTTGGCCTTTCGAAAGCGATCTTGCGGGATGCATTTGTCATATTCTAAGGTAAGCCATGTATTAAAGCCCAAAAGCGGGGAAATGACATTGAAATACGTTACTGACGCAGTATTTATTCCTCTGAAAATGTGTCGATTTTTCATAAAAATGGTTCCCAATAAATCGTTGACCACGCGTTTCTCATCGTGAAACACAACATGTGCTGAGCTTCTTGCAGTCTGAGAACAAAAATAGTTTCTCTCACCAAAAATAATTTCTCTTCTTGAGGGCTGTGTAGCTTTATAACGGAAAAGCAAGTTTATCATATCGTTAAAAAATCAAAGTTGAGAAGCGCGATAAGCTAAAATTTCACAGGGATAACAAATTCCAAGTTTGCGGCCGTCCAAGCGGCGAGTGTCAAGTTTGCCAGACGTTCCAACCATGACTGTTTCAGGATAGGCATATAGGCTGTCATGTCGTCAGATCATGGTGATCTGCGTTACTTGTGTTCTTTTAATTTTGTCTAGTTTGGTATGCCTTCGGAAATTGTGACACACTCTGTCAATTTTCTTTTCATGCATGCTAGAGAAGGACTTAAGAGGGCCATAGAGGGTCAAAGCCTTTATCGCTATCAATGCTCCCAATGCAGTGATCTAGTCTTTTCTATTGAGCAATGTCATTTCATAACTCCGGAAGCTTTCTCCGTAAATCCGTTTCTACGATCTGAGGAATACTGCGACTATAGTGGAATTAAGTTTATCTTTCTTTACCGATACAAGTCAGTCACGATCTAAAGTATTCCTTGGTGTCAGCGAACCAAGTGGCATGCACGTCGTCTCGTTCTAGTTGAGCTAAGACCAGGCTGCACGGAGAAGTCGGAGAGCCTCGGCACGGCTCCACAAAGTTAAGTGTCGCGCATGCCACGCAGGCCATGCCTCTCTTCGATACCACGTGTCCCCCTAAATACGCCGGGTAGTAAACAGACCGGACCACGTCCTTAAAGCTTCATTTATTGTCAAAGGGGCTGGGAATCATCTCTAACAACAACAACCATAACACAGATCGAAACACAACCGGACCACGTCGCCTCGACACAGGTCAGGAAACATGGCGTCATCTAGCGCCAGCCAATCGAACTCAGCGAAGTGGTCGCTGACCACCTAAGCCATGGCAAATATCACAACTTCCAGCTTGACCGCAACCAAGCCAGCGGCGTGCAGGGGCTCTACGACACCAGCTTTATCCGGTTCAGCTTGGTGTTCAGCTTCTTGGACACGCTCTTCTCCAGCGGCGGCACCAGAAAGGCGACCAGAATCTCGCTGTTCTTGTTCAGGATGCGCTCGAGGAAGCGGCCAAGCCCGCCAAGGCCATCGATCTTGACACTGAAGTTGCCCAGATCGAAATCGGCCCGCGCTTCGGACAGCACCAGGTCCAGCCGTTCCTCATCCTTAGGGTTCGGCTCCACCGTCCAGTTGGCGGTGATTTTGACGCGCAGTTGGTCCAGGTTGATGACCACGTCCGGATTGGCAGTAATGAAGACGTACTTCAGACCAAGCGCGCCCGTGGCCGATAACTCCTCGAAGCTCACATCCAGCGCCAGCGCGTCGGGATTGAAGTTGAAGGCCTCCAGTTGCACGTTGCTTATGCCGTGGATCTTCAGGTTAGTGGCCGACAGCTGAAACTCCTTGTCCTTCTTGGGCTTGATATCATCCAGGTCGAGCGGCTCGAGCACGACCAGGTCGTCGCCGACCTGAACGCCGGAGGTGAACGACGGCCGAGCCACGTCGATGGCGCCGATCAACAGTTCGGCTACGCACGGGCCGATGTCGGCCGTCTCGTCCGTCTCGCATGTACTGAACAGCACGTCCAGCGGCAGACCGCCCGACAGCACGAAGCCGGAGCCACGCCGCACGCGGCCGCCCGGCAGCGAGGCCGAGAGCGCGGCGCAGCAGAGCAGGAGCAGCGGCCAGCAGGCGGTCATGGCGGCAGGCGGCGCGACGACGAGTGATGGCTGCGGCCCGCCGGCCGGCGCTCTTATGCTGCAATGCCGACGGCCGGGAATACCCAGAGAACCCCGCCGGGCCGCGTCACCGCTCTGCCCAGCCCCCTGGCGGACACCGAGCCAGCGCCGCAGGAAGCCGATCCGACACCGCACCCCACCGACCCAGACCCACATCCCACCGGCCCGACAGCGCACCCCACCGACCCGACACCACATCCCACCGGCCAGACACCGCACCCCACCGGCCCGACACCGCATCCCACCGAGCCGCCACCACATCCGACCGTCTGCCGGCCGCAGGCTGGTGACCGGGCCGGTCAGTGGCCTGCGTCACGCCCCGACGCCAGCTGCTGGTCTGTGCCAGCACACACGCGAACACTGGTGTCAACGGACAAATTCCGAGAGACAAAGCCAGGGACGCAGGCGACAGAGCACGCTGGCGACAACTGTTCAACGGTATGATGACGATGTACTACAATCTAGTTGAACAGCGGAATTCATCCACATTGTCTCTTGCAAATTCCTCGGGCCAGGCACTGGGTGCCAATCTTTAGCGCACACGCGCACACGCACGCACGCACGCACGCACGCACGCACGCACGCGCACACACACACACACACGCACGCACGCACGCACGCACGCACGCACGCACGCACGCACCAGTATCATCGAGGTAGTATCTGTAGCAACGCAACCCTATACCGATGTCAGGGAGTTTCGTTATGGTAAGCATTGGAAATAGGGGCCTCTTAATGACAATTTGAGTACAAAAATGCTCCAAGTATGTCGCTGGCACAAGGTGGGACTGTCTCCTGTCACCCGATAATAGAAGAAAGCGTCCCCGTCCCCATCGGCGCATCCCTTGGTAGCACGTGCAATGCCATTCAATCTAAGTTTTCACTTTTCCCTACAACTGTTTTATATCTGTGGACTGTAGGCACGTGATGATGCGATCACCTCCAAAACCTGCTTTGAACTTCAGGCACGGCAGGCACGTGATGGCACAACCACCTCATAATCCGTTTTTAAGTCTATGTACGGCGCGCACTGCATGTGCTCGGTCACGACGGGGAGCGGTCTTTCGAGTCCTATCGCACACCGGTCTTTTGGAGTCTTAGTAACACCGTACTAGAGTTGTGGCAGAGTAATCCTATCGGTGTGAGGCGGTTTCATTACGGCAAAACTGGGAATATGGACTCCTTAGCAAAATCGGTGAGAAGAACGTATCTCATGTAGTCTGTGAGAGGAATGCATATGCAAGAAGATTGCATGGATGGCGGGGACTATCACCCTATCCGACGAGAGGGGACGCCCCCTCCCCCTCCCCATCCCCGGTGGCACCGGCCCTGGTCTTGGCGATGCCGTCCCATGGCACCTCCACCTGATATTTTGGTCATTTTCTGTGTACAGATCCAAGTGCAGATCTGCCTCGAAAAACATGCGTTGTAAATACAAGTGAGTTTACATATGAACTACTGACAGAACATGAACGGAATGTGACGCGGGCTTACACATGCACCAGTCTTTCTTTCGCGGAGATCCGCTTAAATGTATGTTCCGCGAATGCAAAAAACAGGAGAATAAAATCCATGAAGCATCTGTTTCCAAAGGCTATCACGTTTCGTCAATGCACTCACGGACCACCGCTGGAATATCCAGCCAATCGCCATGACATATTTGCTGTTTCCAGTTATCTGGCACATCGCATCGTTCAGCAGCAGGTCGGCCCTGGCGCCACCCGTTCTGTAGGTAAACAAAGCTCTGGGCCTGCCCCGCCCCGTTGAACGTGTCATACAAATTCCCCCTCCTTGCGCAATTTTACGTTCGTTATAGCACTGATTCGTGACATGATGCACACAGCGATACGGATGGGTGGTGGCAAAATTCCCAGCCATGACGCAGAATCGTCGCGCCGTGGCTAGTCGGGACTGTATGGTATGACAGGGCCCGGTACCAGGATCTCAGTGAACGTGGCGTGTACAGGAGAGGCAACGGGAGAGGGCGGCAGACCAGACACGTACCCTCTACAGCTTTGTCTGCACAGACCACCTCTCTAAACAAGGTCGTCACTATTTCCCTGACTATATCTCGGCGCGTGCCAGCAGCCGCTCGGGCGGCCAGCCAGCTGCCATGTGTCACCAGAGCGGCGGCGGTTTCTCCCGGCTGGGGCTGCAGTGAGCAGCCGCGCTCTGCCGGGCCCACCGCGCCGCCGCCGGCGGAGGGGGAGGGGCTGGGGAAACCCAGCCAGCGCGCGGAGCGGGGCGACGTAGAGCCGCCGTTCGGCCTCTCCCGGAGCGGACGCAGACAACGGGAGCGACGGACGCGGCCTGGACGGCCAGCTCTTGTCCGTGCCTAACGCCGCGGCGCCACCAGGGTCCTACCGACAGCTAGCTTCCTGACGAAAGCGACGGACGGAGGGCCCGGCCCGGAGCTGGAGCTGGCCCGGACGGCCAGCTCTTGTCCGTGCCCAGCGCCACGGCGCCGCCAGGGTCCCACCGACAGCTGGCTTGTTGACGAGCTCAAAAGCCGCAACATCCTTCCACATTTTTTGTTCAAACAGGCTTTCTGAGCGGCCTTGAAAGCATTACAACACTAATGAGCAATTTCGAGGAACTCCTAAGGCGAGGAATTCCCAGCAGTTATTGCCAAATGACAGGTGGGCATGCCTTTACTCCGTGCGGTCATAGCTTCAGGTTATGTCCGAACACGATGTGCGCAGCACACCTTGCATCGTGAATCATGTTCAATCAATTTCACACATGGCAACCGTAAACCGAGGTTACCTTGGATTACCTGATTCTTATAAATTTCAACTTGATCAGGATCACCCTCGTAGCTGCAATATCCTTCCAGTGGCTACCACTGGAAAGATGTGAGGATGGGGTGATTCACTTATTATGCCAACCGAGCTTCATTCTCACTACTCCAACTTTGACCACGTAATAAGATACGAGCTTAATTTATGAAAGTTTTGACATATACGGTTGTCCACCATTCACCGCGTTCGCACCACTTACCCAAAAGCACTGACTCTAATGAAATCTAACCCCAAAACACCGCTAACGAGAGAAAATTATTCCATTTCTTCAGGGGAAGCACATTGAAGCAGTAAAGCGTGAAATTCATGGACATATACCAGCTTGGTCTTGAGCTAAACTGCATGCCGCGGATACGGAAAACTGCCTTTACAGACGCCGATGGCTTACCGCCACCTACCTACGGCAAAGTAAGGCCCCGCGTCCATCTGCTTTGCTGTTTCAGTGCATATCGTGACGCACATTCTAAGTGTTCAGTCTTACACCGAGCTCGTCAAGCAAATATAACAATGGTACATGTAACATAATCTTCCATACGCTCGACAGCGGCGACACGGCGACAACAACCACCGGCTGAACAGTCCATATGGTGGGTCGGATCGCATCGCGTAACAAAGGCACGTGATCGGGCGGTCCGGCCGGATGCTGAAGGCAGATTTATGACGTCATTATCAGATGACTTGGGCGGAGGTTAACATCTCTTTCTGAAACAACATGATCCGTTCGAGATGCGGGAAGTTCCAAGTTGCTGTCTACGGAAAACGTGCAAAACTGAGACAAAATCGTCCCAGTGACTGACGGATACCAGCCGAACCCCGCCCGCTAAGTCCAGCAAGCAGGCCCGCCTCATGCCTCCTGGCATCATAAACAAATCACACACAGCATCCTACACTGCAGTTAAATCTGTCACGTGACAGGCCTCGCTGGGAAATACACCAGCCCGACGTGCGCGCCAGTCCCCGCCATGACACAAATCGGCGACGAACATAGCCTCCCAGGCCGTGTCCAGCGGGTCCAGCCGGTCCCGTACCATGCAGCGGAGCACGGGCGCAGGGTGGGGAGGAGCGGAGCCAGTAATGTGACAACATTGACCTGAGATCAGCGCACGACCGACCTCAGCTATCGTCCAACATACGCACACACAAAGGTCGTGATTCCGTGTCGGTCAACCCTCATTCGGAAGATGAAAAAAAGGCACCAGCACTCGATAGCATCATGAAGTCCACCTGTGCGCGACTACTCCCAGCGACGTGCAGCTCGCTGGGAGTAGTCGCGAGTAGCAAGTAGCCACAGATCCTAGCAGTTTGGGCTGGATCGACGCACTTGAGCATGCGTTTTGTCAGGTACCTGATCACTATGTTGCAACATGACAACTGCAGTTGGCTCCAAAGAGATCTCGCGGTTGGCATTATATGTTATGTCCCTAGGTTCAAGCGACGTGCAGCTTACATGGGCACGTTTCTTGTTTTGTTCTGAGCACATCTATATGTATTTGTATGTGTTCCGGGTTCTATTCACGATGTGGGGGCTCCATGAATGCTACACTGTGACGGCTGACCGCATGTGATCGGCGGCTCGTCAGTTGCCGCGAGCCGCCCGCGCTTGCCGGCGACCGTCGTGCAGCGCTCCTCAGACCGTCACTGCTCGGAAACCACAAATCCTAGAGACACTTTTGGTGTCGAAACACGCACAATGAACGTCGCACAGGCTACTGGAAATATGAACAAGATTGCACTACGTGCAATAAGGGATATCCTCAGAAAACCTTAAAGGGAAGGGCACATCGACCCTCTCCCCCATAAGGGCGCGGGCTTACATGGAGTCACATGAAGCATCAACGTACAACACGTGGAATGTTCTCACCATTAACAATCCGTCCCTCTCGCAACAGAGTGAGCCACCATCTCTGCACCGCTCGGTCGAGCGCGGGCCGCCAGTCACCACGGCCCGCACCGGACCTTGTACGAACGCCAGGAGCCGGCGCCGTCAGGTTCGCACCGGACTGGCCCAGCTGTGCGCGCTCCTCCCCCCCCCCCCCCCCTCCCCCCCCCCCCCTCTTCGTCCCGGTCTTCCCAGCGACGGTGCGCGTTCCAAGCCGAGCCTGGGCCGCGGCGAGGGCAGTGCGGGCCGCCACGCTCCAGTTCACTCACCTGTGCACGGCTGGGTCGAGCAGCACGGCGGTGGGGAAGCCGCGCGGCAGGGCCACCTCCTGCTGGCGCACCGTCTCCAGCACGGGCCCCCACTGGCGCACGGTCTCGCGCTCCAGCTCGTCCAGCGCCGGCGTCGGTCCGCACAGTACGCACACCTCCGAGCTCTCCGAGAGCCGGCACACCAGCAGACGGAACGGCACCTGACGCCGGGGCACAGCACGTCAGTCTGCTGTACACAGCATGTACAGTCCCGAGCTCTCCGAGAGCCGGCACACCAGCAGACGGAACGGCACCTGACGCCGGGGCACAGCACGTCAGTCTGCTGTACACAGCATGTACAGCCTCGAGCTCTCCGAGAGCCGGCACACCAGCAGGCGGAACGGCACCTGACGCCGGGGCACGACGATGGACACGTGTCTGAACGAGAAAACACGGCGCACAGCTGCTGCACTGCTGCAACGTAAATTTACGTGCACGATGTACTGGGAAATGTTGAATACAAACTAAGTCCACACCTACAGTGCCACCTTCCAACGTGGAACACGGCGATTGTCATGGTGCGTTTGAAACGACATTATCTTTTTCAATGACATAGTGCAATTTTTGCGCTACCGATGACAATTTTGATAAAACTAGTATAGTTACGCACTCAACTCCGACTCCACTCCGACCGGCTAGTCCAACCAGCTGAATTGACTCTGACAGGACAGATATCTCAGCAGGGGCGTAGTTTCGCAAAATTAGTTGGAGGATGGGGTAGGGGTGGGGGGAAAGGGGCTGAGCTGTGAAAATTACTCAAACTGCCACCAAAATAACCGATAAAACGGCTTTCCCGGATTTGGCCCACTTATTTCTAAAGCGTGGGGAGCGATGGATACCAAGTTAGGGGGCTGAAGCACTCTCCAACTGAATGGGAAACTACAACCATAGGTTCCAAGTGTTGACGATCATTGCTAAGGCTATCTTTTCTGGCCAGGAGTTCCACGCCCTCGGTCCCATGAAAAATCACACATTTCTTCAGAGCAGCTCCTACCCAGCCGCGCAGCACCCAAAGCCAAAGCCGGGGGTGTCCGCTCGGCCCGAGGGCCGGTGGCCGGCGCCATCTCCTCACGTGCGGGCTCTTGACGGGCAGGTAAACAGAGACGTCGCGGGCGGCGGCAGTGCCGCGCGCTGACCGCACATACAGCGCCAGCAGGCACAGCTCGCGCGGCGTCAGCTGCTGCCAGTTGCGCGTGGCCGCCGCCAGGCGGCCGTGCACCATCAGGCAACCGTACGTAGAGTCGGCGAACTCCGTCACCAGCTCCAGAGCCATCTGCCGAGGGGAGCCGACACTGGAGGTTGCGGATTCAAGCACATGGTGAAGAGGACTGTGACACGGGGGACGTTAATATCATTGTGCAGCTTTGCTATGTGTAAGCTGGAACAAACCGACTCAACGTAGAACGATTCACTCCGTGCTGGGACCCCAGGGCTCGAAAAAGCCTTTGCCACTGCCATTGTACCGTGCGCCGAACCAGGAGGCCGCTGCCATTCGAGCGGGACGCGTCAGCCGCGGGTCCAGACACCCGTGCACCCCCGCCGCAGTGCTGCACGCGCCGCCGGCGGCGAGCACAGGGTCGGGCCGGCTCACCTGCAATTTGCTGGAGCCGGGCATAAGCAGGACGTCTGGCAGGCCCGTCAGGTCGCCGAACGTGTCCAGCCCCTCCTCCAAGCCGTCCAGCAGACGGTCCACCAGCCGGTAGCAGCCCTGCGGCGAGCAGCGGCGGCGCCGGTCAGTGGCGCCCTCCACACCTTCACCCGCGCCGAGCGGGCGGCGGCACCGGTCAGTGGCGCCCTCCACACCTTCACCCGCGCCGAGCGGGCGGCGGCACCGGTCAGTGGCGCCCTCAAAGCCTCCACCCGCGCCGAACGGGCGGTGGCGCTGGTCAGTGGCGCCCTCCACGCCTCTACCCACGTCGAGAGGGCGGCGGCACCGCTCAGTGGCGCCCTTCACGCCTCCACCCACGTCGAGCGGGCGGCGGCGCCGGTCAGTGGCGCCCTCCACGTCTCCACACACGTTGAGCGGGCGGCGGCGCCAGTCACCGGCGCCCGGCGCGCCTCCACCCGCGCCGAGGAGGCTCCACGTGATGCAGCTTTTAACCAGTTACGTAAAATGGGCACGATAGTACGAGCCTCCTCGGCCTGTACGAACTGATGCCGGGCGCAGCCTGCGGGGCCGCACGCTAGGACGCACCTTCAGCTGTCGCTTGACCTTCTCGACGTTGGCGATGTTGACGAGGTCGTCGGTGCCGGCGCAGAGCACCATGGCGTCCCAGACCAGGCGGAGCAGCCGGTCCAGGTGGGCGGTGCCGCCCCGGGAGCGCGCGCTGATCAGGATCACCGTCACACTGTAATGGCGGCGCCGCGTCAGAGCGCGCGGTACCGTGACGCCGCCGACGGCACGTCGGTCCGGTCCAGCGCGCCGACACCACCACAGCTGGCGGCACCATCACCCTCCACCCCCCCCCCCTCCCTCGGCATGCCGCCTCCTCCCCACAACTCTCATGTAAAGTAAGCCAGAGCGCCGAATTTTAAGCTTCGGTCAGGCTTTCACGGAAATTCTGGTTACTTAATGCTAACCAGGGCTGCGTAACTTAACTGTGGAATCTACAACAGTGATCGCAAAGCCAGCAGCAAAACTACACCCGCGGCCGCAAAAACGATTATTTCGGTGGCGGCATAGTTGTCCCTGTTGCCTGATCATTCGGCCAATCCCTCCAAGCATTGCCAGCAGAGGCGTACTAATGAAACGACTCCCAAGAAAACAGGAACGTCCTAGCTGGTGAAACAGTGCGCAGGAAAAAAAACGAATCGCATCCGTTGATCCTTCACCGCGCTTCTCAGGCCGCACAAAACACAAATGGCATGAGAGACGCATCTTGGGATATGTGAGTGACATAAACAATATACTTGCACCGATTCACGTTTCTTGTCACTCGTGTTAAGCATTACAGCACATTATCTCATTACAAGCGTGGTCCTTCCGGTGATGGTGAGAACTTGCCAACCCCAGGCAGCAGCCAGCCAGGTGACGTGTTCAGACAGTTCACGATCGACGTGATTAGAGCCTGTCGTTTAAACGAGCAACGGGAGAATCACGCGATCGTAATTGATATGAGTACGACTGGCGTTACGGCGCCGGCCGACTCTCCGCATTTTGGGTTCACATGCTGGCGACAGCCATTTTCAATACACCCAGAAGTACTGCCCAGAAGAAGTGGATCAAGCCAGTATCAAAATGTTCCATGAAAGCGCTCGCCGTTTCCAGTAGAGACCAAAGTCGCGAGTCACATGCATTTTAACGACTACTTAGTGCATGCCTTCAAACGGTACCTCCTGCAGCATTGAAGGTGGGCTGCGGTCAACATAAGCATTCCAAATTGCACAGTCAACCATACACAGCCGTACGAACCTGTCCTGGAACTCCTTCCAGGTGATCTGGCAGCTGGCTGTCTCCAGACTAAGCAGGTTGACGTCAAACGACTTGCCGAACACATACGCGCCATTCAGGGCCGCCTGGATCGGGAAGGGCAGCTGACGGGACAGGACCGGCGCTGTCAGGGAGCCGTCAGCCCTTCAGCACATCACACTGCTGCGGCATTCACATCACACTGCTGCGCATCCACATCACACTGCTGCGGCATCCACATCACGCTACTGCCGCATCAACATCACACTGCTGCGGCATTCGCATCACGCTAATGCTGCATCCACATCACGCTGCTGCGGCATCCACGTCACGCTTCTGCCGCATCCTAATGGTGAATGAAAGCAACCTTAATATTTGCAGCCTTAGGCATTATGAATGAGGCTAGTTTGACATTCCACTAAGTGGCGCACCCACCTAGCCAACAGCCATAAGTATGGTGTAGGGACCACACCTGTGATATACAAAGAATATAAGCTTGTCCACTCTACTCCACATGGATACAACTCTGTTCTTGGTCATCATAAGCAAGAATGTTATCTAAGACATCAACTCAAATACCAACTCACATTTGCAATATCACCTTTCTTCTTGCACATAATAGGTATTCCAGCTGATGATGAAATGCAGCATAGGTAGCAGGGCATTGTGAGTTCATTGAGAAACCAGTAACCTGTAAAAGACACCATGTATGAGAGCAATAGCTGATGCTTTTGTTCGACACATGTCCGCGCTTGTGCACTGGCAGGGTTCTAAAACTTTTTTGGTTGTAATATGCTGAAATAAAAAGCAGAATTACACCACTAATGATACACAAAAACACAATCAGAAGGGATTTCCAAACTACTGGATACATTTCAAATGCATAACCAGTTTCAGACAACAATGACTTCAGTGTTTAGGACAATATGACTGAGCCCAGACATGAGCTGCCTATGGTGATGATGTCACGCGTCAACTGTCTAGGTGCTCAGTTGTTCACAATGTAAACACTGAAGGATTTTCCGCAGGTGCGGGTAGTCGCTGGCAATTCCTCTGTCTACCTCTGGCGCCTCCTCACGGCGTCACCAGCATTTAGTTAGGAAGTCTTTGCCAGATTGTGTCACTTCGTTGTTGAACACCACATGGCGAATATATCGCACTTTGACGTCTATATGACGCTCGTGGCAAGTTCAGTCATTCAAGCCTCTTCTAATATGGTTTAAGCTTTTGCTCCTTGAACATTCCTGCCACTCAACACAACTATATTTAGCAGTGTCCTTGGCCCTCCATCAAGAATGTGTCTGTATATCACTTATCTCACACATCGTAACTGGACCGCTGTACCATGGAGGAGGTGTGATATTTTAGTGGGTGGTGGGCACAAAATGGCCTCACTATCAACTGGTCCTTATGCACAAAAACCACCACCCAAGTTTCTGTGTGTGGGAACAAGCCCTGCACCAAAACGAGCACCTCAGACTCCCTTTGCACCACTGTTGAAGATATTCATGGGCATGGAGCTGACTATCTGTCAGTATGATAAAAATGGTCTGCTTGAGCACTAATAATTGGCCAGCTGTTGGATAAAAGCATTAGCATCAAGTTCAAGTCAGGAGATGAGTTGTCTTGAACTTAATCCTGACGGGAAAAAACCACTCGTTGAATATCCTTGGCTAAAGCGTCTGAGTTGCTCTGAAGCATGGCACCCAGCACCAGCCAATTCTGCTGATGACTGCACCCAGTATGACTTATCCCTTTGCATGCAAGTCTCTGTCCCTCCCTGGCTTGCATTATGGCTACAGGCCATGCCTGAAGTCATGATTTTTCACCTTTACTTTTAGACATGCATTTAGGGCCATCATACTCAGAACCACAATTGAGGGAGGCAAAAGCACTTACCATGGAGGACTGGCCACCACCAGTGATCATGCAGAGGTGCATATCAGACCTGACTGAAGATGTCAGCAGTATCCCATATGGATCTGTCATGAGACAGGCTTTACTGAACTTTTTCAACATGGTCTGTAGATCAATCATGAACATAGAGTGCTTCAGTCTCCTATTAATGTGCCAGACCTTAGTCAGGCCTCTCTTAGAATATGTAAACCTAATCTGGGGCTAATTTGCAAATACCATGCCTGTAGATGGCAAGGGACCTGGGTATTTTAAAGCAACCAGATACTCCTGGAAATTAACCTGCCTTCTCTCTACTATGGACATCAAAGAGGTCCATATAAGAGGACACCAAAGAGGTCCAATAGACATCATGGCAGATGTCTATTAGGTCCTCCATGGTGGTGAAAGCCTTCACACCAAAGCCCTCTTCACTTCTGTTGAGTCTCATTCTAGAGAAGTCATCAGTGGAAGATGAACAAACCAAGCCACCAGTGACATTCACACAAGCAGTTACAGATTACCACACATTAGCAGATTTTCTACATAACATCAGCTGTCAATGACTAGGACTCCTTGCCTGGGTGATTGCTGACATGACCACCTTTTTTTTAATCCAGACTTGAGTCACTGGGAATATCATGAACAACACACCACTAGCTAACACATATGCCATGTCATGTAGCAAAGTTAGATGTGAGCATGGCAAGCAGACCTGTTGTCACTCTACTTAAATAAGAAAATAGGTGTGATGAGACAAGAGATGAGGATTTGGAGGACTGTGGGACAACTGCCGCAAAAATTGTGGCAACATTTGCCATTGGCCCTACATGGTGAATTATGGCAACAACAAAAAAACTGTGCCCACGCCTCAATTCTATAGAGGTCACGCCACAACTGAAACGCGCGCAGAAACAAGTTCACACAAAATACTACGCGATTTCGCAGACATCAGGTCTAGATTCACAGGAGTTAAGAGCAAATTTATATTTACCCTCACATTTGAGGAAAATTCTGACTGCCCGCGTTATCAATCACTTGCTAAGCACCCAATACACTCCCGCCGACAAAAATCATTGTCCGCGGCACGGTAAAATTCACCGCTGCTCCTAACTTGAGCCCCGCTGCTGTACAATCCATTCGTTATTCCGTTTGTTTACATTGGTAAGATTTGTTGTGCTGAACATCACTTGTGGCAAACCTAGCGAATTATTTATAAAACACAAGTTTGGGTGTTCATAAAACTTTTAAATAAACATTTATGGGAATGCTTATTCATGTGAACTAACTTACAAATAATATAAATTACATTACTATTTAGTTTTAGTGCATTGAACAAAATATTTTTGATTTATACTAAATATTTATTTCAACGTGTTATGTGCAGGCAACCTGAGTTGGGCGTAAACGCCCCCTCGGAATCGAAGCAACCAAACCGAATACAAAACCGAAGCGTTGATAGGTGCCGTGGGTGGACTTAAGAGTTTGTGAAGGTCCTTGGAAGTAGCATTACTTCTTTCTTTATGGCCGCATAGGTTTTGAATTACAGTGTAAGTTTGGCAAGGTGAGTTAAATCGTTCCTCTTGGCTTTTACTCTCATGGATTCATTTCTCCCAAGCAGTCAGCATTCCGACTAGCTGGGAAGCGATTGTATAAAGTTTGGGACTGTTCTAAGTGAGCAGAAAAACAGGCGAACGTGGAAATTGCAGTGTGAAATGCTTAATGCAGTTGGATACAATATCACACATTGCTAGCCATTTGTCGCGCCATCTGATGCCATGAGTACCCTAGTAATCACACCCAGTGGAGCCTGTGTCACCTTTTTGAAACCCAGTCTATTTTTTAAGCAATGATCTTAAATATGGCACACCAAAACCAAGTGGGGATTTTAGGTGGACATGTTTCTTCATAAAGATAGAAACATATCAGCCATCTTTGATGCCATGATTTGTGAGTGAAGGCAAGTGGAGGGGACTTGTTAGTATGTTTGTTATAGCATAAATATGCAACTTAAGCAATTTTATGGTCTGCAGAATTTGGAGACATTGTAAGGTTGAGAGCATTATCAGGATTTTTTGCTCAAACAGTATGAAAAGCTATGAGGCAGGGAATGTTGCTCAAAAGAGGAGGGAGGCAAGGGTGTTTTTTTGGAAGGCAAATGAATGGTATGATAGGATTATTACTGGTGTCAGGCAATGAAGCAATACAAAGTACTGGGGGAATGTATCCCTTAACCCCCTCCTCTTAGTGCTTTTGCCAGACATTTAGGTGATATGTCATGAAACAAATAGTTCACTGCATCAAAATTCTACTTGTATTTCTCCATTCTGTTTTGCTGACCTGTGCTACATAATCCAGTAAGTTAAGTAATTAAAATCTTGAAGAAAATATGTGATGACTAATAACATTTTTATGTGTCATCCTTTCAAAATATTATTTATAGATACTGATATATTGTAACTTGTAAATCCCCTTTGTCTTTTGCTGAGGAAAATAGATATTATAAAGGATGTGTGCATATGGTAGCTACCAGCTCAAGGAATTTCCAGGTAAGGTTATTGAATAAAGCTAAATCAGCCCAGCATAGTTCCCAATGGCGGATGGACATGAGGCCAGTTATCAGCAATACAATGCAGCAATATGGATGAAGTAATCCTTCCCTCCAGGACTCCATTTTGACACCATTACACCTAACTTGTCAGTGGTTGTCCATTCATCTGTAGTGAGGTAGACTGATGCAGTTGTTGGGTGTGGAGGACAGGTATGCCTCACATCACAGCTGCCATCATTGTCTGTTGGCCCTCTGCATGCCATGTTTGTCACTACACGCTCCTCCCAGCAGGCTCCAATGGGCACATCCAAGTCTGACCTGCAGAGCGTAGTGAGCGAGGCGCTGGCCAACTTTGTCCAGCAACATATACCTGCTGCCTCCTTAGAGTGAGTATCCTGGCCAGTCACTGGCTTGCTGAACAATGTGTGGGGTCTCAGTCAGTGCCAAACGAGAGCACCCATATGGTTCACATACCTCCAGTACATGCTGAAACATAATTGGATGCCAGTCACATGTCTGGAAAAAATGAAGGCAAGAGAGATGCAAGCCTAAATTGGAAAGGCCCCACACTGCAGCTGCTGGGCTGTCCCATCACCCCCACTCCACCCCCTCCCCCCCATGCATAACCTTAAACTGGGCCATGATGCCAGTGCTGTAACCCACCAGCTCTTGGATGGGTTGGTGCACGCGCCGAGCGCCGAGCTCCGTGCAGTGTGTGCCCTGGGGTCGAAGCCATCCCTGCAAACCTTTCAGTAAAAGTGAATTCTGAAGAAGCATTTCATGCCATATCTGATAAGGGACTATTTGGCTGAAAATTGAACTTCATCAAACTGATGTAAGCCGTGCATTGTTTCTTGAGCTCCGGCGTCTGGTCAGCCACAGTGGTCGATGTGTGATCTATACTAAGCTAGGTCTTGTTTCTATGGCCTTTGAGCTTGGGCATCTGATCAGCCACAGTGGTCGATGTGTGGCCTATATGTTGGTTCTGTGCTAAAGGTCAGAAACATTTTGTGTCAGTGATCTGCAATGCCTGTGTAATAATATGTTGGATGTTTTTTGTAATGATTTGCACACTTTATGCATGACTGTGACTGTGCTGCCATTCCAGATGTGTGGACGACATAGTGCTGAGTTACGTGGTCGGCATTCTGGAGGACCTCGGCGAGGACGAGGACGGCTTCGACGTCGAGGGCTTCACCGAGATGCTGGGCGCCTACATTCCAGAGTTTGCAGACATCAAGCCAGAGCAGGTGTGCGAGTGGATCTTCGGCTTGGCGTCCGAGCTGGCCAAACGGCGAGAAGGTAAGCATATCAGCCATCAACCTCAGCCGGCCGTCGCCTGTGCGGTGCCAGTCAGCCTTGAAATGCAGCAGTAGAACAGAAAGAAATATACCGGCATTGCCTAATGAATTGTTTTGCTTGCAACAACATGCAGTGATGTATGTGGGACATGGCATTAGACATCTGACGGTTGCCCGCGTAGGCTTCGCTAAGAGAAAACAAAACAGTTCGATGTGTCCTCACTTAACACGCGCCCCGGTGGCCGGCTAGATACCCTCCGCTCGGATGGGGGGTGGGAGTCAATTTGACCCCCCCCCCCCCCCGGAGGGCTCGGGAAGGAAAAAAGAATGTTAGAGATACCAAATTCACAGCGTGTGTTGATCTGTACGTGAACTCACTTAGGTCAAAGTTTGAGGTTCCTAGGTGACAACCTTCGGGCTAAATAAGGTCAAACAAGGTCAAATTCCAGGTTAGTCTCCAAAGTACCCCCAGAACCTATTCAACTGTTTCTAAGCAAAAGGTCACCTGCTCATTTAAAGTCAGTGACCTTGTTTGACCTTTTTAAGGTTATGGTGACCAAAATCATGCAAGACTGCTCTAAGTGTTGCATTTGAATAAGCAACAAAGAGTATGCTAGGCAGTGTGTTTAAAGACAAGATGTTGACCTGGGCCATTTTAGGTCAATGACCTATTCTGACCTCTGAGAAGTCTATGGAAGATGTACAATGCAGTTCCTGCTATCAGTATATTTGAAATGAGCACCAGAAACTATCTCATACAGCAAGCCCTAGAGTAATAAAACTGGTTAGTGTTGACCTTGGTCTGACCTTCATACATGACCTTAGGCAACAAAAATATTGAACGAGCAAATTGCGTTGACCTAAGAGAGCATCTCATAGATGTATGGTTTCGTCTAACACTTCGTTGTTGCACCAGATTGAACGATTCCCTAGAAATTGCCCTCGCTAAAACCACGGCCGGACTTTGACCTGCTACAGGTCAGCGACCTTACAAAGTACATGTAAATTTGTGTACCAAACGATCCCCTATTCAGTTGTCTACAGGTATGCAAAATTTGGCACGGCTGCGCCGCGCCGTTCGGAAACCATTCTAGAAATTCTTGGGGGGGGGGGCAATTTGACCCCCACCCCCACCCGAGCGCGTGTTAAGCAAAACTGGTCGTTGCTGGTTAGCGTTATCTAAAACGACTGAAGCTGGTTCAGTGAGAACAAACTGATCCAGCGTAACCATCGAAGCAATACTTATATTGTATAACCCGAACAGGACGGGTTTGAACTTGGCTAAAGTGACCATTGTCGAGGGTCCCGGCGCGTGGATCCTGAAAGTCCCTGTATCGTCATCAGAGTTTTAACGACCTGCTGTTGCTTCCGACTCACTCTGAACTCAGTGAGAAGGCCTGTGGATGAAGGGCGCCGTCGACGTCGTCTGGCTTAATGGGGCGTCTACTGTGTCGGGATAGTTTCTCCTTTCCGTCCGTCCTCTCCCCTCCCGTCTCTGGATGACTCAGAGTGCTAGTCGGCGGACGGTTGTGATCTGTACCGACTCCTGGTAACGTCTCGCGTCTCTGTGGCGCCCGGCTTTCTGCGGACGATGGCTGCAGCTTCTCCCGCATTCTGTGGCCTGACCCCTTATGAGTTCTCCTGTCCTTTGTGACCCAGAGGCAGGCCGTGACCTCTCCTGTCTTCGGGTGACCCAGGGGGCCAGTTTTGGATGGCGGCTGTGCCTTCTCCTGTCCAATGTGACCCAGAGCCAGGCTGTGACCTCTCCCGTATGTATGCGACGCAGAGCCAGGCTGTGACCTCTCCTGTCTCTATGTGACCCAAAGCCTGGCTGTGACCTCTCCTGTCTCTATGTGACCCAAAGCCAGGCTGGGCCCTCTCCTGTCTCCATGTAACCAAGAGCCAGACTGTAACCTCTCCCGTCATGTGACGGAGAGACAAGCTGTGACCTCTCCTGTCATGTGACGGAGAGCCAGGCTGTGACGTCTTCCGTCATGTGACGGAGAGACAAGCTGTGACCGCTCCCGTCATGTGACGGAGAGACAAGCTGTGACCTCTCCCGTCATGTGACGGAGAGACAAGTTGTGAGCTCTCCCGTCATGTGACGGAGAGACAAGCTGTGACGTCTCCCGTCATGTGACGGAGAGACAAGCTGTAAGCTCTCCCGTTATGTGATGGGGAGACGAGCTGTAACCTCTCCCGTCATGTGACGGAGAGACGAGCTGTAACCTCTCCCGTCATGTGACGGAGAGACAAGCTGTAACCTCTCCCGTCATGTGACAGAGAGGCAAGCTGTGACCTCTCCCGTCATGTGACGGAGAGACAAGCTGTAATATCTCCCGTCATGTGATGGGGAGACGAGCTGTAACCTCTCCCGTCATGTGACGGAGAGACAAGCTGTGACCTCTCCCGTCATGTGACGGAGAGACAAGCTGTGACCTCTCCCGTCATGTGACGGAGAGACAAGCTGTGACCTCTCCCGTTATGTGACGGAGAGACAAGCTGTGACCTCTCCCGTCATGTGGCGGAGAGACAAGCTGTGACCTCTCCCGTCATGTGACGGAGAGACAAGCTGTGGCCTCTCCCGTCATGTGACGGAGAGACAAGCTGTGACCTCTCCCGTCATGTGGCGGAGAGGCAGGCTGTGACCTCTCCGGTCTCCGTGTGACGCAGGACCAAACTGTGACCTCCCCCGTCCCCGTGTGACCCAGAGCCAGGCTGTGACCTCCCTTCTCCGTGTGACCCAGAGGGCCAGTCGGCCAACGGCGGCTGTGACCCGGTGGCGCTGCTGGCGTCGCAGATGGAGTCGGCGCTCCGGCCGCGGCCGCCAGCCGAGTCGGAGCCGGGGCCGGCCGCAGCTCGCACGCCGCGCCTCTCCGAGACCAGCGAGGCCAGCTCCGACGTCAGCGACGCCGCCTGGGAGGTCAGCAACGGGTGAACAGAAGACGGCTAGGCTGGACTCGAGTTTTTTTTGTCTTTGTTCGGTCTGAGAAATTAACTAGGCTTGCATCTTGTGTGCTAGAATTTGCGTTCCAATCATATTGTTGGCGGCCTGTAGCGAGATGCCACGGTGCAGACGCTTCGACAGTGAGTGTTTGGAATTTAGATGAACGCTATGTCTCCAATTTTTGCGGGGTGCCGTCAATAAGATAAGTAGTGCGACGTGCTGACGGCGCTAGTTGTGTGCTGGCAACAAAAACGTCGTATTGTATTGAGAACTGGTGCAACTGTCTTGGGCGGGCCGGTGCTTCTGTGCGTGACCCCTTGATTGCGGACGTGGCGCCGCGCCAGCCGCCTTGCGAAGAGCGTGCGGACCTGCCCAGCGACCCCTTTATTGCGGACGTGGCGCCGCACCAGCCGCCCTGCGGAAAGCATGCGGATCTGCCCAGTGACCCCTTGATTGCGGACGTGGCGCCGCACCAGCCGCCCTGTGGAGAGCGGGCGGACCTGCCCAGCGACCCCTTTATTGCGGACGTGGCGCCGCACCAGCCGCCCTGCGGAAAGCATGCGGATCTGCCCAGTGACCCCTTGATTGCGGACGTGGCGCCGCACCAGCCGCCCTGTGGAGAGCGGGCGGACCTGCCCAGCGACCCCTTTATTGCGGACGTGGCGCCGCACCAGCCGCCCTGCGGAAAGCATGCGGATCTGCCCAGTGACCCCTTTATTGCGGACGTGGCGCCGCACCAGCCGCCCTGTGGAGAGCGGGCGGACCTGCCCAGTGACCCCTTGATTGCGGACGTGGCGCCGCACCAGCCGCCCTGTGGAGAGCGGGCGGATCTGCCCAGTGACCCCTTGATTGCGGACGTGGCGCCGCACCAGCCGCCCTGCGGAGAGCGGGCGGACCTGTCCGAAGGGTGGAAAATGCGCGGCGCTCCATGCAGATACACATGGAGTCTGTATGCCTTGGAACTCCTGGTCGGCTAGCGTTAAAATATTAAATAGCTCGATAAAAGCCAGCGGAACAGTCTTGCTTAGGGTGCATTTTCTTTTTAATATGCCGGCACAAATGAGCTGTGCAACTTTAAAGGCCTCGCGCATTTAACAAATGAACCCTTGGGGCTAGCGGGATAAGTACGCTCCGCAGGCCACTGGGCTACGGTCAGGCCTGGGTGGAGGCCGATCAGTGGCACCGTGCCCGAGCCGGCCAACAGTCGTGCCTGGCGTGTCTGCGCCGGCACTGGGGCGTGGGCGCCGCTCCAGTGTCGGCGCCATCCGACGCGCTCCGAGCGTCTTGCACACGTTCCAGTGTCGGCGCCGACACTGGAGCGTGGGCGCCGCTCCAGTGTCGGCGCCATCCGACGCGCTCCGGGCGTCTAAGCACACGCCCTATTTCACAGCTGCCGTAGACGTGACTCGTCCATTGTTTTGGGATGCCCTCGGAGCCCCGGTCTGGTGTGAAGGGCGGGTCACCGGTGTCTGGGCGGGCCTGCTGCGCAGTGACAGCGGCCTTGCCGGTCATGTCAGGACACGGCTCTGGTGGGCTGTGTGACCAATGGGCAGAGGTGTGAGCCGTCGACACGTCTGCCGGCAGGAGGAGCTGCGGCTGCTGGCCGACATGTTCCCGGCCGCCTGCGCCCTGGAGCTGCGCCACTGCCTGGCGCTGGCCGGCGGCGCCCTGGAGGAGGCTGCCCAACTGCTGCTGACGCGGCAGGAGGCTGGCGACGCCATCACGCAGTCGCAGCAGGTACCTGGGCGGCGGGAAGGCGCCCGCTGCCGTCTATGCGCGGTGCTGTCCGTGCTGTGTATTTGACGACGCACGTGACTGGGGTGGTCACTGATGTCCGAGTGCCACGACGGTTTCATCCCGGAAGCAAACACAGGTGATAGTACGCCTTCAACTCCTACTGTTGGGGCTTAAGGTCAGGTTAACGGCTTTTAACTTACGACACTTGGGTGCGAAGTACGGGGAAGCCTTGCAGCTTTTTAGTTACGACACTTGGGTGCGGAGGGGGGGGGGAGGGGGGAGGGGTGGCAGTTAACTGGGTCTCTTCGGCCACTGCGACCCGTCCAGTACCGCTCTGCAGTCGCTTGCCGCGAGTGGACTCAGAGGCGCCGGGGTCGTCAGGACCTGCCCTGTATCGTTGTGTGTTGTGAGCTGTCACCGGTCGTGTACGGGGAACCCTGACCCAGCGCCTGGCCCCGTCCCGGCGCCTGACCCTATCGTGGAACCCTGACGCTAACGTCGTCCCTGACGTGACACCCTGAACCTGATCCGGCGCCTGACCCTACCGTGGAACCCTGACGCTAACTTCGTCCCTGACGTGACACCCTGAACCTGACCCGGCGCCTGACCCTACCGTGGAACCCTGACGCTAACTTCGTCCCTGGCGTGACGCCCTGAACCTGACCCGGCGCCTGACCCTGACCCGGCGCCTGACCCTGACGTGGAACCCTGACGCTAACGTCGTCCCTGACGTGACACCCTGAACCTGATCCGGCGCCTGACCCTACCGTGGAACCCTGACGCTAACTTCGTCCCTGACGTGACACCCTGAACCTGACCCGGCGCCTGACCCTATCGTGGAACCCTGACGCTAACTTCGTCCCTGACGTGACACCCTGAACCTGACCCGGCGCCTGACCCTACCGTGGAACCCTGACGCTAACTTCGTCCCTGGCGTGACACCCTGAACCTGACCCGACGCCTGACCCTGACCCGGCGCTTGACCCTACCGTGGAACCCTGACGCTAACGTCGTCCCTGACGTGACACCCTGACCTGGATGTGGCGCCTGACCCTGGCCATCAGATGCTGAGCCGGCGGCGCGCCGACCGTCAGAAGCTGGACGACAAGTCGCTGAAGGCGCAGATCATCGCCAAGTACAGCTACCAGGACGTGGACGACAGCCGCCGGGAGCACAAGCCGCACCTGCCCAAGTCGGTGAGTGCTGCCGCCGACCCCCGACCGGCGACGCCGATGTGACAACCGCCGCCGTCATGACAACGGCAGAATTTGGACTGGCGCGTGGTCGATGTTACGGGTTAGGGGTGCCACTTTTGATCTGCTTTAACCAGTACATCGGTACATTGCTGGTCTGTGGGCTCAAAAGTGGCACGTGTACTGGCATGAATGACGCCAACACAAATGAACGTTTGTGGTTGGCCTTGCAAGCGGCAAGGGCCAGTTACCGGGAAGCGCATTGGTTAAAGTTTGAACTAGTGCGTCACTATAGACCATGTGATTATCCGATTCCCAAAGCCAAAGTCCGCTCCAGAAAGAGCCGCTGTGATAAGCGCCATAGGGGAGAAATCAAAGCCATAGTATAACATTTTGTTGAATTTGACGTCTATATAATGACCTCTTGTTTGCGTATATTTTTCTCTAAAAGAGTGTTTCAAGCTTTCGAAGCATTTATTACGCCAGCATTTGGCAAATTGGTGTGTTGCAGCCATTACAGAACACATACTGGAAAAAGCAAGGCAAATGGACGTTATTTTCATAGCGAGGATCAAGAAATATAATGATATTTCTCCCGCTGAAGTGGCTTCTTTAAATCATTCTGATGTATTTAGAGGGATTTGGAGGGGAAGTGGTATTACGGATCGGATCGGACGCATCTGATCCAAAGTGACAACATCAAAAGGTTGCATGCTCCCGTCAATCACGATTCGCGGCGACAACGAGCGGCAGAGTTATCAGGTTATGTCTGAGGCACACTAAGGTTTGGGGGAACCGGTAACGCCCGCTGCTGCTGCGGCCATTGCCGGCGTTCCCGACCTGGCACCGGATGACCGGTTTGTGATCGCGACCGGCCAGGCTCTCTCGGGATGCTCAAGTTTGAGGCACCGCCTTCCTCTGCGCGCTCCCCAACTGGTGCTCGATTGGACAGCTGCTTCATGACGGACGTGGCGGCTCGTGAGATATCGGTAACGCCCATGACCGTATCATACCTGATGCCAGAAAACAACTCAGTGTGACCGTTCCTCGATGTCTTCCCACCTGCAGTGATTAGCTATGGCCATTGGCTAGTGTTACCAACCGACGTGAGCCCGGCACGCCGTTGTCCGCAGTCGCCTAAGAAGATGGTGCGTTACCTGGACAACAAGGTGGTGTCGCTGAAGGGCGAGCGCTTCACCGAGATCAAGCGGGCCGAGACCAAGGACGACATGAAGAAGACGTACGTGAGCCTCAAGCCGCTGAAGCAGTACCGGTTCCACTAGCGCGCGGTCGGCCGGCGGAAGCCGACGCCGCCGCGCCGTCCGCAGGCCAGATGATACGCGCCGAGCGGCCGCCCGACCTGCCGCGCCGCTCCTCGCCCCCCCCCCCCCCCCCCCTCCCTCTCCCTCTGTTCGTGAGTAAGTGTGCTGTCTGTGATGACCGGCGGCCGCGCCGCGAGACACCCGGTCTGCACCGGTCCTGCGGGCCGCGAGCGCCGGCCTGCGGCGGCGGCGGCGGCGGCGCCGCGCCGAGACCGTGAGCGGTAGGCGCGAGTCGGACCCGGTCCCCCCCGCCCCATCACTCCCTCCTCCCCCGCCCCGCTCAGGCAACGGCTGCAGCGCGTGCCTGCCTGCCGGCCGGCCGGCCTGCTGTCGGCGTCGGCGGAGCTCTGGCGGCCGCCTACCGGAGCCGGGCCGGCGCTGCTTCCGACGCAGGCGGCCGGGGGTGACCAGGCCCGCCCACCATATCGGCGGCCAGCGGCGCCCGGCACCGGCTCGCTGCCGCCGTCTCCTGTGCGGGCGTGTGTGTGTGCACGGGACCCAGCTGGCACAGCCGGCACCGCTTGACCGCCACCTGTCGTAGCGATGCCCTCTGGCCCAGCCTGGGCTGCTGCGCAATACCCGGCCGCGTCAAAGGGGATTGGAGACTCCAGGCTGGGCCCGCTTAGGGGCTGATGAACGCTTCCGTGGAATTCAAAAGTATCTCTAGCCGACGAAATGTGTGCGCATAGTCTTTCAGTTTTGCATGTTCCATTTTTTCAGTGCTTAGTCCTGTGAATCTCTTTGTGAGGCCCCATTGTTAAGCTGCTCGCTGTCGTCCCCTTCCGCCCCTAGATGTTGGAGATGACTGCTGTGCGCCATCCGGGCGGTGCGTGCGCTGTTACGGGCCCGCCTCCAGCACTTGGGCCGTGCTTGGGCTCAGACATTGGGGCAGCGGGATGTATCCTGTCAGCCGGGCTCAAGTTACTGGCCAAGTCGGGGTGCGTGTTAAGTTGCTGTCGTATCCAGCAGGTCGTCTGCACGATCCCTGGTGGCGGGCATCTCACGCCCGGCCGCCTGTATGTCACAATGGGTGAGTTTCGGCGCCCCGCTCCCATCCCCAACTTCAGTCTCAGCTGCGCGCGTCCTCAGTGATCTCTGCCGTGGCGTCTGTGTGCGCGTGCGGAAGTGGCGGCCGACGCGCTCGGGGGTCGTCTCTGGCCCAGTCAGGGTGGCCGAGACAGGCCGACCGCCGTGGTGTGCACGCGGATGTCCTCCGACGATGCCGCTGTGCACAACACGTTCACGGATCACGTTAGTGTGCACAGAAACGTCCTCGGAACACGCCGCTGTGCACGGAGGCATTGTGTGAATCCACCACACTACACATAGTTATTTCTGAGCCGTCTTCTATGCACGTCTGTGCGGGTACACGTACCTACATCAGCACGCGCTTCCGGCATGCGGACGACTCTCCAGCTTCCCTCCGCTGTGTAGAGAGGACGCTCCGTGAATGTGATAGACGTCTTGCTGTAGCGCTGTAGTACAATGTTGTGTTGGCGTCGTCCTCGGCGGATACTTAAACCGTCGGTAGGCGTGGTAAGTTTTTATGATCTGAAGAGGACGTGGCGTTGTTTTAAGTGTCGTTTCTTTTTGTACTCACTTTAGTTCCTGCCAGCACGGATGTTTTAAGACGGTAGCTAGTGTTGAGGTACGTTCCTGTTGCACCGGCGTTTATATTCACCCATTTCTCGTGCGGTACGGCGTGATCTGGCACATCCTGAGACTTGATTAACCCACGAGTTTTACGTCACCACGTCCCGCGAGCCATGCACTGCTGCCAGCTCCGCGAAGGCGGGGTAAAGACGCTTGGAAGGGCGACGGCTTTCTCTGTGACGGAAGGCTTGCCAAGTTGCTGCTAGCATTTGTGTACCTGTGACGTTCCTGTTGCCCTGTGAGCGGCGGCTCCATAAGTCGCACCGTAACCAATTGGCCCGATGTGGCAGGCATACTGTCGTCCAGCGTAGGACGACAGATGAGACATTTAGCAAGCTAGCCGTGCGTTGTGCTGAGTTGGACTCCACAACCGGCTCGTGCGTCACCGGCGCACGGGTCCTAAGATCTGCGCCGCATCAGTCAGGTCTGATTTATGTTCTAGTCCTCTCTGTAGGGTTGTTCGTTCTAGCTCGGAACGTAGTCGTACCCGTTGAGTTGGCGATGTCATGATTATTTGTCGAGCGTATCTGTTTATTTCTTGTACACGTTTTCGAAGTTGCAATGAAATAAACGTCATCTAACATTTGTCCGTCTGTTGTCGCACGTTCGGGTCAGAAGCCGCAACGTGACAGTCGTTGCTTGCGCCGTCCGTATCATCTCAGCCACATGCTCAGACGGCGGGCCCACCTTGCCGATCGTGCGCAGGTGGACGCCATGTGGCATTCAGACTGGATGTGCTCGCCGGGCGACTCCAGGCATCACGCGCATTCCGAAGTAGAGTTTTGCTGCACTGCAATACCGCCTTGCCTCCACGGCTTGGCTGAACGCTTGAGGCTCGGCGGGTCGTGTCCCCCCGGACCCACTGTTGGTATGGCGTGTCGGCGGCTGTCCCGCCAGGCCCCGTGCTACTCCCACCGGCGGTCACCAAGCCCGCCGCTGGGGTCTTCACCGACCCGCCAACAGCAACTGGGCGCCGGTGGCCGAAGGGCGCCGCCGCTGGCATGATCATAGACGGAGACTTCTTACAAAGGGCAGAGCGCACGCTAGCTGCAAGCCGACCATGCCTTACAAAGGGCAGAGCGCGCGGTAGCCGTAAGGCGACCGTGTCTTACAAAGGGCAGAGCGCGCGCTAGCCGTAAGCCGACCGTGTCTTACAAAGGGCAGAGCGCGCGCTAGCCGTAAACCGACCGTGTCTTACAAAGGGCAGAGTGCGCGCTAGCCGTAAGCCGACCTTGTTGGTAGTTGCTCTGGTTGTTTATTCCCCTCGCGGTAAGTTACAGCACTGCTAAGTTCTGAGACGCCTAACGGCATTGTCAGTATGGTGCAATAACAGAGCGTTTCATTCCGTAATATGTTTAGGAAAATCAAGACAAGGCCTGACCACATGCTGAGGCCTCCCGAGCCCGCACGCAAGGCTGACCAGGGGTGCCGCGCCCGCGGTTTCGATTTGAGGTCGGCTCAGCAAAGTGCTCGGTCAAGTGAAGCGCGGGCTACGGTCATCGACAGCCTGGTCAGGTCAAGTGCGAGCTACGGTCATCGACAGCTCGGTCAGGTGAAGTGCGGGCTACGGCCATCGACAGCTTGGTCAGGTCAAGTGCGGGCTACGGTCATCGACAGCCCGGTCAAGTGAAGTGCGGGCTACGGCCATCGACAGCTCGGTCAGGTGAAGTGCGGGATACGGCCATCGACAGCCTGGTCAGGTCAAGTGCGGGCTATGGTCATCGACAGCTCGGTCAGGTGAAGTGCGGGCTACGGCCATCGACAGCTTGGTCAGGTCAAGTGCGGGCTACGGTCATCGACAGCCCGGTCAAGTGAAGTGCGAGCTACGGTCATCGACAGCCTGGTCAGGTCAAGTGCGAGCTACGGTCATCGACAGCCCGGTCAAGTGAAGTGCGAGCTACGGTCATCGACAGCCTGGTCAGGTCAAGTGCGGGCTACGGCCATCGACAGCTCGGTCAGGCTAAGTGCGGGCTACGGTCATCGACAGCTCGGTCAGGCCAAGTGCGGGCTACGGTCATCGACAGCTCGGTCAGGTGAAGTGCGGGCTACGGCCATCGACAGCTTGGTCAGGTCAAGTGCGGGCTACGGTCATCGACAGCTCGGTCAGGCCAAGTGCGGGCTACGGTCGTCGACAGCCCGGTCAAGTGAAGTGCGAGCTACGGTCATCGACAGCCTGGTCAGGTCAAGTGCGAGCTACGGTCATCGACAGCCCGGTCAAGTGAAGTGCGAGCTACGGTCATCGACAGCTCGGTCAGGTGAAGTGCGGGCTACGGTCATCGACAGCTCGGTCAGGTCAAGTGCGGGCTACGGCCATCGACAGCTTGGTCAGGTCAAGTGCGGGCTACGGTCATCGACAGCCCGGTCAGGTCAAGTGCCGGCCAAGAGTCGCGTCCAGACGTTCAGTCGCTTTAACAGCCGTGTCATATGTGGGGGGTTATACAGAGACAGTTACAAGTTGTATCATCGTCTACAATATCGCATGACTATATCGGCAGAATTTACTGTACGAGTCTTAGGCAGCGTGGCGATAACATCTGTTCGCGACTTCAAACATCATAAGATTAATGTAGAGCCTACTACTGTTTGGTGTGTAATTAGCACGGCCGTAAAATACACTCTGTCAGCATTTTCACTCACGTTAGGCAGGCGAAGATCAATCCACTCAAGTCGAAAAAGTTCGAACCCAGCTTACCGTTAGGTCCATGATCTGAACAGACAGTCACAGGCTGCCCCACTGGTGCTATCGGTGGTGTAAACGATGCTGATGGTGATGGTGATCAGGCCCGCTGGTGATTCGACCCGCTGACCCGGTCGTTCCAGCGGTGGTTCCGGCATGGACAGCGCCCGTCAGGTCACCGGCTCGACCGAGCCTGATCGCGAGCACAGATCGGCCCATCTGACCACTCAGTGAGCGGTAGCTCCGGGCCAGCTGACGACTCGGTGAACGGTGGCTCCCGGTTCAGCTGACGACTCGGGAAACGGTAGTTCCGGGCCAGCTGACGACTCGGTGAACCGTGGCTCCGGGCCAGCTGACGACTCGGTGAACGGTAGCTCCGGGCCAGCTGACGACTCAGCAAATGGTAGCTCTGGGCCAAAGGCATAGTATCACAAAATGACTTGGGGTGGGGGAGGGGGAGAGGGGTGGGGGGGCTTGTAAGAAATGATCTAATCTACAACCAGAATGTGCCAATAAACTTAGCTGTCCCCAGATGTGGCCTACTTTCTTCCCAAATGTGTGTGTGTGGGGGGGGGGGGGGCGCTCTAGCCCAAGTTTGGAGGGAAGTCTGAAGCCTGCTTCCCAACTGAACAGGAAACGCACCCTTCTCCCGGCTCCAGCTGACGACTCGGTAGATGGTAGCTCTTGGACCCAGCAAACGACTCGATAATTCGCGGGCCCAGGTTCGGGCAACGGCTGTTAGATGACGTCAGCACGTGTGCAACCGAGCGGGCCTGCAGTAACAAGACCTTGCAAGCGGTTGCGACAAACGATTTGCGGACGCATCGACTGGCGGTGTTGGTTTTGTTGAGCTACGGTATGCCAGATCATCTGCTGGTAACCACCGTGGCATGCTTAGAGGCACAGTTTCCCATTCACTTGGGGGCTCCAGGCCTCCCCCGCAACTTGGGCTCCAGAGCCCCTCCCCCGCCAAACTTTCACAAGAAAATGGGCCAAATCCAGAGAGAAACCCATTTCTTGATGCCTTTCGGGAGAAGTTTTCGTCATTTTCCACCGTTTAGCCGCCCTCCCGCCCAACGCTTTTTGCAAAACTTTGCTCCTGGCTGTGATGCAGGGCTCAGCCCGACTCCGGTTACTTCTTCCGCTGGTTGGCACAGAATGTGAGCCTCCGGCACTCTGGCAGGATCACTTGCATCTGACCATCCCATATGTATACCATGCATACGCGACATGGTAGTGATTCGGAGGTCCGAAGGGAGAATTGATTGTGAATTGGAAAAAAGTGATTCGGAAGATTAGGACAATTGACGGGCAGTATGCAAGGATATATTTCCAACGTGGAGCCTCCACGGAACGGTATGGGACGTGACACCACTCGCCAGGGCCGTTGACAACGGGGCACTTCGGGGGCGGCGACCGCGTGATTGCGCGGCGTTTGGTCGTCTACGTCAGAACTCTCTGTCCATCATCCGAACATCCGCTACAGCCTATGTCAGGCCGCCTACGGCCTGGTTCTTCTGCAAACCGATTCCCAGTTGAGCCAGTGCAGCCAGGAACCTTCCAGGACTAAACGTTCTCAAAACGCTGTGTTGGCTGTAATTCAATTATATTTACAAGGCTTGGGGCCTTTATCTGCTGGGTGTGTCGTGTTACGGTGACTATGAAAAAGCAATCCCAAAATTACTTTAAAGGATATTTTTTGGTTTATTTCTGAGCCATACAAATGAATGTGTTAAGTTGGAATCTTACGCTATATCTCGAAATGTTTTTTAGCTTGCTGTTTACTGGCTATTGATATACTTTTAATGGAGTTTTTTGTATTTTGCTAAGCAATACTTAATACGAATAGTGCGGCTAGCAGGCAATTTGTTGGTGTAATGCAGGAACCAGCATGCTGGAAGTTAAATAGTGATGAAAGATAACCCACCCAATACATTTTAATTTTTTTGCTCTTTATGCAGTGTTAGATAACTTGTGGCTCTTAATTCACACGAATGCGGTTCAACTTTACACCACTAAACATTTAACCGCTTTACGTCCGCCATTTTCACGCGGCGGCGTGGTGTGTTGTTGAGCAGGGAGGGGTGGTGCGGTTGGTTACGGTTCTTCTTTTTCGCAACACCTTGTTACCCGTAAGTACCTCTATGATTTGTTTGATTTTAATCTTCAAGTGACTTTACATGTTTAATCTAGATAACATTTTTGTCGCGTAACTTGTTGGTTGTTTTCGATGTACCGGCTCGCGCCATGCTCGTCTTTATTCTCTGTACATTGGCGGGTCGATCCCAAATGATGATTTGTTAGGATTTGGACGCAGAGTTATGTTGTACCTCAGGTCTAAGTTCGCTCATAAACCCCGGTCTGCAGAAAACTGGTGTGGGGCGGGGCTACTGCGCGATTTACATACGATGAATTGGCCGCGCGAAGTATGCGGGCGGCAGTGGCGCGAGGCTAAAAAACAATGTTCCGAGAGCCTAATTTCGTCCAATTTAGAGAGATGTGCATGAAGATGACTTACTGGATGTGATTTCGAGTGCTTGATACTTATCTCACAAGGGACCTTTTGAAGACACTAGTTTGTTTTTGAAGTTATATTCCACATTTTGATGTGGATTTGACATGGACTTAAGAGCAAAAGGCATCACATGAAGCTCATTGAGTAATTATGGTTATCAGTTTAATCTTGGTGATATAATTTGTGCATCATTTATTCATACTCATGCTTAAAAGTTGGGTTAAACCCTCATTAAATATGTATTTACCTGAATTTTAGCTCTGTTATTAAGGAAATTAATTTGGTCTAAGGTTCTGTACTATTGGTCATACAGCTTACATGCTGTTATCAATGAGCAATACATTGAATACAGCATTTTAAAGGCTTTAATCTTATCCAAATGACTTCTAAATGTATGGTGTAGGTCATCATGTTGGATATTTCAATAACGCAGCAACCACAGTAATGGTTTACAGTTTGATGAACACATTTTCTTGGAACTCCATTGCCTAAACATCACTGTCAGTGCTGCAAATTTGGTAGTGCAAGCAGCAAGATGCTCAAAAGGTCTGATTGATGTGATAGTGCTACAAATTTGGTAGTGTAAGCAGCAAGATGCTCAAAAGGTCTGATTGATGTGATTAAAGCTTAGCACATTATATTTGCTGTTCTATTCCTAGCATCAGCTTAATGTTCCTATTGACCACCCACTTTATTTTTTTGCAGTAATTTCAATCATAAGATATTTCTGATCATACAAATAAATGATAAATCTTACCTGGTACAGTGCAATGAGGCTGGCATGGCAACCTGTCAGGAAAGAAAAATCACAATAATTAAAATTTAGAGCATTGAGCACACAGACCAAACCATGTATCTCTAGATAAATGCTATGAAAATATGAGTACATCAGATGAAAGTGCCAAAGCTGTACTCAGAAAAATGTTATGATTGTAGTTGGTGTGTAGCAATCAGCTGGTTGTTTGTAAATCAAAATGACCCCTTTATGTTTTGACATGTTACCTGGCTGGTTTTCAACATGGTTTTCTGGTGTGTGAGTTTGGGTCACTAAATGAATTTTAGTACCCAACTTCCAAACAACATGGTTTCCATGTTGTTTGGGGAATGGTGGCTCACCTAAAGTTGCTTTTGTGTGGTTATGTCTAAAACTCCATTTGAATGCCACATGCCCTAGATGTGAACATATCTTACAGCTTGGTGAATGTGGCAACACCTTGGTTTTGCATCATCTCATTGCAAGCAACTTTTGTACAAGTTTTGAAGGCAAGGAAGTTATAATGCCATTTGATGACTACCTGCTCATTTGAAATCAGCATTTACATGAACATGTTCTAAGTTTGACAAGAAAAGATAGGAGTAGTACACCATGTATTGGTTATTTTTTTTGAAAAGTGGACCAGCAGTCATTTGTCTCAGGCAACAATAAAGCACAAATGTTAAACATACAACAACATTGCATGTTTACTTACTGGAATGTGAGATGCCAGAATCTGAGTTGGGATATGCCTGCTTGCGGTTACCTTGGTAGGCTTTTCACCAGGTTGATGATAGGTGACAAGGACATTTGCTGTGATTTAGAATGTGATTCAAGAAAATTGATTAGTAATTTGTGAGATTGGAGACAGCCTTAATGCCATTCCTGGCAGTCCATGTGTAAAAAGATTGCTTTGATAAAAATCATGATTTTGCTGTCACTATGGTTTCTGTGGTTGATATATTCATAATTGCTGTAGCATGAGCCTGGGAGTCAATTGACAAGAGCTCCCTGCAGATAGACCAGCACTGTAAGATCACCAATGGTTGCAGAGGCAGCACTGAAATGGCATAACACTCAGGAAAATGAAGCAAAGTTCAACTGATCCTGTGTACAGTGTGTTCTAGTCTGCAATATTTTGTGCAGATTTGGTTCTGTGCCTGAGAAGCCTGTTTTGTAAATATGTAAATAAATATGTAAAGTTTATAAAACTCAGCACATTGCAGGTGATGTGCTGATAAACACATGCACTGGATAATTTGCAGAACATTTGGACCAACAGCATGGTGTTATGGTCCTCCAATGCTTCACCATATTTGGTGTTGTCAAACTTGTATTTTTGCTGCCCCCCCCCCCCCCTTCCCTATTTCAGCAATATTGAAATAGTACTTAACATTTTGCTAGAAATAATCTGTATTCATGCTTCAGAGTTCTAATGTAGAAATTTTACCAACTCCTGCCTGGAAAGCAGCCCTTCTCTCAGTTTTGAGCCCATACAGGGGCAATTTAGAAATCTAGGAAGGCCATTGACATGTCTAAGCAATAATTGTTAATTAGACTGACATTGCTTTAAAGATGTGATGACTGTGGTGTCTCCATGGCAAGCTTTGATGCACTGGTACTTGAACCACACTTCCCATTTTTATTCATAACTTGTTGGTTTTGAAATTTGAAGTCTGCATTTCTTGTGGCAAACAAAATAAACTGATGTTATTGCTGTAGAGTAATATTTTGTGGAATGAGTTCTTGTTATGGCTGTCATTTTACACTTGTAGATAAAACTGGTTTTCTGCTACAGGACATATCTTATAAAACTGGTTCTCTGTTACAGGACATAACTTCTGTAGTCTCACAAAATGATGCCCACTGTGAGTACATACCTGCTTGCATTCTTTGCCCAAATCACCTAGTATATCATTGTCATAGAATTGTGTTGGCCAAGGGTTAAGAATAGCCATCCATACTTCAGATATTGAAATCATGTAGTGGAATGCATTTTTTGAGAACATGGACATGAATGTTACCATGCCATATTTTTTCAGTTCTGTGTTGGGGCCACATAATTCATATTCTTTGAGATGTGGTATGTCCGGTTCCCATCTGCACAATGTTCCTTTGCCCGTTCTTTCCGCCTTTGCAAAGGAATATCACGTGATTCCCGCCTCCAGACGGATGCGGCGCCACAGACCAAGGTGTTTGTGGGCCGGCTGTCGGCGGCCACGAAGTCGCTCGACCTGCGGAAGCTGTTCGAGCGGTACGGCGAGGTGACCGAGTGTGACGTGCTCGGCACGTATGGCTTCGTGCACATGAAGTCGGTGGGCCAGGCCGAGACGGCCATCCAGAAGCTGAACGGCACAGAGCTGCACGGCTCGCGCATCAGCGTCGAGCCGTCCACCGGGCAGAAGGGGCGCGGCGGCGGCCGCGGCCGCGGCGGCGGGCCCATGCGCGGCATGCGCGGTGTCGGCGGCTACCGGGGACGCGGCGGCGACCGGTTCGAGCCGTACAGCCGCTCCTACCCGCCGGCAGACGGGTGCGTACGGCCCTCGCTCCGCCGACTTAGGTCAGGGCCCGTCTGTTGTTTACATATGCTGGCACTGTAGAGGCTGACAATGTTCAGCTTTTCCGGTGAGGACTAGTTAACAGAGCAACCAGGGGGTTCACCTCTGGAGTAGTTGACAGTTGGTGACCAATAGATTGTCCATTATCGCACTAGTGCTCACTCGCCATTATCTTGCATTAGGCTCTCATTTTTGGAATTGTTCTCGTCACGCCGCAGTTATGGCGGCGGATACGGCGGCGGGGGTGGCTACGGCGACGGCTACGCCAACAGCTACGGCAACAGTTACGGCAACAGCTATGGCAACGGCTACGGGGCGAGCTACGGCAACGGTTACAGCATGGACCGGCGTCCTCCGCCGGTGCGCACAGCCGTCGGCGGCTATTACGACGACTACGAGCGGCGCGACCCGTACGCGCGGTCGCCGGCGCCGCGGCCCGCCTACGACGCCTACGACCGGCGGCCGCCGCCGCGCGACCCGTACGCCGCATCTGGCTACGACACGCGCGCCCAGACCGGCTATGAGCGACGCGATGACTACAACGACATGTACAGCCGCCGCTCGCCGCCGCGCTACCAGGCCGAGGCGGCGCCGGCGCGCGGCTACGATGCGTACGACCGCTACGCAGCGGCGCCGCGCGGCGCCAGCCCGCCCAGACGGTGAGTACCCGGCGCTGGCTGGCCGCTGGCTGGCTGCTGGCTGGCTGCTGGCTGGCTGCTGCTGCGGGAGAGGCGATCGGGTCGGGTCGGGTCGTTGGCTTCTCGTCGCGCCGCGGTGGGCGCCGAGAGCGCGCGGGGTCCGGCGGCGTCCCGTACTCGGCAGGGTGAGTTGGTCGAGGCTGGGACAGCGGGCGCGGGCCCTGCTGTCGTCCCAGAGCGCGGCGAGGACGTTAATTGCGGTAAGCGAAGTCTGTCGCCTCGTGGACAGCGCGCTCGGACCGGTGGGGTTGCGAGCGCCCATCGTCCCGCGCGTGACACGGTGTGCTGAAGCCTGCAGAGTGCTTGGTCGGAGCGCCGCGCCGGCAGCAGGGGCGGAGCGCCGCGCCGGCTCGGGACTGCGGTGTGGTCTGCGGAGGCGGATGACGAGGCGCCTGGGCTGCGGAGCGGACCGAGGTCCGTGGCGGACGGCGGAGTGCCGACGCTGCGGCTCTGATTGAGGGGCTGAGAGCGCCGCTCATGTGCCGGAGTCGGAGGCGGAGCCGGGAGGGGCGGCGCAGCGCAGCGCCGTGGGCTCTCGCCACGGCCTGCCCGACTATCACCGCTGTCTCTGTCGTTCTAGCTATGCGCCCCAGCACCGTGAACTGACTACGGTGCGCAGGTACTAAGCGACGCGGCTCGCGCGTGCGCACACGCCCGATTTGCGTGCGGCCAGGTGGGTGGCCGGCCGGCCAGCAGTGGCAACGTGGCAACGTGGCGACACAAGAGTGAAGTCGCGGAAGAGCGGCCTCCTCGGTGGGTCCTCCTCGGCTCGCCAGACGTTCCCCCTATTCGCTTCGTCTCGTAATATAGCTTCATGTGTATCCCCCTTCATGTGTCGGGGCGAGGCGGCGCCGCCCCCCAAATAAACTGCACATTCACCGAAGCTGGCGTGTCGTCTGCGGAGGCGAGATTTGGCGGTAGCGAGAGCGGCGGTGGCGGCGACGGCGGCGGAGCGACCCGCGGCGAGCGTGTCTCGCGGCAAAGCGACCGCAGCAGTGATCAGCAGCGACCGACCCGACCCTGGTGCGCCCTAGTCCGACCCGACCCGACCCCACCCGACCCGACCCCACCCGAGTCGACTGGATGGCCCTGCCCGATCCCATCGCCAGCTGGGAAGATGCGGCGCTTTCGACGTAGCCAGGCGACCCGGGAATATTTCGACTCTGTTTCGGGTTTGCGCATAGGGGAAAACGCAAAAGGCGGCCGTGCGGGCCACAGCGTGTGGCTATGTCGATGCGCTGTCTTGTGCGCTGGCTGCTGGCGTCGGCCGATCCTCCCGTTCCCTGGCTGCGGCCGGCGTGGTGGGCTGACGAACCCGGCCGGCGGCGAGAGGCGGCGAGTGACGGCCGGCTCGCGAGCGGGCAGCTGAGGTGAGGCTACTGTAAGGCCGGGCGACGACGTGCGGGCGGCGGCGCGGGGTGCCGAGCGAGGCGGGCGCGGAGCGCGTACGCCCCACCGGTGCGGGGTGGCGGCGCGCGCGATGCCGTGCTGCGGTGGACGACTGGCTGCTCGGTGGCCTGTTCGGCGCGGCCCTGCGGTGTTCCTCTCCGCACTTGATCGGATCAAACCAGGATGGGTCTGCGAACCGTTTCTGTTGTGCATTAGTGGCCCGTCCCGTGACTCTGGCTCGCTAAAATCGAGACCGCGTGACATGAATTGAGTTGGGACAAGACAAATGCCTGTGAACTTCTCTTCAGGTAGCCTACTTAGGCTCACTTTCGACTTCAGTGTGAAGCTATGTCCACCCGGCTTGTGTGACGAGGTGGATGTGTTTCTAGGAGCTTGCACTACCTGACGTGATTGCGCCCGACGGTGGCGGCGCAGCTGGCGTGATGACGCGACGGCCGTCACAGCGGCCCGGCCGTAGGCACGCCAGCGACCGCGCCTCTGGCCGTCTGATGAGGTGAGCAGCCGCGCCTCTGACCGTCTGACGAGGTGAGCAGCCGCGCCTCATGCCGTATGGCGAGGTGAGCAGCCGCGCCTCAGGCCGTATGATGAGGTGAGCAGCCGCGCCTCTAGCCGTCTGATGAGGTGAGCAGCCGCGCCTCCGGCCGTCCTAACAGGTGAGCAGCCGAGTTTCTCTCCCAACAGGTGAGCCGCCTCATCTCTGTCCGTTTCAACAGGTGAGCTACATTCATTACTAAAATAAGCGAGCCGTCGTGTCTCTGCCAGTCACAACAAGCTATTTACCGGGCACGTGTGGACAGGTGAGCTGCCACGTTACTGTCCCCGACGGATGAGCTGCCACGTCCGTATCCTACCAAACACTTGGACGTATATGTACCTTCCTTCGTGAACCGGTCGTTAACTTGCGTGGTATCGGTTTAGCTGACATTGCAGGCAAGCTGGTTATTGCTATCAGAACTGCGTCCTTTTATCGGTCGGCCACAAGTTTATGAATTGCACTGGCCTCAACGCATCATGCAGGGGTTGTGACCTGCGGCTCAAACTCCGCTCTGCGTCTGTCAGCGGGACGAGCGAGACGGCGTCCCGCCTAGCTGTTGTGTCGTTCGTTATCTCACCACATAGACGGATAATGGTCGTGTTGTTTCGGCAGTTCGCACCGCTACTCAAACACTGCGTGAATCCGGTTGTGTAGCGACCAGTGGCAGTGCACCGGTAGTGTGCTGCGCCTACGGTGCTGATCGGTGCTGGACCTGACGGCGTGTGTCGGTGTGTGTGTGTGTTCCAGAGGCCAGAGGCGCGCTCCTACTCTGGGACGGGGCGCCCGCCGGGCCGGCTCGGGCCGGCTCTCGGCTGTGATCAACTCGCGCGTCGGCCGGTACATCCACCCGTCGTGGCACCGCCGGGAGGTGGCGATCCCGCTCTGAATATTGTGTGTTTGTGCGTGCGTGCGCGCCTGTCTGTCTGTTTGTCTGATCGGGTGGGTGCGCGCGTGTGCGTCCGAAACGGCAGAAAGTGCGTCATTGCTTATCATCGACATCGGAGCACCGGAGACTAGGGAATGTCGCCTGGATTTGAGCCCAGGTGTCTCCTGCTTACAAAGGTCTGGTCGCGGTCGTCTGTTCCGGGTGACTCTTCATCATCAGCGCGCGGCGACATGGGCGCAGGCTCTGTCGCCGATGAACGCTGCACGTCAGAGTGGGTTTCGTGGCCGATTCATTCCATGCCGCATACGAATTGCATTACCATCACATGTTGGATTGCGTGGGCTTTGGCTCGTTTGACGTGCTCTGAGTAGTTGGAATAAAGCCGTTCATTGCAGTAGTTGGGATTTCCTTTCAAGAGTTTGACTGGTACCGTTCCGCGATTGGGGGCTGGACCAGTGTGGCGCGAGCCTCGTGCAATGTCGTGGGGAAAGGAACAACTCAGTATTTATAGCTCTGGCGGACTTGTGGTTTTTGCGATTGAAGCGAAGATCATGTACGTTGTAGGATTTTCGGAGCCGGGTACCGGCAGTGCGTCCCTGCCCATCACGACGTGAGGGTCCAGGGATACGGAAAGTGCCGACCGATGCGACGGGCGCGCACCGCGCTCAGCGTACGCGGTCATTACTGGAGGTGCGATGCCCCGAGTGTTGCGTACGGGTGATGTCGCGTCCGGATGCGGGCGCCGCCCAGCCTGGTCCCGCGTAGTCAGGCCGCATCCACGGTCTGGGGCCCGACCTGTGACGGCGCGACGCACACGAACGGCGCTGTAGCTGTGTGGAAGCGCACGAAGCCGCTGGCAAGGTGATTTCGGGTCAAGTGCAATGGTTTGATATATTTACAGGCCATACTTGTGTTTGGCGTGGCATGCGAAATGCATCATTTGCATGTCCAATACAGTACCTGCAGAATCATACGTATATGTCTTCGTATATGTCTTCTTGCCCTATCCTGGGTATTTCCGTCCTGCTAATTTTGCATTTGTCTGTCTAGCCACCTAATGGGAGTGACGCGGACCCAACTCGACAGTGAGAGTCCCCGCAGGATCATGCGTTTCCAACCTGTGGCATTCAGCCCGTATCAAACGAGGCTGCCGCCACCCAGCTCTTGCGGTTTCGACTAAGCTCGCTGCTGAAGAGAGCTTAGACAGTGTAGAGGGTGCAGGGAAGTCTGCAGAGCTGGAAGGAATGCCGGGGATGGACGGGGTCCTTGTAAGAGTGGCGCAAGGCTGCCGCGACGCATCGCACCTGGTGCTGTGGCGGATTCGAGGTGCATTGCGCGCTCATTATCTGTGCATATGTCAGGTGAACGTGAGTGATCGTTCGCTCGGACGGTGGAGACGCCGGGGAGACGGATGCAGCCGAGGGAAATCCGGCAGAGATGGAAAGGAGAGTGCTCTTCAACGCATTCTATGTGCTATTTATGGTGTACTGTCGTATGCGGTCTTTGCCCGATTGGTTACGAGGTAGAGGGCGACGCTGTGACGGCTTACCCCGGGCGTAGTTCAAGGCAAGAGCCGCACTGATTTGTAAACTAAGGGACCAAATGAGTAGCTGCACGATCAGCTTTCATTGCGTTGGCGAACGTCTATCCAACGAGTGAGAAAGGATGTTTTATTTAAAACGGTCAACATATGCCTTATGGCGAAAAATTATTTTTGGGGATACGGGAATCGCCCTTACTGATTAGCCCCGTGACGCAGCAGCTGATATTCCGTTCCGATTGCAGCCCGTCTCGCTGGACCGGTGGATGAGCGAGGATGAGTGAAATCTCTTTTATAGCATGTACCACACGGCCTCAAAGTGTCTGATATTTTTGGCGACAACGTTCTGTAAGAATCTTGTTTGCTTTACAAAAACAAAGCGTCCAAATAGCACATTTGTTTTTAACCCGCGGAATGACTTGAAAATTATTTACATTTTTGGAAGTTACTCTGGCTATACGTAAACGTGCGCCATCTTAGATTCATCATATGTGCGCCGTAAATGTAAAGAGCTCAGTGGCTTTGTTCCCATTGACGGGGGCGGAATTTTCTTCGAGATTGCCCCTGAGGATTAACGGCGGGCCCTTTTGTGTGTTTTACAGTAAGAATATTTTCTTGTCATCTCCTGCGCTTCACTGATTTGGGTGTTAATCTTAGCAAGGTATTGGAGCGTCCGTGCTGCTTGTGCTAATCTGCGTGGTTGACACAACATTGGTCGCATTACTAGGTTTGTGTGTCAAAGCGTATGTTCTTCAATGAAAATCGTGTACATCACATTTTGAATGCTTGCCATATTTTGGAAGCATTTAGCTGGATAATGACTGCTTAAATGCTGTGATTTATCAGAGGTGAATGTACTTTATTTCTGGTTTGATTTTATTAGACATTTACCTTCCTGCATTTGCTGGTTTGTTATAATGATTTGGAAGATAGGACGTGTCTCAAAGTGTCCCTAATTTGTATTTAATCTGGGCTAATTGAAACCCAAGATTTCAAGTGCATTTTATAGACTCATTGAGACAAGATTGGATGCAATGTGTTGTATCCCCAGGAGCAATGGTTGAATTAAGTGCTGTTGGATGGAAAGTATGATGAGGTCCCGCTTGTGTCACTGGGCCGGTGCCAAGGGAGTGTAGTGGCATGGTGTTTATCTCTCACTGGGGCACCAGAGTACCACCAATGCCCAAGCTGGGCAGGCATTTCAATGTGGATAGAAAACTTGCGTGTTGGCATATTCAACGGATTGGGCTGCTTATGGTCTCTGAGCACATGCTAGGCATAGGCTGGTTGTGGTTGACATGCCGCCTTAGTGCCTTGAGTGGAAAGGCCTTGTGATTTGTAGTCTTACCAAAAAAAAATAGGCTTATGTGGCCAGGCTTGCATAGTGGATGGTATATTGAGGTATTTCTTACCATAAATATAACCATACTATATTTCCATTCATTATTGTTTATTTATTGCATTTCAAGCTCATTTCACATCCAAATAATGACTAGCAGGTTGTAAGATGGGGACACTCACCAAGCAGTTGTCATTGTGTAGAATGTCATATAACAAAAGTTATGGCCTTGGTGTAGTTGTGCCATGGGCAACATTATTTTGACTGGAAGTCATGGTGACATCATCTAATAGCTTGGACCTCTTGTGTGGTGGTATTGGTGCACACAAGCTAGCTATGTTCATTGCATACAGACACTTATGCTAAAGCAAAAAGGTGACATACTTGCAGATCAAGACATTTTGTGGAAAATATTGTAAACTTCCTCAGCCCCTCCATTAAATACAAATCATTGTCTTTGGGGTGGAATTGAGACTGATTGGAGAGTGGAAGCTGCAGGTATTTAGGTGGGATAATGGAAAAGCCCAGATTTGGGAAACTAACTGGAGCTGGCCAGTTTTGATTTTCTATATTATAGTGTGTAAGCTGTTGGCCCACATCTGATTTCACTCATTGATTCAATTCATCTGATATTCAAATATCATGTGGCAGGCTACATTAAAAGAAGTGGGAAATTTAAAAGAGGGTTAGGGTAAAAAAGAAAGTGATTGTTTCTGAATGAACATAATCTAGCAGGGAAAAATCTGCAGTTATTTTGTGCCCAGAAATGGAGGTTTAAGCTGGGCACCTAAGATATGTACAATGTTTTACATTTTGAGACATGTTCTGGCATGTCAATTTTGGTAGCCCTGGTTATGTAGACTATTTGTTTCAGGTTGAACAATGTTCTGGAAATTTCATGCTGCACCATCAGCAAGTGTAGATGAACTTCTAAGCAAAGAGGTAAGCTTAGAACATATGCATTTTCTGGTTAGGCCAGTAACTCATGTCATGGCTGTTGGCAGTGTATTTGTTACACAGCATGTCCAGGAAACCAGAGGCACAGGGATTGATTTCCTGTGGTGCCCACCCTTCCTGACAGGGTGAGAGATGGGTGATGCCATATGGCATCAGCAGGTTGAGAGGCAGGTGACATCATATAGTGTCAGCAGCTAAGTGCACTTTGAAGCCTGAATGGGGATGGGAACTGGTGTCAGCTTCGCAGATATTTGTGTGGTGTGTGTATGAGTGTGATGTCAAGTTGCATGAAACATTGTCTTGATCCTGACATGCTATGCTCCTGTGCACTGTAACAACATGAAACAGATGACTGGAACTGTGCATGGCACACATGCATGTGGTGTGAGCTTTGCTACTTATGTGATGAGGACAAGGCGTGATATTGGACATAAGGGCATCATGTGTATGTGGTCTTCAGGCCGTCTTGTGGCCTTCAAAACATGTGCTTACTTTTCAGAATGTAACCCTAGAACAATTATTGGATGAAGAGGACATTATACAAGAATGCAAGGCTCAGAACAGCAAAGTCATTGATTTGTAAGTAGTTCATACAGACTCACTGTGGGAATCATGATCCCTTTAATGGTGTGATGAATGAAATCAAGCCAAGGTAATACAATTGCAGTTGTCAACATTTGCATTGGAGCACAGTGCCTGGCCAGCATTGTATGGTGGTCATCTGCCACTTTTCTGTGCTGCACTCAACCCTGTGGACAGTCTGCCATCACCCTGTTCAGTACGAGGCCCTATGACATGACAGCTTCTCTAATGCGGTTGCCGTCCCCCAGCCTGACACAGCCGGACATGATGATGTCGCTGGTGTCGCACATGGTGACGGAGCCGGACCCGAGTGGCGACGTGACGGCACAGTACCGCTATGCCAACATGGCCTCCGAGATTGTGACGTGCAACATCCCAGCCATCATCGACCAGCTGGCGTCCGAGCGGCCGCTGCTGCAGCGGCTCTATGGCCTGCTGGAGCAGGACGTGCCACTCAACCCGCTGCTGGCCAGCTTCTTCTCCCGCACCCTGGCGCTGCTCATTGTCCGCCGACCCGACCAGGTGCGTCTCGCGCGTGCCTGCCCCCCTCGCCCCTTACAGTAGCTTGGGCTCGAGCAGGAGCGTCTCGCGCGTGTCTGTCGCTACCCGTCCCATCGGCCTGGGCCCGACCTGGTCCGGTTCGCGTAGCCGTCCGTTTTACGGGGGCACAGCGCGGGAACCCAGCTCCTCGGAGCTGGGGCAGCGCTGTGGTATGCGGGAGCGGCCGTGCACGATGGCAGAGCAGACGGCGGCGGGCCCCGCCGTCGGCGGCTGGCTGGGAGTGGCTGGTGTCCCGTCTGTGAGCGTGCAGGCCCGGGCATGTCGCCCGGCCGGCCGAGGCTGGCTCTCAGTCCCTGACCTCAGATGTGGACCATGGCTAGGTAGCCGGCTCCGGCATCGCAGTCGTATGTTGACGGCAGGACGGGAGTCGGAAGCCCGCCTGTTTCTGATCTGTGCACTCGCGAAGCCATTGGACTTTTGTAAGACATATTGTGGGTGATGCATGAAACAAGCTATGACAAACGAGGCCGGGGGATTTGTACCTTCTTGCAATTTGCGGATTTGCGACTTTTGCTTCGGCCCAGAGTCTGTTGTTTGGGTTTATGAGGTGTTTGTTCTGTTCTGTTCATCAATTACGGGTGGGAATTTCAAATGTGCTCATTAGGTAGCACATTTTTGGTGTGTCGGGATTCTACCAAGGTCTACAAGTTCAGGGCGTCGGTCATTGACCAACCATCTGCCTTCTGTTTTCACCATGATCAGGTGCGGTGCACAATTGAATCTAGCTGTTCTCGAGGAATGGTGCTCATTATTGGTCACATATTCATGCACAACAGTTCATTGCGTCATGTCTTGTGCATGATGATGCATTTGGGACGGATGGGTACGCAATTGTGTGACCCCATCAGCGAATGGCTGGCTGTTACTGAAACTGGCACGTCTTAAACAAGCCTGCTCACACACTCGACTCCTCTAGTGAGTCTTGTCTGAGCACTGCACGGACTTAATTCAAGAGCAAGTGTTAGCCCACCTATCACTTGCTTTGCCAAAATTAAGTTGATTCTAATGCAACCAATAATTTAAAGTCATGCGCCACATGCCCAGCATATATGTGCATGTCGTGCATCTGAGCCAGCTAATGTCGTGTTCTTTTTCTCTCTCTCCCCCACAGAGTTGGTACTCCTATCAGTTCAACTGCTTACAGGTATTAGAATTCCTTAAGTCCATGGAGACGTTCATCGACCTGGTGCTGAAGCACCTGGGCACCTCGGCCATCATGGACCTGACGTGCAATCTCATCTCGGGCATCGAGGCGCCCGAGTACCGGCAGAACGCGCTCAACGTGAGTACAGGACCGGACCGGCCGGGCGGGGGCCGGGCGGTGTCTGGTCATGTAACGCTGTTGACCGCGTCCGGGCGGGGTCCGGACCGGCCGGGCAGGGGCCGGGCGGTGTTTGGTCATGTAGCGCTGTTGACGGTGTCCAGGCGGGGTCCAGACCGGCCGGGCAGGGACCGGGCGGTGTCTGGTCATGTGGCGCTGTCGACCGTGTCCGGGCGGGAGCCGCCCGGCCAGGCGGGCGGGGTCCAGACCGGCCCGGGCGGCGTCTGACCACGCGGCGCTGATGACAGTGTCCGGGCGGGGCCGGACCGGCCGGGCGGCGTCTGACCACGCGGCGCTGATGACAGTGTCCGGGCGGGGTCCAGACCGGCCGGGCGGCGTCTGACCACGCGGCGCTGATGACAGTGTCCGGGCGGGGTCCAGACCGGCCGGGCGGCGTCTGACCACGCGGCGCTGATGACAGTGTCCGGGCGGGGTCCAGACCGGCCGGGCGGCGTCTGACCACGCGGCGCTGATGACCGTGTCCGGAGCGGGAGCGGGGCGGGCCGGCTCCGTCCGGTGGGGCCGCGCTGCCACCGGCCGTCGCTCCCGGACGATGGCACGGGCGATAAGGGAGTGGCAGACACGATCGCGGCGATATGACCAGCGCACGTGAGCACGTGCTGCCAGGCGAGCTGACTCCTGGGCTCGGCTCGTGGCAACCTTCCGGCAGATTCCAGCCGACGCTGCGCTCAAAAGTGGCGCAGTTTTGGCTTCATTGCAGTCGACCCCGCTGGTTAGTGTGCTGAAATATTGCGCGTTATGATTGAGCATGAAAGCACGCGCTAAAGCTCTGCAGGTGACATTCTATTCACATTAACTGAAGATCCGCGCCGTGCGGAGCATTTCGTTGACGTAAGCCGCGTGCTCAGGCGTTTCGACGCCCCGGGGGCGGCGAGTGGCTCGTGCGTGACTGTGGCAGTGGTCGCTCAGAACAGGCTGCCGCTCGTTTCGGTCTTCGTGGAACACTCACGTAAGCCGGCGTTGCCATGGACCTGTCAGCGGCATTTCCTGTGAATGGATGCCAAATTAGGGGAGGTAAGCGGCTGCCCGCCAGTCCTGTTTTGGGTGTATGTGTTTCTGGTTTCAAACATGGTCGTGACACACATGCTGTTGAACTGTGACAGGTCGTTTGTTTTGACGAATGGTCGCCTGTCTGAATCTTCAACAAGGCGCTGGGTATGACTGAACAGTTGCCAAATATGCCAGGAAGGGCGGTCAAGTATGCTGGAATTGCTCGCTATCTGCATATGGCAGACAGGGTCGTAAATAACAAAACCGTTTGAAAAGATGTAATCCGTTACGTCATAGGGGACATGGCTGGACCATTGCAAAGTGATGTCACGTTTCATGTGCTGGAGCGATGCAGTCATGGTTCGATCATGGTGTAGGCCATCCGCATCATATTCGGAATTCTCACCAATGGATAAATAAAAGATACATTTCGCGTTATATCGATGTGTTTTCTCATTCGGTCCGGAGTATTGATCTCACTGACGTAACTCCGCCCTTGTGTCGCCACTGCTGGTTCTGTCACACTTAAAACCCCCAAACCATCATATATATATATATATATATATATATATATATATATATATATATATATAAAGATAGATAGATGGATGGATAGATAGGTTCGTTGTCGTCAGTTGTGGCTCGTCAGCCGACCACAGATGTGCCGTTATTTAGGCGCACGGTACTGGTGGTGCGTCCGTGTCGTCTCTGTGCCTCGGCTGGCCGGCTGCTGGGGCCCCGTCGTGCCGCCCCGCCCCGCCGGCCTGTGAGCGCCGTCTGACCGGCGCGGCGGCCCCGGCTGCAGTGGCTGAACGACCAGCGGCTGGCGCAGCGGCTGGCCGAGCTGATGGCCGACTCGCAGCATCCAGAGCGCCAGGCCAACGCCGGCCAGGTGGTCATCTCGGTGGTCAGCTGCGCCAGGCAGATGGCGCAACAGCTGGCGCCCGGCGAGAAGGAGCCCAACCCGCTCGTCTCCACCATCGAAACGTGAGTGAAGCTGCCTACTCTGCCACGCGGACGGTTGGGGAGGGGGAGAGGGCAAGGGGGGGGGGGGTAGATGACGCGTAATGTCGGCTTCGTGGTGGTCAGTTTTGATCATGCAGGGTCGTGAGTAATTGGTAGGTCAGGTAGGTCGCCGCTAACGTTTGTCTGGCGGCAAATGTGGACTGGTGGAAGCGGGGCCGTGCCGATGAAGGATCCCGCAGTGTGGGTTGTTGCGGGATCCTCATTGGATCCCGCAACGTTGCTTTGTGCTGACTTCCGGAGACTGTGAGATGGTCCGTTAGTCCGTGACATGGCAGCGCCTCCACATAGCACCGGGCGTGTCGGGCGCCGTCGTGCCCGGCTGGGCCGGCGCGCCCACAGGCAGCGGCTCGTCTGAGCGGCGTGCGGGCTGTGCGGTGACGCAGCGCGGCCGGCCGGCAGGGTGGAGTTCGTCTCGACGGTGCTGGACGGCGTGCTTGGCGACGGCCGGACGGAGGCCGGCCTGGTGAACGCCGTGCTGGTGCTGCGGCTGCTGCTGGACACGGGCCGCCAGGGCGCGCCGTACGCGCAGAACGAGGCCGACGAGGAGTCGCCGCCCCAAGAGCCGGCCAGCGTGCAGGCGGTGACGGAGGCGGTGCTTCCGCGGCTGGCCGAGCTGCACGCCGTGCTGCTGGCGCCGCCGCCGCGGCCGCCGGTCAACACCACCTGCGGCCGGCTGAGCCCGCCGCTCGGCGCCACGCGGCTGCAGCTGGCGCGGCTGACGGCGGCGCTGCTCGCTGCCAACCGGCACCCGGTCAACCGGGAGCTGGCGCGGCTCGGCACGGTGGACGTCCTGCTGGTGAGCGCGCGCGCCGCCGGCGCCGCCGGACTTGGCGCGACGCTACCGGACGCCATGGTGGTCAGAGGGGGCGGGAGCTGCGGCGCCCGGCCGACCTTTGGGCCGCGCCCTGGCGACACTGGCCGTTGTAGAGGGGGAGTGTGGCTTGATGTCCGAACTTGGACAAGGCTGATCTCGTTTAGGGCAGTTCAGCCTTGTGTAAGTCCTCTGTTGTGATATTCATAATGCATTGCATATGTCATGTGATGTTGGCTGTGTTGAGGCCATCCGCTGTCTTTCCCGCTCATATCTGATGGTGTACAGCAGTCCTCGCGTGTATTTTCCCGCCGCATGCACATTTTCTGGTCCACAATTGGTGCCGTTGTTTGAACACACGCGTCTGTGTTTTCAGGACCTGTTTTTCCAGTATACACTGAACAATTTCCTTCACTCACAAGTAGAACAATGCATTGGTCTGATCCTGGATGCGGAGCCGCAGGAGAACGAGGAGGGCAAGAGCTGTCATCCACTTCTAGTACATGTAAGCACCTAGCTACTGAGTTGGTACTAGAGACACAACTTTTCAGCCCTCCAGGCCGCCGATTTCCGACCCCCAGGGACCCGCGGGGCTTTTGACTGGGTTATGGGCCAGACACGGCGGGCTTTCGCGGGAGAAAATTTTAGGAGGCCAAATAGTGCTTTTTTGCCATTCCTCAAGTTTTGGACTAATTCCAAGACCAGTTTGTGCTGCCAAACACAAAGCAACCATGAAGCAAACATATTTTGTTTTTGTTTTTCGAGCAATAGCACCAGTGGCAGAAAGTAAAGAACATTTTTGTTTTTACAGCAATGGCACCAGTGACGGAAAACTAATGGTAAACATGACACATTAGTAAACCAGGTTGCACAGTTGCACAGCTTTAAGCAAACATCTCACTGAAAAATTGAAGAATAATAACCAAAATTTTTAAAACTACAGCCTGATGTTATTGGGCAGCAGTTGGGTCGGTCCTCAGTATAAATACAGTAAACGCGACAATTGGCTGTCACTGTGAGGGTGTGCCGCACTCTACCGTTCTTGGTTTACCCAAAACCGTGGCTTGTAAAAATCTCTATACATACTCATGATAGGTCAAATGCATTGTTAAGTGTGAGTCTTTCATGGCCCTAGCTTCGCTCACTTATGAGCACAGCCAGCAGTTACTGGCGCATCAAATGCGCGACAGATGTCGAAACTGAAAAAGGGGTGACAGAGTCTCTTTATTTATGTCGGAAGAAGATGCAATTTGCAACCACGACTCCGGGGCATTTACACAATAATGGTTTCCATCGCAGTGATTGTTACTATTTTCAAGGTTTTTTTTGGCACAAAAGGTTTTATTCTGTCTGATTCGTTCATTTGTTCCAATATTGTACCTGCACGCTGTCATGGAGCATGTATAACACTATCATTTTTGCATTTTCCAAATTGTCATTGTAGAAATATATTCTTATCCAATTCTATATGAAAAAATCGTCTCGACATTCTCGATTCCGTCAATAAGCAATTCGATAAAGATCAAGAGTTACACTCTGTACGCTTCGTAAGATGTAGAAAGATCTGGAAATTAGATAAGCAACTTTGTTTTCATATCAATTTTTCTGCAGCATGCAACAATATGTCACAGTTTTTGGTGACATTTCTAAATAGCAATGATGTCACTGGAGAGGCAGATGTTCGTGGGCAAAATGTTGTCATCCTCGCTTTCATGTGGCTTTCACACAGCAGAACATAAGCCACACGGCAATGGTTGTAGGCTGGAGCGTGGAGTTGGTGAGAGAAATCATGAATCATGTCAGAGCTACCACGTGATTTCTGTGTGGTGCGATTGCGTGATATATCCACGTAAGGGTATCAAACACCATATAGGAGACTGGCTCTGGTCACTCCGTGAGAAATTTGACATTGCGGCAATTGTGACGCAGCACAATGAAGATTGGGGTTATGGGGTACATTGTAGTAACTGACGTCACAACTCGAAACATCCATAATTTTTTTACCATGTGTGTGCAACGCTATCAATTGATGCATGCAATTTTGGAAGTGGCCTGTGACTTAATGAGATGAGGTAGATGGGTCAAATCTTTGGAACATTTTGGTGAAAGACAAATTTCATTTATTCCCCCTTCCTTCTCATTTGTAGTGGGGAACGGGTATCACAGTTAAGACAGTAGCATTAGCCTTATTCATCGTAGAAAACAGCAGGAGAGTGAAGAGGTAGATGCGCTGATGTTTCGGCAACCTGCCTTTATCGAAACGAATATCATAAGTGAATTCCAAATTGCCCGCCTATCCTACCCGATTTTTTTTTAACAGCGAGACAGTCGAGACTGGAACGGACTGGGAATGGGGATGGGAATGGGAATGGGAATGGGAATGGGAGTGGGAGTGGACGGGGAGTGGGGCGGGACGGGACCGCGACTTGTGCCCGAACGGACGGAGCCCGAGCACGACCGACCGGCCCTGTCTCGCGTGCCGCGGCCGCCGTCGCCATCTGACGGGATCGGGGCCTGCCGGCCGGGTGTAGCGATCAATGGTGCCGGGCGATAGCGGGGTTACGACCGACCACCGTCGGCCGCTGCCTGTAGCCGTGGCCGGTGGCGGCTGCCGGTGGCCGTTGCCGGTGACGGCTGCCGGTGGCTATTGCCGGTGGCCGCTGCCGGTGACCGCTGCCGATGGCTGCTGCCGATGGCTGCTGCCGGTGGCCGCCGCCGATGGCTGTGGACGATGGCTGTTGCCGGTGGCTGCTGCCGGTTACCGCTGCCGGTGGCTGCTGCCGGTCGCCGCTGCCGGTAGTCTGAGCCTGTGGCCGGAGTCTGTGGCCGATACCGTCGGCCGGCAGCTTGGTGGCAGCGGCCCGCTATGTCCGACTCGGATGGACGCGCCCCTGATGGCAACACCCCGCTGCCCACAGATATTCACAAAGACAAAGCTGGTGCAGAGAATACTGCAGGGCATGGAGGAACCCCAGACGAACGGCGAGACCTCGGAACAGAAACGGTGCGTACCCCGTCTGCCGTGTCTGGGCGAGTATGGCTCGTCTTATGCGGGAGGCGAGCCTCGTTGGCAGATGTGTTGGCGGGGTGCGCCCCTGGGAACAGGCTGAAAAAATGTTAAGCGCCATCTGTATGCTGCACGGCCGTGTTTTTCCGTCGGAAGTAGCGATAGCTGCCGTGGCGTTTTCGTAAAGGGTTGTTGATCAGCTGAGATCGTGTGGATATTGCCGCGGGCAGCCAACTGGTTCTGGACGGCTGGCGGAGAGCGTGGCGTGTGGCCGCGGCACGGGCGTGCGGCGGCAGCGGGGTGGCCGGCCCGGTGCAGACCGGCGCCACGTGTCTGGGCCGGCGGACACCCGCTGACGAGACAGGCCTGTCGGTCAGGTGCTGCCGGTCACTGCGAGCCTACTGCGGCCACCTGGTCAACATGGCCAACAAGATCTGCTCGGCGTGCGAGAAAGGCCCAAACGCCGAGCTGGTGCAGCGCCAGCTGGACGCGCTGCCCGAGCCCATCCGGGCCGCCTGGCAGGCCTTCAAGGAGGCCAAACTCAACCGCATTAACGAACAGAACAAGGTGGGTCGCCGCGCCACCTTGCGCGGGCGGCTCTGGGCCCCTCGGCCCGTCGCTGGACTCGTTTCCTTCTCGCCCTTTGTGCTAAGGCCAGTTCACACCAGGTGCGTCGGGCCTAGTGATGCGCGCGGCTGCCTTAAAAGATTCGGGCCCACGCGTACGGTGAGCGTGATTGAGCGGGCCTGCGTGGATCACACGGCACGTGAGATGCGCGCGCGCCGCTGGGCTCGCTCCGGCCGTTAGTTGACGGCCGCACGGCACAGTGCTATGTGACAACGCGTGCAATGTGCGCCGGATGCGGAGAATCGCCTGCGACCTGTCGTAGTCGATGTTCAAGGGGGCGCGCGGCTGCGTCTTCCCGGGCAGCCGCGTGCGTGATTGTGTTTGACTCATCTGGTGTGAGATGACTTCTCGAGTTCGGGTGGAGTGTGCTCTAGATCGTAATTAATCGTGAGCTCGTTAATTTCTTGGGAACAAAAGAAGCCGACAGGACGATGAATCGGTCTTGGGCTGGTCTGGCCGCGTGCCGTCCTGGCGCCGAGCGCCGTGACCCGGTGACCTCTCAGCACGTGCCGCTCAATTGACCGCCGGCTCTGTGGCACGCTCATAAAACCCCTAAACATCATCATGACTGTATGTGTGTCCTGTGAACCTAATGCCCCGTTGTTATCCCGTCGTCTGACCTGCGGATTGACCTTACGCTTCAGCCGGTGTTGCCCGACACCAAGCAGGACTCGAGCAGCGACTCGGACTACCGCGGAGTCACGGACGCCCAACAGGCAGCCATATTGAGGGTCAGTTCGCGCAGACGCCGGGGTCGTTGTGGCGAGCTGTGGCGGACGGATGTGCGGGCAGGGGTGTAGCATCATAACACGACCCGCTTGTGTGTTGTGGGCGCGGATGGGCTGGCCTCCGCTGGGCCTGCGCCCGGCCACAGGCGGCCGCTCCTGCCGGCCCCGTCTGTGTACGGCGCGGCGCCATGGGCGCCATATGACCAACGTAGTCGGTGCGCCCCAAAGCCCAAATCATCATCATCATCGTACGGCGCGGCGCCGCCGCCAGTAGTCCGGGGCCGGGCCTCGGGCGTCCGCTCCCGCCGGCCCCGTCTGTGTACGACGCGGCGCCGCCGCCCGGTGTGACATGCTGAGGGCCTGCAGTCGGACGCGCCGTGAGCTGACGCGCTCGCCCGCCGACCGTGCAGACGTTCCACAACTTCCAGCTACTAAACGCCGGCACTGGCAGCGGCCTGTCCGACCAGATGGGGCACAGCGACGACGAGTACAACGACATCGGCGACGTGCTCAGGTGGGCAGCGCCCGGCGGACCGCCGCGCCCGGGGCGACGTGTCGCACCAGGGACTGACTTTGCGTCCGTGCCGTGTTTGATCGCGGCGACGGCCGCGGCTGTGAGGGCGTGTGGCTTACTGCCGTCTGTCGTCTGTGGTATGCGCAAGATGACATGTTTTCACTGCCGGAGTGACCGGTGCGATGCTGCTGTTTGCCGGCCTGGTCTGACCGCCGTCTGCCGGTGCTGCGCCGTCCGAGGAGCTCACTCCAGCAGGACGGTTGTCACCGATCTCCTGACCTCGCCTCCCCTGACCTGACGGCGGCGTGTGCCGACAGCGCGCCGTCGGAGCAGCTGACGCCGGTGGGCCTGCTGGCGCTGGACGCGGCCGTCGAGCAGCGGCCGTCGGCGGCCGAGCTGTTCGCACAGCAGTGCGCGGAGCGGTTCGGCGGCCCGGACGAGACAGAGCCGTGGTCGGCGCGCCGGGCCGCCAGCCTCGAGCGCTGCCACTCGAGCTCGGACGAGGAGGACGGCGACGAGCCCGAGCCTGGCGACGAGCCGGCGCCCGGCCACATCTCCATGGAGGTGGACACGAGCGACCCGTGGGCCGAGGCCAGTGCCGCCCACCCGGTCGCCATGGACACCAACCTGTGGGAGTCGGCGCCGGCCGCCGACCCGGCCGCCAGCGACTGGGCCGACTTCGCCGCCTTCCCGGCGCCGGCCGCCGTGCCGGCCTCGCCGCCGCGCGAGAGCAAAGGTGCGCCCCGGCCCTGACCACGGGCCGCGCCGCGGACCGGGCGCTGCCGAGCAGTGCGCCGCGCCCGGGCGGTGGGACCGGGCGGCGCCCGGGCGGGGCGGTCTGCACGCCTCGTGCGCTGGTGCGGCTCCCCGCGCGGCAGTGCCCGGGCTGTGTGTGGCCTGGCTGTGCACCGCTTCACAGACGGGCCTGGGTACTGCGCCCGGTGACTGGACGTCGTCGGGGTAGCTGACCCGGTGTGCCCGACGGCCTGACCTCGGCTGACCCGACTTGTCAGTGCTGACTGGCGTCGGCCTGTGCCGCAGGGGGAGGTGACTCGGCGACCGAGCCGACGGCCGGCTTCCATGCCAACTTCGAGGCGGCGTTCTCGCACACGTGCGCGCTGCAGGAGGGCCAGCTATCGCCACCGCCGCCCGAGCAGCCTCCGCCACCGCCTCCGCAGCAGCAGAAGCAACAGCAGCAACAACAGCAGCCGTCGCCGCCGCAGCAGCAGCAGGGGCAGCAGCAGCCGTCGCCGCAGCAGCAGCAGCAGCAGCAGCAGCAGCAGCAGCAGCAGCAGGAGCAGCAGGGACAGGAATCCGAGAGCAGCATGGAGGTGCAGCCGGAGCTGCTGGTGGCCGAGCCCGTCCCGCCGCGCGCCGGTCAGTACTGGTGGTCAGCTGGCTGCTGTTGAACCGGCGCCCGGTCGTGAGATAGCGGCGGTGACAGGGGACAGGGGACAGGGCGGCGACGCTGGACAGGGGGACCCGGCCGGGACGCCGATAGGCAGCAGCTGGAGCACTTCCCTAGATCTCGCACGATTGCTTTGACCGTTTGTGCCGTTGATATTGGGGAGTAATGTGATGATCATGGTTTTTGGTGCAGTTATCAGTCAGATCAATCCCCTCGGGCTTGTCGTTTCATCCGTGTTAAGAAATGACAGGTGCTCAATGTGTCAGCTGGCACCGACGAGTTTCCTTTTCATGAACACTTAACTCGTTATCCATTGTATCCAGTGCCCATTATCCATCCGCAACATGTGGGCTGAGTGCAGTCCCATCTACCGGTGCTGAATTCCGTGCGTCCGGCGTTGGCGGCCATGCGTGGCGCGGTGGCCGCGCCGCGTTGCGTCTCACCGAGCGCGCCGCCCAGTGCTAACGTCCGCGACGTCCGTCAGACTCGCCGCACGAGCTGAACAGCACCGGCGGCGACTTCACGCCCCTCTTCCACGAGTCTTCCACGCCGGAGCAGGCGGCCGGCGCCGAGCCGCCGGTCTCGGACCCGGCGCGGCTCGTCGACAACTACAGGTGGGGAGACGGCACGGGGCGTCGCGGGCGCTGGGCGTCCGCGCCGCCGGGGCCACGCAGTCCCGGTCGGCCCAGCCACCGGCCGCCTCAGCCGGCAGTGTCGCCACTGCGCCGACACTCGTCTCCGGACCGCGCCGTCGTGGCCGGGCCGGGCGGCGGCCAGCGTCCTCCCTCGCGACACCGTGCGTCGCGTTTGTCCGTGCTCGGTGCCGCAGCCTCCGCGGGGGAGACTGCGGCACGGCGTCGGAGGACGCCGTGGCATGCTGAACTGGGGACGTATGGCGGGTCGGATCTGATCCCATATGGATCGACCTGGTCCGGCCCGGCGCAGCTCCGCGAGCCGAACCGGACGCGTACTGGTCCGACCGAAAGTCGGCGCGAGCATACGCGCCCGGGTTATCGGGGTCACTTGTCCTGTCGCGTTCTGTTATGGCCTACCCTGTGCCGGCCTGGGCCTGACGGCTGGCGCTGTTGCCGGACAGCTACCTGACGTCGCCAGGGTCTGATGAACGGCTCGCCAGAGACGGGCGCCGCCGAGCGGCAGCCGCCCAGCCAGCCGGCCGGCCAGCCAGGTCAGGCAGCCGGCCGGCCGCCACCGGCCACCGCGAGCAAGCTCGCGGGCGTGCGCGTGTGTTGAGGAGCTCTTGTGCTAATGGTCGGAGTGTGGGGGGGGGGGGCGGGGTAGGATGGGAGCTCGTGTGCTGGTGGGTCGGTGGTGTGTGCGTTGGGGGGGGGGGGGGGAAGGGGAGCTCGTGTGCTGATGGTCGGAGGTGTGGTGTGTGTGGGGGGGGGGGGGGGGAAGTGGTGCTGATGAGTCGGTGTGGTGTGGTGTGTGTGGGAGGGGGGGGGCAGGAGGGGGAGTGGAGGAGGGAGCTCGATGTGCTGATGGTCAGAGTTGTGTGGGTGCGGGCGGGGAGGAGGGAGCTAGTGTGCTGATGGTCAGAGGTGTGTGTTTGCGGGAGGGGAGGAGGGGGTCGCGGCTCGTGTGCTGATGGGTCAGATGGGTGTGTGTGTGGGGGAGGGGAGGAGGGAGCTCGTGTGCTGATGGTCGGATGTGTGCTCCTCTCGGAAGTGCAGAGTCCTCTGTGTGTGTTTGGGAGCTCGTGTGCTGATGGTCAAGGTGTGTTGGGGGGGGGGGGGGGGGGGGGGGGGGGGGGGGGGGTGGGGAGGAGGGACTCGTTGTTCTGATGGTCGATGGTGCTCCTCTCGGAAGTGCAGAGTCCCCTGTGTGTGTTTGGGAGCTCGTGTGCTGATGGTCAGAGGTGCGGTCCTCTGAGCGCGGTCCTCTGTTTGGCGCCGCCTGCTCGGCTTGTCCGGCCTTTCCTTGGCTGCGCCGGGCTGACCTGGCTCCGCTGCCGCAGCCCGTCGAAGAAGGCCGAGGCACCGTCCGCCGCCGCGCAGGCGACGTCGGCGCAGGAGGCGTCCAACAACGGCCCGGTCTGAGGTGGCCCTGCGCCGCCGTCGCCCGCCGCTGCCGCCGCCGCCGCTGCCGCCGCCGCGGCCCGCCAAGCAATACCGGAGCGGCGCTGCTGTCGATTACTATGCTGTGATACGCCCCGCCTCCTGTGCCCGAGCCGCCCCGCTCCGGGCACTTGTCCTGGCTGCCCCCCCCCCCCCCCCCGCCTTCCGCGGCGGTCCCACACGCACACGCACGCGCGCGCCCCGCCCACCGGGACGCGCCGGCGGAGGGCCGTCCGTCCGCGTGGCCCCATCGCGCACCCGCCGCTGACGCCGCCGCCGCCGCCCGCTCCTGTATAAAGTGTAGTTTTAATCGCCCGGACAACAATGCTGTGTGGTGTGCGTTGTCGTACAGTGATCATGTGCCGGCGGGGCGCGCGTGGGCAGCAGCGCACCGGCCCGGCGTTGCATAGTAATAATACTTAAGTCTGTTGGCAGGGTAGGACTGCTCAGGTGTGGACCCGCGTGCCTGTCTCAGCGGCCGGCGCCGTCGCGGCCCGTATTCCCCCCAGCTTGGGAGTTTTAACTTGTTTTCGTCGGCGGTAGCCGTCGGGGGCCGTCTCGTGCGTACATTCCAGGAGCGTGCGGGTACCGCCAGCCGCTGACCTGACCTGCCCTGACCCGACCCGGCGCCCTGGGCCGCGCGCGGCCCGTCGGGTGGGCTACTCCCCTGCCCCCTCAACTCCACTTTACGTATGCATTTTACTCGGTAATACGGGGCCAACGCTTGATCAAGAGGCTGCACGGCCGGTGCGGCCGGCGTGCCTCCCGTCGCCCACGCGGCTGAGCGCGCCCCTCCTCTGTTCTTTTTTTCTATCTGGCCGCCGGTGGGCCGGCGGGGGGCGCCACCGGACTGGGGCCGCGCCGGCTCGGCCTGGGACCGGGCCCGGGGCCGGGGCCAGGTCGAGCCGGCCGGAGCCCGTCCGGACCGCCGCCGCCCGCCGCCGCCGCGGGCCCGCGGCCTGAGCGGAAGAAGCGGGTGCAAGCTGCTGAAAACGTACCGTGTACAAATGTTAATATATTGGTAGCAGTGGCGACGACGTCTTTGCTGGGAAGGAACTCAGATGATGGGGCCGTTGCCGCGAGCCGGCCGCTCTCTGCGCGACGTGCGGAGACTCACCACCCAGCGCCGGTCTCGAGTTTTGACGCACTCTGCCAGCGAATCGTGTTAGGCTGCTCAATGGGCGGCCTCTTTGGCGGTCTGCCGTGCGGTGAGGTGCCGGGGTACGAGCTTCGCTCGTGCCTGGTGTGCGGGACCGGGGGGGCGCGCCGGCTGAACACCGACGGGTGCGAATCATCTGCGGCAGCGCGGCGACAGCAGCCCCGGGGCTGCCCTTCTTGTCGCTGGCGGGCCGACGCTGTAGCACAGGCACTTGTCTGTGACACCGATCTATGGCTCCGATCCTGGAAAACCCGACAACTTCAGCCGCCGACCTGCTGTCCGCTCGAAGTTCGGTGCTTGAATTGAGAACCAGGCTGCATGATGCGGGCCGGCGGCAAGTTTGGCGATTACGGGCCGTTTCGGGCCCGGCGGGCAGCGGACCTCGGCGCCGGTCCCGTACGGGCCGGTGTCGGCCAGTCGGCAACGGCAGCCGCCAGACGACGCTGCTCTGGATGCCGCATCTCTCCGCCAGAGGATTGCAACAGCCGACCGGAGGCGACGCGAACAATCGCTTAAGGAGCTTGGACAGAGGTCTGCTTACGGACCAGGCAGAAGCAAAACACGGTGGGTGCGGGGGTGGGGGAAGAAAGATGCGCAACGGGCGCCTAACAAGATGCGGGCGTGGAAAAAACCGTGCAGGGATTCCGTGCAGAAATCCGAACAGTTCTCTTCTGGCTGGAAGGCGCGCGAATGTAAGCCGTCGGAAGTGTGGTACCGGGTCGTACCGATCGGACGGCCGTGCGAGTTTGGTCGTTGAGACTAAATTACCCGAAAAAAAATACTGGTAGCTCAGCTAAGCTTCATAATATTTGCAAACCGGAGTTCGAAGTTACCCAACTGTGGCCGAAAGAAGGGCGAGCAAAGATCTTGCACCAGCGACGTGCAGCCCTGGAACAAGACGAGGTCACGCACGCACGTACGCGGAGCAGCTCAGTGTCCCTGTCCTGAGGTCCCGTTAAGCCCCATAAAATTATGTCCCTAGGCCCGCTCCCACCCACTTTGAACACCTGTCCTCGTCCGCGCTGAACTCTGTTGGCTTGGTCGTCGGCGCGTGGCTGCAGAATGGAACTCAACGAAAACTTGGAAGTGTTGAAAGAAGCCTGGCTAAACTCGTCTTGCGACTCCCGTGAACGCCCCGCGCCGCCACGCCGAGAGTAAGTAACGTCCTGTCCCGCCGAACTCCTCATTTTGGCCGGCGCCGGGCTCCTCATGGCCTGAGGTGGTGCGCTTATATCAATCTACACGCAGAGGGGCGCGCAGCGCCCGACAGACCGACGACTGACCCCCTCGGTCTGGAGCCCCTCCCCCCCTCCCGGACTGTTGCAGAATTCCAGCCGGGTGCTGAAGTGCGCATTGACGCGAGCACCGTCCGCCGCCGGAGGCGAGCGTGGGCCGACGGCCTGCGCCGCAGCACCGCACTCGCCCGGAACTGCCGAGCCCCAGGCTCCGAAGCTAATCTGTTGGCCGGGCCGTCGTCTGAAGCCCTCCCTGTCGGCATGGCCAGCCACGTGGGCTTTATTAATGGCGCCGGACCTGGCGCCGGCCGCGCTCGGCTCCCGTACGGCTCCGGTGCGCTCAAACGTGGAAGGCGGCGCCTCGGAGGTCAGCCAGACGCTGATGTCATGTACTCTACCCCGTCGTGTCGCCGGGCCACGGTCACGTCTGGTCCATTAGCAGACCGAGATTTGACTCAAAACGTGCTACATTCGCTAGACGGGTGATCAAGTTCATGACGCTCAGTGAGACGCGATGGTTCTACGAAGGCCCGTCGGTCGGAGAAAACTCCCCTGCTTACCGTTCAGGGCGCTCACTCGACGTCGGTATGGGCGCACGCGCCATTTATGCAAATGGTTTCTGATGAGAAAGGCGCATGAGCCTGACGTGTAACGAAAATAATTCTCATTCATTGCGATAGTTTAGCATTTATATCTGCGTGCTACGCCGCTCAGAACACTGTATTGAACGCTCGCGGCACTCGGCCGTGGGGGTCTCAAGAAGTTTGCATTCGAGATCTGGAACAGTTCCAGAATTTTCAGCACGTAACAAGTGAGCAACTTGGGTTCGAAGACGCTGTTCAAACTGTAATAGCGAGACTGCAGCGAGCCGAGTTTTGAAGGCTGCTTCTAGACCGCGGGGTCATGACGCCTCCAATGGACATGAGATGTCGACACAGCTACGCGCTCGTGCCAAGTTCGAGAGGCAGATGGTACGGTCAGGGTCGATGCCACCAGCGGCAAGGACGGCATCCGACCATCTTACCATTTCCTCAAGGGCGAACGTACTTTTGGATATATTTAGAGGTGAACATGTCTTAAAGCCTCCCGCTGAAATTTCAGCAGGCCCCAGATGAGCGAGCCGGAACACTCTTTGAATCCAGGACGGGACTTGGGACACGTAGGAGACAATTCTACCCGTAATATGGTCCTAGGTGGCCAACAGCATGTCTCTATTCGCTGACAGGGTGCCCAAATAATTCGAAGGACACCGCGTAAAAACGCAATAATCCCCCAACAGGTCGAGAGTGGGCCCGATTAGAGCAGCCGAGGGCTCCAACCGACCAACAGCATGATGTGCAAAGCATAGTTCATATATATATATATATATATATATATATATATATATATATATATATATTCGCCCTCTGGTGTAGCGTCACCGACTGTTTCAAGGTAACAAGCAAGCCTGGGGCATCTAACCTGTGTACAAATTTTTCTCTGCTTGTCTTTTGCCTTCCTTTTGCAAAAGAAACCCGCGTAGTAGTACGTATATATATATATATTATATATATATATATATATATATATATATATATATATATATACACATATTACTGTGGGTTTCCTTTGCAAAAGGAAGCAATATATATATATATATATATATAATATATGCATATTACTACGTGGGTTTCTTTTGCAAAGGAAGACAAAACACGAGGGGAAAACTTTATGCGCAGGCTAAGATGCCCCTGGCTTGCTTGTTCCCTTAAAACAGTCGGTGACGCTACCCCAAAGCGCGGGTAACGCCGACTGATGTTCCTTCCGTACGGAAGCTGAGACTGATCCGTGGACGGTGCGCAGGCGAGCACTTCTCAAAAGCCCGCAGCAGAGGCTGTTCAGCATTCCGCTCCACCCACCACACACCGCCGACAGCTGGCGGCCGTATCTCTCTGTAATCGATCGGAGTGAGTGCCGCTATCGCTGCCGACACGCTGACGCCGCCGCTCGAACTCTTCCCGAGCCGCCCGCCCGGCCGAGGAGCCGGAGCCGGCCGTGTCTAATCTCGAGCCGGCGGAGTGCGTCTGTCGGCCGGGCGCGGGGGCGGCCGCTGAGCTCAGTCGGCGCACGGCCGGTGACCCGAGGCGCGCCTGGTCGGCCCGGCCGGCGCCCTCTCGGCGCCCCCTGGCGGCGCGTCGGGTGCCGAGGGCGCGGCGGCACGCTGCGCCGGCCGTCGGCGGCAGCCCTCGAGGACATCCCCGTCACCGGCCGGTGCGAGCCCGACCAGCTGGGTCGGTCGATAGTCCGACCGGTCAGGGGCCGCCGAGGCGCCTCCTCTCGCGCAGATCGCAGCACACAGAACGCACACAGCCAGCCAGTAAATGGACGCTTTATTGGCAAAAATATGTACCAAAGCAAGCACGACACACTCGGAGCCAGGCGGAGCAGCGCGCGGCGGTGGACGCGCCACCGTTTGTACACAATGCGCCTACGCCACAGAAACGGATAATCTCTAATACACCCCACGGCCCTAGGCAGCATGCATGCCTGCGGTGAATAAGCGATCAGCCACTATCACCGGCACAATGTTGTGAAAACAACAGACTTGGAGCAATCACGTTTGGTTCACACCTGTGGTCCCCGGACAGAGCCGGCGCGCGTGCGCTTTGCGCCGCGACACGGAACACGCTCCCTGCACACCGACGCTCAGCGGCCGAGGCATCGCTTCATGGCCGAATCAAGACATGATAATGCCAGATAACAGAACGGCACCGGCGACAGCTGGCTTGGCCTCAGGAGGCAGCCCACCGACGGACAGACTGAATGGACAGCTAGACACAGGCCGAACACCGCCCACCTAGCCCACGGACAGATGGACAGCCAACCGGACAGTCAACCGGACAGCGGGGACAGCAGCTGGTCAGTCAACGAACAGATGGGATGGCAACAGGACAGCCACCGTCCAGACAAAACCAGAGCAAGACGGCGGCCCGTTGGATGGGACGGATACGGCCCGCTTCGTCGAACAGGATGCCCGGCCAGTCGACACACACACACGAGCGCGCGCAAGCGCGGCCACTGCCCGCCAGCCGCCAGCCTCCAGCCTCCAGCCGACGGTCTGCCGACGACGCCGGGGGAGCCGACGGAGTACCGGCTGGGGCCGCTTCACGCCGCTCCAGGCCATGTTTACCCGCCGGCCGCAGACAATAAGCCGCCGGCTGCAGCTGGCGCGATAAAAAAGCGCGCGCCCGAGGCGGCCCAGACGGAGCGGAGGCGGCGAGCCGGCGCCTAATGAGCGCATAAATCTCGGCAAAAGTGTAAACAGAGCGGCGAAGAACAACGGGCTGCGCATCACCCGGAAAGCGGGCTCGCAGAGCGACGGACACGCAGACGTCTGGAGGCGGCGTGCACGAACGCGATCAGGCCGCCCCGAACACGGACGAGACACACTGGACCAATCAGAAAAGATTTCGGCGATTGCATGCACAATTATTGATGTACATTCCGACACGGGCTCTGAGAGCGTGCAAAGACCCCTGACTAGAGTTCGGCGCGCCGTGCCTTGATCCTGCACAGTCGCCTGCGCGCCGGGCAGCGAGCTCAGCGCCGTGACGTCACACGCGGTGTTGTGTTCCCCGCCGCAGCACGTGGCAACGGACGCCGCCCGGGCGGCCACACTGAATACGGTATCACATTGAGGCGTCCTGCCGCCGGAGATCAGCAGCGCGCCGTCACACCTCTGTGCCGTCTTCGCCCTCGTCCTGTAGGACGGCCGTCGGACCGCCGCCGTTCAGCTGCGGCTTGGGCAGCACCGGCGGCGACACCTTTTTGGGCTTGAGCGGCGGCTGCGGCCGCGGCCGCGCCGCCGGCGCACCGTTGAACGGTGGTGGTGGTGGCGGCGGCGGCGGCGGCGGCGTCTCGTCCGCCTCCTCGGGCACCTCACGCAGCGGCTCGATGAGATCGGTGCTGAGCGAGCGCTGGCGG